AAAAAAAAAAGAATGTAAACTTCATGCTTGTGCAGCGTTGCATGACCGCGCAATTGTCAGTTAAAATGAAGCAGCGCCATAACACAAACTGCTTATGTAGCCGCTTCCTGACCGCCCGTCCAGATAGAGTTAGATTGTCGTCAGTACACCAGTCATCACATTTAACCCCTTGATTGCCAGGAAGACGCACATACACAATAAACCTCCATTGCTAGTAGTGTCTGAACGGATCAATATGTTTGATCAGATCAGCACTATACCAGTGTTCACATTAGTATAGCGTCCCCAAAAACACAGCGTTAGCGGGATCAGCCCCGGCACCTGCTAGCACCTGTGATTAGCCCCTACGCTTACCTCCTCCCCTCCCCCAGCAAGTGCAATGTCAGTAGGTCACTGTCACTTGATACATTGCACACAAAACAGCAGTGTTAGCAGAATCAGGCCTGATCTCTGTTAGCACTTGCCGGTAAATTTTGATGACTCTCATATGCAGCAGAGTGCCAGTACTAGTGCCACGCTACCTTTTGGTGGCCTAGTACTTCCTGGTCTTTCACATACCTCTTAGATTGTAAGCTCCAGGATCAGGCCCTCCTAACCCTCTTGTATTGAACTGCATTGTTGCTGTATTGTCCCCTGTTATATTGTACAGCGCTGAGCAAACTGTTGGCGCTATAGAAATCCTGTGTAATAATAATACCAGCACTGCAGTATCACTTGGTGACGTGGCGAGTCCCATAATTGCAGTACAAACTGGTGTGGTGGCGAGCACAAGTATTGTCCCACAACCACCAAGAATTCACACACAGGCCCATAGAGCCCCTAGTATCCTTCAGGATGTGCTTGCAAATCCCGATTGGCAGCCCAAAAATTCTGCAGTACCCGTACTTCCCCCATTCACTGCCCAACCCAGTATTCAGGTGGAAATAGCAAATTTAACTACTCCCCTTGATTTTTTGGAGCTGTTTTTCACAGAAAATCTGTATGCATTGATTGTGGATCAAAGCAATTTATATGCACAACAGTTTATCGCCGCCAACCCAGATTCAAACCTTGACAGACCATTCGCATGGAAACCCATTATGGTTTCCGAATTAAAAATTTTTTTGGACCTTACCCTCAACATGGGCATTACTAAAAATTGAATTGCGGTTGTATTGGTCCACAGACCCGATTCATCATATGCCCGTGTTTTCAGCTGCCATGGCCAGGCATAGATGTGAGACTATAATGTGTTTTATGCATTTCAACAACAATACACTCTGTCATCCTTGGGGTGACCCTGAATTTGACCGGCTCCACAAAATTCAGCCCCTCACAAATCACCTTAACCAAAAATTTGCAGATGTCTATACTCCCCAGCAAAAAATCTGCGTTGATGAGTCCCTCACTAATTTTTCTGGCCACCTTTCATTCAAACAATTTCTCCCCAGCAAGCGTGCCAGATATGGGGTCAAGATGTAGAAGACCTGTAAGAGGGCAACAGGCTATACTTATACGTTTCGGATTTACAAAGGAAAAAGATATTCACGTGGAGCCCCCCAGGTGCCCAGACTACATGAGCAGTAGTGGCAAGATAGTTTGGGACTTGGTGTCATCCTTTTTCCATATGGGGTACCACTTATGCGTGGACAATTTTTATTCAAGCGTGCCACTATTTAGACATTTGTACAATCTTGGAACTGGTGCATATGGCAAAGTGTGACCTAATGTGTGCCCACCATTAGATGTGGGTGGATGCAGGCGGTATATTCTAATGGTGGGCATACCACACACTTTCTGGCAGAGATTTCTTCTCTTTTTTTCATTAAGTCCACGGGCTGCATACAAAAAAAAAGAACATAGCATATACAGGAATACCTCGGTTTACGAATGCCTCTGTTAACATAATTTTCGGTTTACAAATTTTTTTCGCAATACAAAGTGTATTGTCAGTGCTGATTTTTAAATGCAACTGCCGTCTTTTTTTTTTTTTCTTCACTATAGCTCACAACATTAGCTGTCAGTTTTGAGGAAATAAACTAAAAGAAACTCTCTCTCTTTTAGCTATAGGGGGAAAGTGACAAATGAATCTCTGAACTACTGTATAGTGAAGAAAAAACAAAACAAAAAACAATTGGTAATTGCATTTAAAAACTGGCATCTGACAGCGGAGTGTAAAAGAATTTTGCCAGCAATTCTTACATTCAGCTGTCAGGACAGTAATTCTAACACTAGACCTCCTCTGTACGTCTAAAATGGTAGCTTGTAAAGGCTTTTAAAACGTTGCCCATGGATATTAAAAATGTATGTAGTTTGTCGCCACTGCACAAAGCATGCGCATTTTTAAAGCATGTCATGTTTGGTATCTATTTACTTGGCATACCATTATCTTTTATATTTTACCAAATAATTGGGCAATATCTTGTGTTTTTGTGCATTAAAAGTAAAAAAAAAGTGTATTTTTTTTTTAAATTGCGTTTGAAAAAAATCGCTGCACGAGTACTATGTGACATAAAAAATTGCAGCACCCACCATTTTATTCATTAGGGTGTTTTCTTTAAAAAAATATATAATGTTTGGGGTTTACTTTCCTAGCAAAAAATACAGATTTTTTTCATGTGAACAAAAAGTGTCAGAAAAGGCTTGGTCTTCAGGTGGTTAGAAGAGTGAATGATGTGTGGCATAAACTTCTAATGCTGGGCATAAAATGCCGCCACCCACCAAAACGACCCCTTTTTGGAAAGTAAACACCCCAAACCATTTGCTGAGAGGCATGTTGAATCAATAGAAGAATTTATTTTTTTTTTTACCACAAGTTTTTGGAGAAAATGACAAACAAAAAAATGTTGTTTTTTTTTTTAAACACAAAATTGTCACTTAAATGATTTATTGCGCACATATGCCATGGGCATATGTGGAATTACTGCCCAAAATACATTCTACTACTTCTCCCGAGTATGGGGGTACCACATGTGAGAGACGTTTTGGCAGGCTAGCCAAGTACAGGACCCCAAAATCCAATAAGCACCATTAGGCTTTTAAAAGGGATTTATTTCCTCACTACCTATCACAGTTTCGGAGGCCTTGAAATGCCAGGATAGCAACAACCCGCCCCCCCCCCATGACCACTTTTTTGAAAGTAGACACCCCAAAGAATTTGATAAGAAGCATTGTAAGTATTTTGCAGAACTCATTTGTTGCCAAAGGTTTTTGAAAATTGAAGAAAAAAAAAAAAACAATATTTTCTTTTTTTTTTTTATATTTCAAAACCTTGTGAGAAAAAATTAGATCTGCAAAATACTCATCATGCCTCATTTTAAATTCCTTGGGGTGTCTATTTTCCAAAAAGGGGTCATTGTGGGGGGGGGGGGGGGTTGGTTCTATCCTGGCATTTCAGGGCCTTCCGAAACTGTGATAGGTAGTGAGGAAGTGAAATGAGAAAGTTAAGTACCTTCAGGCTTTCAAAGTGGTCATTGGATTTCAGGCTCCTGTATGTGGCTAGAATCCCAAAAAGTCTCACAAATGTGGTATCCCCATACTCGGTAGAAGTAGCAGAATGTATTTTGGAGTGTAATTCCACAATACCCATAGCTTGTGCGAGAAATATATCATCATTTAAATTACAACTTTGTGTAAAAAAAAAAAAAAAAAAAAAAAAATTGTCATTTACAGAAACTTGTGGAAAAAAAATAAATCATCCATGGACTCAATATGCCTCTCAGCAGATAGCTTAGGGTGTCTACTTTCCGAAAAGGGGTCATTTGGGGGTGTTTGTACTATCCTGGTATTTTAGCACCTCAAAAAATGTGATGGGCAGTCAGAAAGTAAAAGCTTTGTAAATTCCATTATCTATACCACAGTTTGTAGATGCTATAACTTTCACATAAAGCAATCAATATACACTTATTGGGATTTTGTTAACCAAAAACATGGAGTAAAATAAATTTTGGCCTAAATTTATGAAGAAATTTTTATTTTTTTGGATATTTTTTTATCACAGAAATTAGAATATATATATATTTTTTTTTTGTGTGTGAAAAAATTGTGACATAAATTTCGTTTGGGTACTGCATTGCATGACCGCGCAATTATCAGTTGAATTAGTGCAGCGCCGAGTAGCAAAAAGAGGACTGGTCATTAAGGGGGGGGGGGGGGGGGGGGGGGGGGGGGGAGGGGGTTAAATCCTCTAGGTTAATATACACCTATGATAAAAATTATAGACCCTTCATTTCTTTGGACAATTGGCAGGAGACTTACACAATAATTTGCAGGAGATCCTCACTGTATACTATCACTGTATACTTGCACTTTATGGCAAGAGCTGCCCGCCTTCAGTCAAGCCACAGTTCTGCTTTATGAAACTGCAGCCATAGTCTGCAAGTTTGCAGCTGATTCACATTGTTTTTCCATCATCCAAACCCCTCACTCAAAAGCAGGTTTTAAAAACATTAAAGGGTTTAATTTCCAATAGGAAAATTGGCCATCACTGATCAACTGTAAAAAAAAAAAAAAAAAAAAAACAAAAACAAAAAAAAACATGTTGCTATGGACCAAATTCATAATGTTCATTTCAAAATTATAAACCAGGAATGCATTATGTGAATAATTCTATAGAACATGGAGAAATTGATAAATTAAAGAATAATATGTAAAGTCCAAACAAATGTTTATTGGATCAGAAAAATTTTGTACTTATGAAAATCTGACCTATAAAATATTCTGCATAGTTATAAAACCATATAAACAGTGGATTAATTTTATAAATACTGGTTATTTGAATCTATTCAACTTTACTGTATGTATTCATATTATGGCAGACCTGTTCATAATAAAACTTATGCAAAGATACTTTATATACATAAAGTACATATGACACAATATTGGGTCAGCCATTAGTATAGCCACTCACAGGCAAACTTTTCTGCTGAAAGTAATTAGATAATTTGAAAAATACCATTTCAGATCTTTGCTTTCCTAAAAGTAAAAGCAACAAACTAAGCAGCCATGACACAAAGCACTTTTCACAATAAAGCACTTTTCATGTAGTTTAGAACACACAAGCTCTGATTAAACAAGGTCTGCATATGATGCCACGTCTCATCAAGGTGCGAAGATAACAGAGAAATCTCATCCAATAACTTTGGCTCGGCCGAAATGAACCGCAGATGGATCTAGAAAGAATACACATAAACTGTTTAAATGAAAAAAAAAAATAAAAAAATTATGAACATGTGACATTAAACAGCCTGTCATTTCTATGCCTTGATAGTTCAATAATCAATTTCAGGACACCAATGACTTGTTTTCAATACAGCGAAGCTTGGGCTCTGGGAGTGCAAACCAAAGCTATACTGTAGCCCAATGAGTGAGGATACACTATTCTTCTTCATTGTTTTAATTTCTCAACTGAGTTATAACAGTCAGGCCTACAAACTGCCCCATTTCAGCCTGTGCAAGTACCTCCATACCCATCCACATTCCTAAAAAACAAAACTGTCAGAACAGGTGGATGATTCGACATGTAGAAAATAGTCATTTTTTTTTTAAAGGAATAACATAAAAAATGGATTTCCTTTAAATCCTGGAGGTATCCCCATGTCCTGCTGCTTTAAGGGTACCCTTGTACTTCCCATAAACTCATTTTAGCAGACAGATACTTTTAACTGTGAGAATGATTAGCCATGTGAGTGTGGAAAGTGGATAAGCACAAGCAGTTTCTTAGATGTGTGTGTGTGTGTGTATATATATATATATACACACACACACCGGCCACTTTATTACATCTACACCTATTCTAATGCTTGGTAACACAAATTGCTAATCAGCCAATCACATGGCAGCAACTCAATGCACTTAGGAATGTAGATGTGGTGAATACGACTTGCTGAAGTTCGAACAAAGCATCAGAATGGGGAAAAAAATGGGATTTAAAAATGACTTTGAATGTGGCATGGTTGTTGGTGCCAGAAGGACTGGTCTGACTATTTTCAAAATTGTGGATCTACTGTGATTTTCACAAAAAACATTTCTAGAGTTTACAGAGAATGGTCTGAAAAAGAAAATATATCCAGTGAGCAGCAGTTGTGTGGAAGAAAATGCTTTGTTGATGCCAGAGGAGAATGGGCAGACTAGTTGCTGCGACATTCAGATGGTAGGGTCAGAATTTGGCGTAAACATGAAAGCATGGATCCATCCTGCCTTGTATGAACAGTTCAGGCTGGTGGTATACACATAGACATACTTACACACACAGTGGGTAAAATAAGTATTGAACAAGTCCCCATTTTTCTCTGTACATATATTTCTAAAGGTGCTATTGACATGAAATTTTCACCACATGCTGGCAACAACTTATGCAATCCATACATACAAACAAACCAAAACAAATAAGTTTGAAAATTAAAGTTGTGTAATAAAATGGAATGACACAGGGAAAAAGTATTGAACTTGCAACTGAAATGTATTTAATAATTCATACAAAATCGTATGTTGGTGATGAAAGCTTCAAGATGCCTCCCGTATAGAGAAACTAGTCGTATGCATTGCTCATGTGTGATTTTGGCCCATTCTTCCACACAATCTTCAAATCTTGAAGGTTCCATGGGCTTCTTCTATGAACTCTTTTGATTCCAATAGAAAATCTATGGAAAACTAGTCAGGTGATTGGTTGGGCAATTTTTTTTCTCTCTTTGAAACCAATTGAGAGTTTCTTGGCTTTGTGTTTGGATTATCTTGCTGAAATGTCAACCCCCATTTCATCTTCATCATCCTGGCAGATGGCAGCAGATTTTTATCAGGAATGTCTTGGTACATTTTTTTTATCATTCCTTCAATGTGTGATTTTGGCCCATATGCTTCAGCCCCACACCATGATGTTCCCACCTCCAAACCTCTGTTGATGGTGTTTTTGGGGTGATGTGCAGTGCCATCTGACCTCCATGGTGTGTATTGTTCCAAAGAGTTCTTTTGTTCTCATCTGACCAGACTATATTCTTCTAGTTTTTCACAGTCTTGTCTAAATGTTTTTCAGCAAACTTTAAACGCGCTTCAACTTGCTTTTTCTTCAGCAATGGAGTCTTCCGTATGGAGCATGCATACAGGCCATAGCGGTTGAGTGCATTACTTATTGTTTTCTTTGAAACAATTGTGCCTACTAATTCCAGGTCTTTCTAAAGCTCTCCACAAGTGGTCCTTGGCTCTTGGACAACTCTTCTGTTCATTCTTTTCACTCCTCTGTCAGAAATCTTGGTGAAATTATGTTATTTCCACTTTCGGATAATGGTTCCCAACAGTGCTCATTGGAACATTCAGAAGTTTAGAAATCCTTCTGTAACCAATACCATCAGTATTTTTTGCAACAATAAGGTTGCAAAGGTCTTAAGAGAGCTCTTTGCTTTTACCTATCATGAGATGTTCCTTGTGTGACACCTTGGTAATGAGACATTTATATAGGCCATCAGTTGAGACTGAACCAGCTGATATTAGTTTGCACTGACAAGGGGCAGGGTTGCTTTTTAATTACGGAGAGATTTCAGCTGGTGGCTTGGCTTTCCATGCTTTTTTGCACCTCCCTTTCCTCATGTGTTCAATACTTCTTCCCTATGTCATTTTATTACACATAACTTAATTTCTGAACTTATTTGTTTTGGTTTCTTTGTATGTATGGATTGCATGGGTTGTTACCGACGTGGTGAAAATTTCATGTCAATAGCACCTTTAAAAATACATTTGCCTAGAAAAATGGTGACATGTTCAATTTCAATACTTTATATACATATAATATATATATATATATATATATATATATATATATATATATATATATATATATAAAAATCATACGCACTGTGTGTGTGTGTGAATAAATAGTAAATATATTGTTAGCACAATATTTAGTGACATTACACATAGTTTAATTTTAAACTCTGTGTATGTTCTATGCTCTTTTAAAGCCACCACTACAAAATAAATACAACACATTTAACCAGTTGCGCACTGCCCTATAGCAGAAAAATTGCTACAGAGGGGCATGGGTGTGCAAAATCACAAAATATATGTGATTTTGCAGTTCCGCGTAGGGGGGCGCACGCCGGTGATCACAGAGTATCTCTGACGGGGGTAGAGACCTGTATGTAAACAATACAGATCTCTCCCGTCAGCTCCTGCACACTGCTTTGTATGGCTCTGCATAACGCTGCCATGCAAAGCAGTGTTCTTACAGTGTAACACACACACACACAGCCCCTATAGGGAAACAGCACACAGGTAACCCTTTTATTGCCCCAGATGTTAACCCCGTCATGCCCAGCACCATTAGTACAGTGTCAGTGCTTTTTATTAGCACGGATCACTGTATTGGTGTCACTGGGGATGTCAGTGACACCAAGTCAGTTTCCCCCCAGTGTCAGAATGCCCACCGCAGTCCCACTATAAGTTGCCAATTGCCGCCATCACTAGCAAAAAGAAATTCCAGTATATATACCCCACGATTTGTAAACACTATAAATTTCATGTAAACCAATTAATTTACATGTATTGGGATTTTGTTTTTTTTTTTCTTAGCAGACATGTAGCAGAATATATTTTGACCTAAATTTTTGACGAAATTTGATTTTTAACATTTTTTTACTGGACATGTTTAATAGCAACAAGTCAACAATTTTTTTTTTATATTATAGCGCAAAAAATAAAAAACACATAGGTGATCAAATACCTCCGAAAGAAAGCTCTATTTATGGGAAAAAAGGACATAAATTTCATTTGGGTGCAGCTTTGCATGACTGCGCAATTGTCAAAGTAACACAGCGCCGTATCGCAAAAAAATGGCCTGGTCAGGAAGGGGGGGTAAATCCTCAGGAGGGCAAGTGGTTAAAAGGTATAAAACAGATTTAAAAATCTTAACAATAAGAAATGCTTATTATTAATACATGTTTGCTGCTGTAGGAGAGAATTATAAAAGAACATGATCAGGACCAACAGGGCTGCAACTGCCTAATTTTGCTACACTTGGTTTTGTTACACTGAATGACCACTGCAACTAGCTGTTACAATGATCCCTCAACCATCAACTACAAGGATTGGCTCCTGTTCACACAATGGAATTTCGGCTGTCCAACATCTTAAAAGTATATCAAAACCGAAGAACAAAATTTAAACATATTACAGCTTACCAGTCCTTAGATGTGATGGCTGCCTTAGTTTTAATGTTTCAGACTACAAACATTTTCAACATGTACAGAAAACATCTGCTGATATTGCCAGAAATGCAGTGTCCTTTGCCACCTTATGCTAGCTAAACTCAAAGCACAAAGTTATCTTTTGTCTGTGAACTACTTCTCCCTCTCATCTCCATTACATATGGGGGGGGGATAAGTGTTTGTCCAGTCCAGTTCAGGTAACAACTACCATGGCTCCCATAAGAGATACAAAGGACGAGTGACTATAGCCACCCTAGGTTCATTTGGAGGATTAACAGATGAAAAGAATAAAAGAAAAATGCCTGAAAATAAGAACATATCAGCCACATCTAATAAATGGTAAGCTGCAATATATTTGTTTTTCTTTGTAGATACTTTTTAACTTAAGTCCTCCCAAACATAATTTAATGTAGCAATTGGCTAAGAAGAAAATAGGTCACAGAACATCGAAACAGTCAACAATTACCTTTAGAAATAAAGCAAGATAAGCCTGGGCAAGCTCAAAATCACGTTTTATGTCCAACATTCTGCCAATCATCTTCAAGAAGCTCTGCATTACTTCAACAGAACCACCGCCTTCTGGAGCCAAGTTCCGAATCTCTGTATCAACGTTGGAAGGTCCCATCTCCTTTATTGTTTTCAGTGGAATGTCATCTTAGGATAAACACAATCATTTTATGTGCTTGCAAGTTGTTTTCACATCAATGAAAGCTGCTCTACTCTAAGAACCCAGCTGAGCTTTTATACTGAATCATGGCACTTCTTAGAAAAAACCATCCACCATTTATTTATAATTTTTGAAAAGCACAATTTAAACGCAATGCATATAGTTTAGTAAATGGTCCTTTTTATTTAACGGTTTTTTAAAAAATGTTTGTAAGGTACGAATGAAATATTGCATATGAATACTATGCGTCATTTTATCCAGCCAGCTGTGGCAAACGCTGCTCGTTTTTATGTCTCCAGCACTTAATAGTCTCTTTACAGTGATAAATACCTCAAGGTTAAATATACACATAGAAATGATAGCCTTAGAGGAGTTACTCATCCCATCTTGGCATTTAACAATCCTTAATCCAAAAAAGTTAGGACGCTGTGTTAAATCTACATAAAAAACAGAATGTACTCATTGCAAATCTCATAAAACCATATTGTATGCACAGTAGAAAACTTATCAAAATGATTACATTGAAAAATGTAAATTCTGTTTTATATAGATTTTACACAGCATCACAACTATTTTTGAAATTGGGATTGTAGTCTGACGTTTTAAGGAGAGGAAGCTGTGCCTACAGCGGCGGTCTCTTGAGCTTACAAAATTCTGGGAGTCCTTTGAATGTATATCAGTACTAGAAACACCAGTGTGCGCAATCACACAGTAAATTCAAATTCAGGGCATTCTCTACCTTGAAATCATAGCTACCTGTAAGAGGTGGAAAGACATACCGTTCTCCCCCTGGGCCAATCAAAGAATGCTTTGCATTGATTCTAAAAGTGAAAAGCAATTTCTCTGAATGGCGCTAATGCAGAGCGGCCTCACAATACATCAGGCTGGCCGCCCAGCATGGAAACAATTAGAGATCACTGAAGTGGTATCTACTTCAGGGACTCATCTTCTAGGGGCTTCACCTAGGTATGGTATATACGTAAGCACATTGGTCCCAGCTCAACTAATATAATGATGTAAAAATGTATCATGCCAGGAAGGACTGGTAAACTACAATTGTTGTTCTTGGATGCACAGACGGATCATTTTCCGCTTTTGTATGAATGTTTTGGCATGTTTTTCTTTTCTTTAGTTTACGATTGAATATAAGTATTTTGGCTACAAAACCTATAGAAAACACATTTTACTATGCAGCAATTTTGTAATTTTAACCTTTATCAGAAGTCACACTGCATCCAAATAAGCAGTGACTTATCAGCAGCATCTTAAAAGAGAAGTGCAAGATATACAAAAAAAACAAACATACTACTCACCTACGTGGCTGCATCATTTGTCTGATGCTGCAGCTGTACCCACCATCTCTAAGCCTGAGACCTAAGCGATCATTTGACCCTTTATTGCTCAGTTCTCAGTCTTTACTGAGCAGAGAGCAGTGACTGTCATTCACCGGCTCTCTGCTCTGCCCCTCCAGTACTCCCCAGGCTGTGGAGGGGGGTGAGAGCAGCTGGCTCAGGCACTCAGAGGCATGCTGAAAGGCTGAGCCAACTGCTATCAGGCATCTTGATGGATCCCCCATTATTGTTAGCTGACAGAGCCAGTCCAGGCTCTGCTGAAATCCTGACAGCTTAGGGCAGAGAGAACCAGATTAAGGTCTCAATGAAGAAGAGGATGCTGTAAAAGTGGCTTGATCAACAAAACACCTTGAATAAAGGTTTTAACGAGGGATAGTGGGGCCAGTGTTTTTTTTTTTTTTTTTTTTTTTTTTTTAAAGAACAGACCAGGCAGCAACATGTTCTTTCAGAATACTTAAGGCAAAGTTCTGGTCAAGATCCGATTGAGGAAGGCCAAAATGTGAGGCACAGCATAATATGATCTGGAACTGAAGAGCTTGAGTTCACATGAGGCAAAGAAGGAGCTCCAGGTATGATAATGGATCGTTCTAGAAGCAGCTTTTCTTGCTTTAAGTTTCCATCTAGTTTCTGCCATTGCTACAGGTGAAAGTAATCCCCTGTGGAGTACTGTTGGGAGTAAGGTGTGGAAAATGGGTAAGCATGTCAGAGAAGACTACACAGCAACCTGGGTGCAAACCGCACTGTAGTGAATTGCTTGCGGCAAAAAGCAAGAGGAGGAAGCGTCTGAGGACCTTAATATAGGTCTCTAGGCAGAAGTGGTGGTAACGCCAGGTCTTCCCCCTTAAACTGAGCTCTGAGTGGTGGAATTTTAGTGCGAAGTTTACACTAACACATGTAAAAACACTGTAGATCTCCAAACACACTACAGTCATGGGCAAACATATTGGTGCAATTGTCCAGCAGTGAGTCCAGATCTCAATTTAAGAACACCAGTGGAGATACCTCAGAACAGCAGTTGGAAAAAGGAATCCTTCCAATCTTGAGAGACCTGGAGCAGGTGGCAAAAGAAGAGTGATCAAAATCCCAGTAGAGAGGTGTAAGAAACTCATTGATGGTTCCAGGAAGCGATTGATTTCAGTTATTTCTTTACAAAGGGTGTGTGCTACCAAAATTATTAAATTGGAGGTGGCAATAATTTTGTCCAGTCCATTTTTGGGGTTTTGATTGGAATGTGTCAGATTTGGCTTTTTGTTTCTCCACTTTTTTGTGGCATAACAATATAAAGAAAAGGAAAAAACATAGGAATGCCTACAAATTTGTAACTGCAAAAATTATCTGGGCAAAGTGGTGCATTATCTGACAGAAATGCAGGGGAGTGCCAATATTTTTGGCCATGACTGTATAAATATATAAGATTAGAAGACAGTGAAAAAAATTTAGGACTCGTGGAGTGAGATAGACACTCGTCCTGTGCTGTATGATTAAGATAGAATGCCAGATAACAGAAAAGTCAAGAATCTCTTGCATAACTGAAGAATGCCTTGACAGGAAAGGGATTAGAAACTAGTTTACCCGAACCACTCAGAAGTGGTGTGTCCCTCAAAGTCAACCCCCTTCCTCGGCATAAACCTATGTAAAGTAGTAATTTCAAAAGGCACCCAGCAATCAATAAATCAGGCAGCTCCCAGAGCCAGCACGATCAGCCTACTCATTTTGTCTGAGACAAGGCAAGCAGTAATGCCAAGAGCTCTGAACCTGGAAAGCACTCCAAAGCTAACTTTTACCTGTATAGGGTCTGGAAAACACCTTATGTGGAACCCAGTGGGGAAGGGGCAATTTAAAGCTAGCCCTGCAACATTCGGTCCAATGCTCAGGCTAGGCTGAGGAACGCCAAGCTGGGTAACTGCAATCAAAAAGACCAGCTCTAGCTACAATGTAGTCTTGATCCTTGTCAGTGTCCCATGTCCTGCAAACAAATTTGCGCTCAGTAAATAATAATATTATTATTATTATACAGTGTCCTGATACTACCAGCTAATCTCTACAAACCTTCTCCAGACACAGCTCAGCTCCCTCTGCAGTGTCAGCAATAGCTGTACTCCGGCTTCTCTCTGCACAGCACTGGAGATGGAGGTGCAAGGAGGACACAGAGCGAAAGTGAAGGAGACTGGGGGAGATTGAACAGATATTTAGATCTTCTAAATACATACACCGCTTGGCAGTGTATGTATTTAGAAGGAATGACTGCTACTGGCAAAGTCCGGGACTGAACTGTAGGGACAGATTATTAGAAGCAGTTGGCCAGTAAGGGCCAGGGCAGCCAGGCCCCTCATGACAACCTGGCCCCCTACATGTGTATGGGCTGTACCCCTGATGGTGGCCCTGCCCGTACCATAAAATGGAACCAGTGAAAGGGTAAAATGCATCAGTGGATGGCAATGATCTATAGACCTTTTCCTAAAAGAGGTCAGATTATAGTTAAAAGCAACATTCTGGAAATGTTTATGATGAAATAATATATGTACTTGTCCTATACTTAAAAGACATGCAACTATATATTTTTATTTCAGCTAGTTAGACGGAATTGAGACTTACAGTTTTGGTGATAAAGGGCTTCTTCAAGCTGGACACAGAAAGTAGATTTCTGTTCAAGAACTCCAAGATTCACAATTTTAGACTAAAAATAAATGATACATTTCAGTCCACCTTAACAAACAAATGTCATGTGCAGGATTAACTTTGCAGACATTATTAATTAAAAAAACATCAAACTGGTGCTACATAACCCAGATAGTTCACGCAGTGTCTAAAACCTGTATGCCTCTGTAAATAATAAAGACCATGTCACCATCATCAACAGTTAATGTAAGACAGAGTCCTGGATTACAACAGGGTACTTCAGCAATGAAACTAAAAAAACAGTTCTGTTCATAAAAGAAAAAAAAAGTCCTTTAAGGGCAAGCTATAATGATTAGCTGGGTGGTTGTAAGGGGGGTATAGCTCATAAGCAAAATGTTAAGCCCCTAGGGCCCCATTTTTGAAGTTGAGATATATTTATCACATGATGGAAGTGTCATATTGAGGAATATCACATATGGTAATAATGCTTAATTCATCAACAGAGGGAAGTTTCAGGCACTAAAACAGATGTGCAGTCTAAATTATGGTATTAAACCTTGATGATGTCACTTTCCCAGAACTCCCTTGTGCATATCACTTATAAGAATATACTTTATGCCAAAATTTGCTTTGGCATCACTTTAACATTGTGTAATGTTAAAGTGCTGAGCAAACTGTTGGTGCTATATAAATACTATATATATAAATAAAATAATAATAATGACGAAAGCCTTTAAAAGTCCAAACGTCTATAGCATAGGTGTCTGCTGTGTCCTGCAAACAGTAAATTAAATATCTTACCTGAGGATCTTCCTCCTGGGCCTCAGAACCAAAGCGAGGAACAAGTCCTGGAAGAGTCGGGATAAAAAACGGTGCTGATTTAGGCACCTTCGGAGGCTCTTTGGGTTTGTTCCTTCTCTGAAGAGAGAGAAAAAATTTTTTAAATATTACTTCGCAGAAATTATTTTACCAGTGACAATAAATATAAAGTCAACTTCTGTGGTACACTTCCACATATGAAGTTAGTAACACAAAAAGTAAGCTAATACACACCCATATCACAACATCAATACATAAAGGGTTAATCAAATAAGGGTGCTGAAACCATAGACTGGGTTTTCACAAGAAATAATAGGCAGCACTCCAAACAGCTAACTTTTTGAATTTCATATATTTATGAAATGAGGTCACATATAAAGACAAAACAGTAAATGGACACAAGCAGCAGCGGGCACCCTCACAGCAAGCTGTTGGCTGTGGGGGAACCTGACAGGAGGAGCCAGACGAGTCTGCAGGGTACCAGATAAGAGGAGGATCCAGGCTGCTTTATGCATAACCACTGCACACAGCAGGTAAGTATAACATGTTTTTTATTTTACAAAAAAAAAAAAAAAAACCATGAACCTTTAATATTGCTTTAATAGGTTATATTGATAATTCTGAACTGACTTAAGAACACAGTACCTTAATGACATCAAGGTTGAGGAGATTCTTCCATCTTGACTCAGGTAACAGTGATAAGGTCACCAGTTGCTCTGCTAACTGTTCTGGAGACTCATATTCCATCATATCCTCACTGGAGTCTTCCCTTACTTCAAGTTCATTTTCTTCAGCACAAAGTAGGTGAAAATATTATAAATCAAATTCAGGAAATATGTACGATCAATTGTAAACAGTAACTGTTATGCAGAACACAATGCAATTAAAAGGATAAGTTCACCTTTTACAATAAAATACTGAACACATTTTTGCAGGTAGAAAAAAAAAAATGTGCATTTATTTATTTATTTTTTACACTGCAGTCTAGAAGGCATTGCACCCTCGATCAGCAGATCGTGGGTACAATGGCTGGATACTGCAGACAGTAAGGCAGTTACTAAATTGAAGGAAGAATCAATGGACTACATGAGAGCTCACCAGTGCCCATGCAGTTCATTGAGAAGTACAAGCTGTTGGCCGGGGAAGGCCTATGGTAGATGTAGTTCATTCATTCACAGAACTCTGTTAATGAATAATGAGGCCTAGTGGGCGGAGGCCTGCATGGGTGTGCTGTTTTTAAATCCTGAGTGCCGGTTCACATATATGTGGATTGGATGCAGATTTACCTGCATCTAATCCACGACATGTGAAATAATATTGCTTCCTATGGTGTCTGTTCACATATGTCTGGTGCACTGCCGGTGCAGATTCAGTGCGGTTTGAAAGAGTCATGTCCAATTTCTAAGCACTGCCTTCAGGTTCAGGTGTGGATTACAGGCTATTGACTTATATGGAAACAGTTTCTAAACCGCATATGTGCGAACAAAATAAAATCCTGAGCTAATCCTATCCTGATGCAAACCTGCCCTGAACCACTGAATAACTACTGTATTAATTAGCTGTGAAAACTGAGCTTCAATACGCATTGCACATGTGTGAATAAGCTCTGTAGCAGGTGTAGTGAAAAGATCCCCGCCTGCTGTCAAATGGAGGGGGAATCAGGAGGGAGGGGGAGAGAGAGAAAGCAGGAGATGGAACATGTTATGTAACATGTAAACATGTTCAAAACATGAACTTAGCCTTTAACCTACAGTGAGAAACTGGCTTTCAAAAAGACGCACAAAACAGATTTTGTTGTCACCTTTTCCTTTATATAGGGGTGTATTATGAAGCTACTGTGCCAGAGTTCTCTGGCCATTCTGTCAACTATTTGTCAAGCTGTAGATAAAAGAGATTGGCTGTGGAAAAACTAATATATTGCTTGGATTATGTAAATTTTCATAGAATCCCACAAGCATCAACAGCATTAAAGCAGAATTTCAGCAAAACCTACCACTCAAAAATATTCCCTCCCCTCTCCTACCTATTCTGACTAAACTGTGCAAGAAAGATCTGTATACTTTCCTATTTTCAGGCCACTATGGTCACATGATCTCCGATATCAACCAGCGTCGGCTGCAAAGGAAGGGAGAGAGTGTCTGACAGCAGTTGGTAATGACGGAGAGCGGTGACATCACCTCCTATAGGCTCCTATGGTTTATCTGTTGTCGGTGATCCCTCTTCTCCCTTTCAGTGCTGGGAGGTGGATCACATGACCAAACTGGGGCAGCCTGAATATATACAGAATAATATATATATATATATATATATATATATATATATATATACACACATAATACAGTATATATACAGTGGGTAAAATAAGTATTGAACACATCACCTTTTTTCTAGGTGAATATATTTCTAAAGGTGCTATTGAACGACACAGGGAAAACGTATTGAACACATGAAGAAAGGGAGGTGCAAAAAAGACATGGAAAGCCAACACACCACCAGCTGAAATCTCTCAGTAATTAGAAAGCAACCCAGCCCCGTGTTAGTGCAAATTAATATCAGTTGGTTCAGTTTCAACTGATGGCCTATAAAAATGTCTCATTACCAAGGTGTCACACAAGGAACAGCTCATGATGGATAAAAGCAAACAGCTCTCTCAAGACCTACGGAACCTTATTGTTGCAAAACATACTGATGGCATTGGTTACAGAAGGGTTTCTAAACTTTTCTGAATGTTCCAATGAGCACTGTTGGGGCCATTACCTGGAAGTGCAAAGAACATCATTTCACCAATTAACCGGCCATGACCAGGTGCTCAACATAGGATTTCTGACAGAGAAGTAAAAGTTGTCCAAGAGCCTATGACCACTTGTGGAGAACTCCAGAAAGACCTGGAATTAGCAGGCACAATTGTTTAAAAGAAAAAAATAAGTAATGCACTCAACTGTCATGGGCTGTACACACGCTCACTATGCAAGACTCCATCGCCGAAGCTCGTTTAAGGTTTGCTGTACAACATTTAGACAAGCTCGTGAAATACTGGGAGAATATAGTCTGGTCAGATGAGAGAAAAATCTGCTACCATCTACCAAAATGATGAAGATGAAACAAGGGTGGACAGAAAATAAAACTGCTAGAATGGCCCAGCCAGTCACCTGACTTGAATCCAACAGAGAATCTATGGAAAGAACTAAAAGATCAGAGTTCACAGAAGAGGCCCACACAACCTTCAAAATTTGAAGACTGTATGTGTGGAAGAATGGGCCAAAATCACACCTGAGAAATGCATGCGACTAGTTTCTCTAGACGGGAGGCATCTTGAAGCTGTCATTACCAAAAAAGGATTTTGTACGAAGTATTAAATACATTTCAGTTAGCGTGTTCAATACTTTTTCCCTGTGCCATTGCATTTTATTACACAACTTAATTTCTGAACTTTTTTGGTTTCTTTGTATGTATAGATTGTATGGCTTGTTACCAACATGTAGTGAAAATTTCAAGTAAATCGCACCTTTAGAAATATATTTACTGAGCAAAATGGTGACGTGTTCAATACTTATTTTACCCACTGTGTGTGTAACACACACACACACATGCCAGAGTAGGTGTTAGAAGGGGGAAGGAGCATTTTTTAAGGGCACTTAGGTGTTGCCAGGAATTATACTTTAAAGACTTCCAGGTATCATGATTTATATCAAAAACCTCCCCTGCTGTGATTTCGGAAAAAACAGCCCTTTCTCAAAGTAAAAACCTCAAATGCATATAAAGCTGTGAGAATATTGCCACCTTGGAAGAAAAGTAGCTTTATTCTGCTCCACCATATTTTCTCCTTCTCTAACCTGTTTCTTTGAGTTGCGTCACTGATCCCGTGTCTCCTTTAGGGTAACCTGTTACCCTGAAGACGTCATGTGATCGGTGACGCAATGCATCGGGAGTAGCCTAGTGACTTCAATTCCAGTGGTGCGCAAACAGGAGTGAATAGTGAGAGGAACCATTTTTGTTGAGGGAATTTGATGCCTGCTTTGAATCTAGCTTTGTGAGTTTAATTTTAATTGAATAAAGCGGTTTTATATTATGGAGTTACACTATGGATTGTTCTTTCTTCCCTTGAGAAGTTTGGAGTTTGATCTTTTAAAAGCGCCAGCATCAACAAAGAAGCCATAAATAGGCAGCAGTGGAAAAGTAGAAGTCGACCATCTCTTCTAAGCATTTATGACCTATTTTTAGGTCTAGGAAGGAGGTGTGTGCATGGTACACTTATTCGATGATGGGAAACACCAAGAAGTAGTTGGCACAGTGAAATAATATGATCAATGGATCACTTTATATTAGAGCACGTGTATATAATTTTTCTTTAATGTGAGTGAATATGCTTAATTTACTTAGAGTTTAGTTCATTACAAACGGTGTTGCACTACGGAATATTTTTAGTTTTTTATACACGGTTTGGAGTCAAGACTTAAATATATAGTGTCTGGAAGGAGTATCACATGGATCACAATTTGGAGCATACACAGTCCATTTAAAAGTGTATTTGACCCATTATAATTTGTAGGTCAAATCTCAAGGTGAGCAGGGAGTGGATCTGTAACACAAGCACGGTGTGGAATCTGTGATGAGATTGCAATACCACAACTTTTTTGCATGTTGGATTGGACTATTGTTATTTGATTGATTGAGGATTGTATTTGTTTTAAAATTTTCCAATTTACGGGGACATAGCGCACCACATTTATTTATTTGATTTAAAGTGAGAGGACACTTGGGGAGTGAGTGCAGCAATCTTTCTTTTTTATTTTAATGGTATGGCAGTGCACAAGTTTATTATATTTTCACTAAAGACCAGAGAATACTGCACTGTGAAGGAGATAAAGCAAGGCAGAAGACTGTAAAGCCGGGCCGCACAAGTGCCAAGATGGCAGGTACTTTGTAACTCCTCAGGAAAAAGGGCAACAACGGTCCCCAAGCTCTCAATAAGGAAGAGCACGGACTGGTATCCAGCAGTTCATTTAGCAGGCATAACAAAAGTAAGGGACAGGTCCCTGCCACCAAACATTGCATTCCCAGTGGGAATTTTCAGGGATAAGGTTACTCGAGATGGTAGTAGCACAGCCCTGGAACAGTATAGCACCCTGAAGCTAACTCATCATGATGCACTACATGCCAAAGTTAGCACCCAATGCAGAATCTAGTGTCCAGGGGAATATTACAAGCCAGCACCACATTTTCCTTTTGGTGGGGTGCAGGTACAGTTCAGGTAACCGATCTGGAAGCAGTTAAAATTGTGCCGCAGTGGCTCTACAGCAGCTAGGAATCTTGATTGCAGGGGAAAATACATTTTAAAAAGAAGTGATTTGCTTCTCTCAGAGCAGAGAAGAGATGCACCCAATCTTCTGAAGGATGCAGTATAATCAAAGGTTCCAGAATACAAAATCCTATGATGTATGATTAAGATTTTTTTTTTTTTTAAATTTAATTTATGAGGCTTGTGCATCACATCATAACTAGATCTGGGATTTGTTTAGACTGCCACATAGGAGCCTTCAGTTGTACTTTAACGTAAATATATATTTATCAGTTATTTTCTTCTAAATCTTGTGGTCTATGGATTTTACAGTTGGCACTAAAATGTACATGGTGGTTCCATATTTGTTCATATGAAGGCTCTGTTTACTGGTTTTGTTTGGCTAGGCTCTTATCTTGGTTTAGGTTTATCAAACAGGATGCGACTGAAAACAAAGAACTCACTGCAATTCTAGTAACAACAAACCATGAATATTGTTCATGCAGCCAAAAACCATGTAATCCTTGTCTAGGCATTAGGTTGCATGAAGAAAGGGGAGGGATCTGGACCATGTGAAGTGTGCACTTTATTAGTATAAACTTATAATATAAACTTGCCTTCAATTTCATCATTTGCTCCAGGAAGCATAACTACAATAGGCTCATAATCTGATGGAAGTGGTCGTAATGAGATCAAGGAAAAGAGAGCTTTGTTTGACCTGTAGAGAATGAAAGAACAGTAGTCAGGTAAATGCACCTATATTTTTGCAGTATTATTGTAACACAAGCTAAAGCAAGCTGCTACATGGCTTCAAACAAACTGAGAATAGTCTAGATCACACACTTCAACCACAACAGATCTTCTATATGTTCATGTATACTTGTACTTAATTGTAACAGAAAATTAAAGTGGTGCCCCTTGCACCTTTTTCTGCTAACTATTTGAAAAAGGCAAAAGAGCAGCAGTAAACTTAAAACGTATGTCAAAGCGCACTACAGCTCTAACAATAAATGCACATTTTCCAGTGTTTTATCAGCTTAAATATCCTGCAAGTTGAAATACTAGTTTGATACGGGGGCTGGTTATGAAGGCAACACATTAAACACAAGACCAGAGTAAATGTTGTTGCAGAGATAAACAGTGTGATGGCCCCTACACAGACTGTTGCCATTGTGTACTCTTGAGAAAATGAAATCTGAAAACTTTGGAAAATTAAGGGCAAATTATGCTCTTGGCACTAAAAGTGGTAACAGCTAAATCCAAGATAAACATTCTAGGCCATCTGAATATTACGATATGTCTATAGTCATACGTTACAAATAGCAGTGAGCATTTTAAACAGAGGGGATCCATATTCCATGAGCTGATATAAGACATACCACAAGTAAATACCAAGGTCATCCACATGAGCAGTGGCCAAGAAATCTCCAGTAGGGGACATGGTTAGGCTGACAACAGCTGAATCAAGCAGGAAACAGTCAATGAGGCTGGAAAGAAAACATAGAAGAAATTATATAGAAAAGATTATCTTTACCCAAAGGTATCTAATGTTTGACTTAAGGAACACCAATGTCCAATCGTGGAATCTGTAAAATACTTGCTTGCCACTGTGTTTCATGTTATGATTGTTAAAGAATTCATTTTCTGATACGGATTTGAGATTTTCACAAATAATGCACCAGCGATGGTACATTCATCTTAATATTCTTAAAATTGAGGTGGCTACTTTGGGTATTAGCATTCTGAGCACCATAAAAATTTAGATAAGGTTTGTCACAGTCAAAAAAAAAATGAATTACAGTTATCTTCAACCTAAGCCTTTAACTGAGGTGTTGCACTTTACACTTGTGCACTGTAAAGAATGGGTATTTGTGTGTTATAGAGCATGTCAGTTAATTTTGAATGGCATGCTAATGCACATATAGGGCAAGTCAAAATGCACCTCTGCATAAGTACATGATAATTCACAGAAATGAATACTATATTGTGGTGAAAATAGAACAGATGCATTTATTTACATTGAAGAATGCCTCAAGACAACAGCACTAAAAATGCAATCTTACAGTGAACTAGACCTGGCTTAAATCTTATCGGAATCTGGAATCCCCCTTTAAATGAGGCAGCCCCCAGTGTCCAGGCCCCTACCCTCCCATGTAAATGAGTACGGGCAAAGTAAATAAAAATACAGTTTTTGACCAGTCCTTTATTAAAAAGGCCAAACAAAAAATTCAGTGTCAATCACAATGAACACTGGCCGCTGTCAGTTGGCAAGGAGGAGCCAAGAACGCCGTGACGTCACGCCGTCGGAGCATCGTGGAGCTCCGGCGGCCATCTTTTAATCTGGACGGTTAGTCCATAATTTGCTTTTATATACAGCTGTATATCATCGAGTAGCTTACTATACGAATAAATTCTTTTATCACCTACTACACTATGGGTATGTCCTTGTCTTGACTCCCCTGGGGAGCATCAATTTTTCAGCCACTCATCCATTCACTGGACAAGGGCGTGTTGTAAGGAGAAGTCCGCAAGCCACCTTTTGAGGGAACAGGCAGGAGCACCCAGGAGTCCTGGAGGGAGGTTATCGCATCACAGACCTTTTCCTAGCGATCCAGAGGGGAATATATGTTATACAAACGCTCATTTATCTGTGCGTTCTGGTGAGTGTGCATTTCTTCTGCACCATTCCGCACAACGCCTGAATACGAATTAAAGGAGAGCACTTGAAGTCACTTTATATTTATTATTATCAACTGCTACATGGACTAATTCCTCTATTTATTGTATATGTATCAGTTCCTCATCTACTCATAGCGCTGCATTTTTATGATATATTAGTTGGCAAGCATCGCTCAGGGACCAGGCCTCTTTTTTTGTGCGGGTTTGCAGCTGGCGTAACTGATGCTGGATTTACTTTGGGGGACTTTATTTTTGGCGAATTAGTAGGGGTGCTATAATCCATGAAGGGGGGTGGGCGGGAGAGGGATCTGGGGGGGGGTCCTTGTTAACCTCAAATCCAAACACTTTCAACCCCTTCCAACCCAGGCCAATTTTCAACTCTTAGTACTCTTTCACTTTTGAATGAAAATTATTAAGGCATGCAATACTGTACCAAAACGAAATTTGTACCTTTTTTTTTTTTTTATTGAGACAGATGGAGCTTTCTTTTTGTGGTATTTAATTGCCACCAAGTCTTTTATTTTTTTTTTTATTTATATGTAAAAACACTGACATTTAGAAAGAAAGCACTTTTACTTAGTTTTTGGTATAACATTTTGCAAATAAAGTTTTGTGTATATATAAGTTTTTGTTTCTTTTTTTGGAAAATTGTTTAGTCCTGATGTACTGGCTGCCATTTCCTGAGACCCTAAAATGTCAGGACAGTACAAATATCCCCCAAAATGACTCAAGTAGACAGTCCAAGGTATATAAAGAGTCATTGTGAGTTTGTTTGACGTTATTTTAACAAGTTATTTCTCTTATTTTAACAAGCTGTTTCAAACATACGGCATAGGCATACAGTACTTGCAATTACAACCACAAACACATTGTGCTATGCCTCCTGAGTATGGGGATACTACATGTATGAAACTTTTTCACAGCCTAGCCACACAGAGGGGCCATAAAATCCAAGGAGCCCCTTCAGGCTTTCGGGGGGCATAAACTATGCATCCAATTTCCTTACTACCCATCACATTTTTGGAAGCCCTGGAGCACCAGGACTGTAGAAATACCCACAAACTTACCTCATTTTGGAGTGCAAATACCCCAAGGTATTTTTAAGTGGCATGGTGAGTCTTTTGAAGACTTCTGTATGCCACAAGATTTTGGAAAATGCAGCAAGAAAATAATTTTATATATATTTTTTTTAACACACAAAAGATGTAAATTTAGTAAGATATTTCTCATACAGCATGGGCATAATTAGAATTACATTTCCACAAAATGTGTAAGGGGACACCACATGATACTTTTTCACAGCCTAGCCACACAGAGAGGCCCCATTCAAGAAGCACCCTAAGGTGTTCTAGGGGCATAAATTATGCATCTAATTTTCAATCACATTTTTGGATGCCCTGGAGGACCAGAATAGTGAAAACAATTGGGGACATTGGCTTTGACGACACTGGTATGGCAGTGATCAGGATGCTGGTATGGCATATGGCAGTGATCAGGACGTTGATATGGCAGTGATAAGGATGCTGGTATGGTAGTGACCAGGACATTGGTGTGGTGTTACTGTGATCACAGCCGACACTGAGACAGGACAGGGTTTTTCTTGCTATTACACTGGAGCAGTGATCAGGGACAGTGAGTGAAAGATGGCACTGCAGTCTGAGTGTACATGCAGTGTGACAGGCTGCTACAACTGTTCTCTCTGCTCTCACAGCTGATCTGTGAGAGAGTAGAGAGGACCAATGTTTACTTTCACTTTGCTAGGTTTACCATGCGATGGTTGTGACTGGACAGAGCCATCACACGGTAATAGACTACGTGATCACCTGGACACAATGGTAATGTGATCCACTGTGTCTGGGGAACACAGCGATCGCCAGAGTCTCCGGCGCATACTCTGAGCTGTGCATGACTTTCCAATGTAGGGCGACGTACGGGTACTCAAACAAGGTGCTTGCTTTGGGGTGGGGATTAACCCCCTCAAATCACCCACCCCCCAAACATGTTGAGGGCATGTGGTATGGAGGGGTCCTCCTTTTCTGGCCTGCATGCTTGGATAAGGGTCTGGTATGAAACTTGAGGGGGGGGGGGGGGGCATGCATTTGTTTTGTAATTTTGCTGTGGGGTCCCTCTCAAAATCCATACCAGACCCAAAGGGCAACTTTTTTTTTTTTAAACATTTTTTAATAATGGTATTTCTTTTTTCTTTTACATTTTGCTGTCAGCAGAGATACCTGATGAGTCATGGTTGCTAAGGATTCTGCAGGTACCGGCTTCTTGACGACCAGTTATTCAACCAGCTATTTCCCAGTCAAGGGCATTGGTGGGTGCCGGCATTAAAATGCTGCATGTTTTCACTACTAAAATACTGCATCACGCAAGCGGTATTTTAGTAGTGCTTTTCAGTGAATTAAAAAAAAAAAAATTGAAAATTGCTATGAGGTAGTTTACCGCTTATCTTAAAGCAGTAAATACTGCTTATTGAATTGAGCCCATGGTCAAATCAATACCCTTGTCTCTGTAGAGCCCTCCTTGAATACTAGGCCCATGGTGTACATGGGGCCTCAACTTCTGTCAAAATCAGGAATACGCCCTGTTAATTTCCAGAACATTAATGGGTTCTAGAGGTTCTGATATCTGATAGTGGAATGACAGGGTATGGAGCTTAGTGACAAAAAGGCACATAATCTCTACTTTGACAAAATCTACAGCTCAATGTACAGCCTGGTCCAGGGATCAAATACATCTGAAGTGCTTTCTGTATTGTTCCTACATTAAAAAAAAAAAAAAGTTTCAACTACACTCAAACCTAATTTTTACTATAATCTAAATCATTAAAGTGATTCAAAAGGTTCAAGATTTTTTCTTTAAATAAAACAAACATGTTATACTTGCCTACTCTGTGCAATGGTTTTGTACAGAGCAAACCCGATCCTCTTCTTCTTGGGTCCCCCACCAACGCTCCTGGCTCCTCCACCTTGACCAGTGCCCCAATAGCAAGCCGCTTACTATGGGGGCACTGGGGCATGCTAGCTATCGAGCCCCACGCTATGCATCAATAAGACACACAGAGCTGTGACTCAGCCCTGCTCTCTCTCCTCATTAGATCACTGGCTGTGATTGACAGCAGTGGGGGCTGCTGTCTCTTAGTCAATGAGAGAGACCCAGGAAAGCTGAAGGGCTGTGGGGGGAGCAGCATACATAAGGTGTTTCCCTTCATGCATAGAATGCATAGAATTTACAAACACTTTAAATGTTAACCATCCAGTTCATCCATAAACCTACAAATATCATAATAATACTATTATGTCATTATTGGTACAAAAAAAAGCTAAACTTGAATGGTGAAGGCAAATGCAGTTGCTACTTGCAATTGCAGATTAAGGAGGCGTCTGGCACATGTTTCAAGTACAAGTTTCCTGAGATTCCGAAAACCTAGCCATGCAAATATTAGGTTTAGAACTCTGCCTATGTCCAGACTTTGGCTAAGCCAAAAGAAAGCTTTAGTCTAATAGAACCAGTTATTACATTGTGACTCTGGAGCAGAAAAAAAGAAGACAAATGATAAGCAAGCCGAGTTCCAGAAGGGGGCTCCAGTTAACTGAAATTGCTTTCCTTAAAGTTTTGAACTTTATATTTGCCAAGTAAGATATTAATAAACCCAAATTTCTATGTGCAGACACCCACTCTTAATGTACACTATATTAATTAATGTTAGAAATCTGCCAGAGAGGAAGTAAAACTGTTCCATTCGAAAGTGATTACTTAGGAATTATAATTCCTAATTACAATTATAGTCACAATAATGGAAGTTGCTGCAGCTAATACAGGTAAAGAAGCGGATATGAGAGAAGGAAATTACACACCTAGTCAATGCTCAAAGACATAAGTAAAGACATAAATAGCCTATAAGCATGCAAGCCATTACAGAATCAGCCTCCTCTGTTATTAACATGCTGCCCTAAAATGTACAGGTATCCATTACTTTGTGACAGCCTAAAATGTCTTACCATCCAGATGGAAAGTCCCAGATTTTGATTGTACAGTCCATTGATGCAGTCATTAGCCAACGGCCATCTGGACTATAACTCTGCAAATTCAAAAAAAGGTATTTATTTTACTTCGTGAGGAGTCTGAAGTTGAAATCAGGTTTGCTTAGTAAATTGTTGGTAAAAAGATACTTAACAGGAGGAAGAGAGCTAAAGTTTGGTGCCAACAGTGTGGTGATGCTCACTAGCAGTCCATGGAGCTTACAATCTAGGAGGGAGGGGCTAATGGTACAAAAGGTAGTAACTGTAGGGGAAGGACTGGTTGGAAGAGTAGAAGATTCCATTTTTAGCTGAGGGCAGGATAGGCTTTCCTGAAGAGATAAGTTTTCAGAGATCGCCTAAAAGTGAGCAGAGTAGGTGATAGTCTGATAAATTGGGGTAGAGAGTTCCAGAGGATGGGGGAGCTCTGGAGAAGTCCTGGAGATGAGCATGCGAGGAGGAGACAAGGGAGCTAGAGAGTAGGAGGTCTTGCGAGGAGCAGAGAGTACAGTTTGGGTGGTATTTGGAGACAAGATCGGTGATGTAATTTGGGGCAGAGTTATAAATGGCTTTATATGTTATTGTTAATGTTTTGAATTTTATCCATTGGGTAATGGGAAGCCAGTGGAGGGATTGGCAGAGAGGGGTGGCAGATAGAGAACGGTTAGTAAGGTGGATGAGTCTGGCAGCAGCATTCATGACAGACTGAAGAGGGGATAGCCTGCGATTAGGTAGGCCAATGAGGAGAGAGTTACAATAGTCAAGGCGAGATGTAACAAGGGAGTGAATAAGTTGCTTAGTGGTTTCTGAGGTTAGGAACGGGCATATCTTGGAGATGTTGCGGAGGTGGAGTCTACAAGATTTGGACAGTGATTGGATTTGGGGCTGAAAGGACAGATGGGAGTACCCTGGCATGAGGGGAGGGACCGATGACTGTGTTACTGATCTTGATGGAGAAGTCAGGGGAGGAGGCATGAGCTGGGGGGAAAACTAAGAGCTCAGTTTTGGAAAGATTGCGTTTGAGGAAGTGGGAGAGACATCCATGCCGATATGTCACTTAGTAGGTTAGTGATGTGAGAGGAGACTGAAGGGGTGAGGTGAGGGGTAGAAAGATAGATTTGTGTGTCATCAGCATAGAGATGGTACTTAAAGCCATGGGAGTTTATCAAGTGACCAAGGGAGGAGGTGTAGATGGAGAAGAGAAGGGGTCCAAGGACAGAACCTTGAGGGAGTAAAGAGGAGGAGGCAGCGTTATAGGTAACACTGAAGGAGCACTGTGATAGGTAGGAGGAGAACCAGGAGAGAGCAGAGTCTCTGAGGCCAAGAGAGTGGAGTTTTTTGAGGAGGAGGAGATTGTCAACAGTATCAAAAGCCGCAGAGAGGTCAAGTAGTAAGAGTACAGAGTAGTGGCCATTGGTTTTAGCAGTTAGTAGATCATTAGTGAGTTTTAGTAGGGCAGTTTCAGTGGACTGTAGAGAGCGAAAGCCAGACTGTAAAGGGTCAAGAAGGTTGTTGTCGGTGAGGTGGGAGCTCAGGCGATTGTAGACTAAGCTTTCTAGGAGAACTTTAGAAAAGGTGCCCATAGACTTTAAGGGACCATTTCAACTAAGTTGGATCCTGATCTATATTGATGCTAATAACTGGTATGAAAAGGAATCAAAAGGCTGTACAATATGCAATTCACTCACAGTACAGTGAGCTGGCTGGCTTACAAAAGCATGTGCATAACCAATTAAGAGCGTTATGGCATAAAACACATGCCCCAGAAACCCTCAAAGTATATAGAGTGTGTGTACGTGTCCAGTCCTTTATTCATCTGTGAATCAAATGGATGAGTTTTGGTCAGTGTATATAACATCAGTTAAAGCAACCTGACAGGTAAAAATAAACAAAAATTGATCTATTCAACATCCTATTAAACCTTGGTTTGCCTTAATCAGCCCTAAACGAGCCCTCCTTTTTCTTTCAACCCATTTTCATGCAGATTTTTATTTTTTGTTAATTTGTATACTAATACTTTTTATCTATAGTAACACTGTTTTTATATACCAAAAACTGTTCAAGAAAAAAAACTGCATAACAAAAAAAAAAAAAAAAAAAAAAAACTTATTGCAAGACAATATTGTAAAAAAAAAAAAAAAAAAGCCTGGTTTGTCCATAAAAAAAACACAAATATTTGCATAACTTTTGTAGCATTAAATTATAATCAACCTTCAGATATTTAAAGGGTAACTCCACTTTCATGGGAAAAAATGACAAATAAAATAACACACACACACACACACCTCAAAAAAATTAACTGAACACTTTGAAAACACATAAGATCTCCATGGGGGAAAATATCATGCTGGTTACTATATGGATATGGACTGGGTAATGTAAGGATGCCCTGCTATTTGATGGAAATGATGGAAATGAAAATTATCAACCTACAGAGGACTGAATTCAAAGACACCGGAAAATCAAAGTGAAAAAATGATGCAGCAGGCTAGTTAATTTTGCTGAAATTTCATTGCAGCAACTGAAAATGGTACTCAGTAGTTTGTATGGCCCCCCACGTACTTGCATTTCTGACAACGTCGCGGCATGCTCCTAATGAGACGACGGATGGTGTCCTGGGGTATTTCCGCCCAGATCTGGACCAGGGAATCACCGAGTCCCTGGACAGTCTGAGGTGCAACCTGACGGCATCGGATGGACCGAAACATTATATCCCAGAGGTGTTCTATTGGATTTAGGCCAGGCGAGTATGGGGACCATTCACAGGTATCAATTCCTTCATCTTCCAGGAACTGCCTGCATACTCTTGCCACATGATGCCGGGCATTGTCGTGCACCAGGAGGAACCCAGGACCCACTGCATCAGCGTAGGGTCTGACAATGGGTCCAAGGATTTCATCCCAATAACTAATGGCAGCCAGGGTCCATTGTCTAGCCTGTAGAGATTTGTGCGTCCCTCCATGGATATGCCTCCCCAGACCATCACTGATTTACCACCAAAATGGTCATGCTGAATGATCTTACAGGCAGCATAATGTTCTCCGCGGCTTCTCCAGACCCTTTCACATCTGTCACGTGCTCAGGGTGAACCTGCTCTCATCTGTGAAAAGCACAGGGAGCCAGTGGCAGACCTGACAATTCTGGTGTTCAATGGCAAATGACAATCAAGCTCTATGGTGCTGGGCAGTGAACACAGGGCCCACTGGAGGACAATTGGGCCCTCAGGCCACCCTCATGAAGTCTGTTTCTGATTGTTTGGTCAGAGACATTCACACCAGTGGCCTGCTGGAGGTCATTTTGTAGGGCTCTGGCAGTGCTCATCCTGTTCCTCCTTGCACAAAGGAGCAGATACCGGGCCTGCTGATGGGTTAAGGACCTTCTATGGCCCTGTCCAGCTTTCCTAGAGTAACTGCCTGTCTCTTGGAATCTCCTCTATGTTCTTGAGACTGTGCTGGGAGACACAGCAAACCTTCTGGTAATGGCACGTTTGATGTTGCCATCCTGGAGGAGTTGGACTGCCTGTGCAACCTCTGTAGGGTCCAGGTATCGCCTTATGCTACCAGTAGTGACACACTGACCCTAGACAAATGCAAAACTAGTGAAAAACAGTCAGAAAAGAGGAGTAGGGACAAAAATGTCAGTTGCCTCCGCCTGTAAAAACCATTCCTGTTTTGGGGGTGTTGTCTCATTATGCCCTAGTGCACCTGTAAATCAGTTTCAGCTGCTTTCGTGTTAATAAATTTAACAACCCCCTCTGCTACTTAACTGACCAAATGAATATCACAGAGAGAGGGGGGGGGGGAGTATGGGGAAGAGGGGTGGGGGGAGAGAGGGGGGGGGGAGAGAGAGGGGGGAGGGGGAGGAGGGAGAGAGAGGGGGGAGGGGGAGGGGAGGGAGAGAGGGAGAGGGGGAGTCGGGCGAGGCGGAGTGGTTGGAGGGGGAGAGGTAGGGGAGGGAGAGGGGGCAGGAGGGGGAGGTGAGAGAGGGGGAGTGGGAGAGGGGGGGAGGGGGGGGAGGGGGAGAGAGGGGGGGAGGGGAGAGAGAGGGGGGAGGGGGAGGGGGGAGAGAGAGGGAGGGGGAGAGGTCTCTTTTTTGAACGAGGGGGGAGGGGGAGGAGGGGGGAGAGAGGGAGTGGGGGGAGAGAGGGGGGGAAGAGGGGGGGGGAGGGGGGGGGGGAAGAGGGGGAGGGAGGGGGGGGGAAGAGGGGGGAGAGGGGGGGGGTGAGGGGGGGGAGGGGGAGGGGGGGGGGAAGAGGGGGGAGGGGGGGGGGAAGAGGGTGAGAGCTTTTTCGGGAGAGAGGGGGTTCGGTGCGGGGTGAGTCGGGGTGGCCGGGAGAGTGGGGGAGAGAGGGGGAGAGGGGGTGGAGAGAGGGGGAGAGAGAGGGGGAGAGAAGGGGGAGAGGGGGGGAGAGAGGGGGCGAGGGAGAGCTCGAGGGGAGAGAGAGACAGGAGAGGGGGGAGGGGCCCCCGGCCCCCCGGGGGGGGAGAGAGACAGAAGGAGAAAAATGAGGGAGAGAGAGGGGGGAGAGAGAGAAGGGGGGAGAGGGAGAGAGAGGGGGGAGAGGGTGAGAGAGGAGGGAGAGAGAGGGGGGGGGGAGAGAGGAGAGCGTCGAAAAAAGAGGGGGAGCGGGAGAGACTCTTTCTCGCTCTTTTCGGTGAGAGAAAGAGGGGAGAGGGGGAGAGTAGGAAAAGGAGTGGGGATGGAGGGCTGAGAGAAGAAAAGAGGTGTTCTTTTTGAGAGCCCCCTTCTCTGGAGCGGAGAGGATTTTCTCTCTAACGCTCCCGAGAGGATAGAAAGATGGGGACGAGGTCCTCCCTCGGTTTCTAGTTTACGCTCCTCCCCCTCCTCTTTTTTTCGCTCTGTTCTCTCCCGCTCCCGTTCTTCGTTTCTCTCCCGCGGTGGCTGCGAAAGAGGGCTTGTTGTCGTCTCGTCCCCCTCTTTCGTTTCTCTCTTTCCTCGAGCGGAGAGGAGCTTTTTCTCTCTCCTCCCTCCGGGAGCGAGGAGGAGAATCCCGCCCGTGGGAAGAGAGGGCTGCCGAGCCCTCGTTTTCTCTCTTCGGCTGTTCTACTTTTCTCTCTCCCTCGTTTGGGCTTGTCGCTCCCGAGAAAAAAGAGGGGGCGCTTGAGAGAGCTCCCCCGCTGGAGAGAGGAGAGAGAAAGAAAGCTCCCCTCCTTTCTCTCTTCTCGAGGGGTCCCCCCGATTGAGAGAAAGAGGGGAGCTCTTCTCTCCCCCTCTTTTGAAAGAGGAGGGAGAGAAAGAGGGGGAGAGGTCCCCTCTGGGAGAGGGGATTCTCTCTCCCTCTGTTTTTCTAGGGAAAGAAGGGAGAGAGAGCTTCTCGGATTGAGAGAGAGGAGAGAGAAATAAGGGAGCGAGAGGCCCCTCTCTCCCGCTTCTCTTCTTTCTCTCTCCCGGGGAGAGAGGAGAGAGAACGAGGGGGAAAGGAGAGAGATGAAGAGGGGAGAAAGTTCCCTCTCGCCCTCTGAAAGAGGGGAGAAAGGAGAGAGAATGCCGCCGGGAGCTCTGCCCCGGGGAGAGAGGAGAGAGGAAAGAGGGGAGAGAGTGGAGACCTTTGGGAGAGAGGAGAGAGAAAGAGGGGCGTTTTCGAGAGAAAGAGGCTCCACTCCTTTTCTCTCTTCTCTCTTCCCTCTTTTCTGGGGAGAGGGAGGACTTCTCTCCTGCCCTCTTTGAGAGCTCTTATCGTCCTCTCGTTCCTCTCTCTCCCTCTTTTCTCTCCTCTCCCTCAGGTTTCCCTCTTCTCTCTCCCTCTTTTTCCCTCTCGCTCTCCCCTCTTTTCTCTTCTCTCTTCGCCTCTTTCTTCTCGAAGAGAGGAGAGAGAAAGAGGTTTCTCTTCTCTCGGCCCCTTTTCTCTTTCTCTCCTCCTCTCTCCCATCGCTCGTTCCTCTCTCTCTCTCCCGTTTCTTTTCTCTCTCGCTCCCTCTTTTTCTCTGCTCTGGCTCCGTCTTTATCTGTGAGGAGATCTCTCTCCCTCTTCGTCTCTCTCTTGCGCTCTCCCTCTTTCGCTCTCTCCCTCTTTTCTTCCTCTCTCTCGATTTGCTCTCGAGAGAGGTCTCTTTTCTGGCGACTCTCTCCCTCTTTTCTCTTCGCTCTCTTCTGCTTTCCCTCTGTTTCTCTTCTCGTTCTCCCCTCCCTTTTCTCTCTCCCCCGTCCTTTTCTCTCTCGTCCCTCTAACTCTCCCCTCCCTCTTTTTCTCTCTCCCTGCGGAGAGGAGAGAAAACTTTGCTCTCTCTTCTCTTCTCTCCCCAAAGAAGTCTTTTGCTCTTGGGCGAGAGAGAGAAAGAGGGAGAGAGAGAAAGAGGGGAGCTTCTCTCTCCCCCGTCTTTCTCTTCGCTCCCCCGTCTGGAGAAAGAGGGGAGAGGAAAAAGAGGGGAGAGAAAAAGAGGGGAGAGGAGAGAAAAAGAGGGGAGAGGAGAGAAAAAGAGGGCTGCTCTTCTCTCCTCCCCCAAACCTCCCCCAACTTCGCACACCACTCACACGCGGAACTCTTGTCTCTGGCTCTCCCCCTCTGAGAATAAAAAAAGGGGGAGAGAGCGAGAGCTCCTCGACTCATTTACGCACACTTTAAGCCCACTCTCTCGCTCCTTCACGACATGGGGGGCGCAAAAATGTTTGTGTTGGCTAGGGGCAGCACAAAATCTAAATACACCACTGGGAACACCTGAATCCAATGATTTGGAGGAATGTCCCAATAGTGTCTATCTATATCTCATATACAATTGTGACAAGTCATAATGTAACTGAATGTTATTAAAATTTACCTTTCCTTTTTAATGTACACTGCTGTCATTTTCTGTAATATGCAATGCAATATGGCAACCTGGAGGAGTTCAGTACACAAACAGTGGAGTTAATCTAAGCACTTTCAGCAGCTGATTTAATCACTTACTGTATATGCAGCTACTTTATCTTGTAATCTTTGCCTGTGGTTCAAGGTTTAAGCTGGTGCCCTGACCACTGCCCCAGCTTTCAGGGTGGTTCCTTTTTGTTGCAGCATCCTATGGCGTCAATCTTGCATGTAGGGATTATGTCGCCCTACACTGTGTGCATCAGTAGAAACACACAGCTCCATAGCCTGGGATAGCAATGCACTGCCCTACTCCTTCCTCCTCCCTGCGCCCGTTTCCAAACAAACACACTGACTGAAGACTGCACTGTCCACTGTTAACGCTTTCCTGTGCCAAACCGATGTTAAGGGAAGCAGCACTCAGGCAGGAGGAGTCAGCAGCATTGAATGTTGTAAACTGCAAGATGCTGGGGTAAGAATTTTAACACATAGTCTACTGGTTAATGTTTCTTTTATTGTGTTAAGCTAAAACAAATACTGAAGATTTAAATCTAATTTTCAGTGATTCTAAAGGTTGTAATAACAATAATAACAACTATAAAAACCAAATCACAAACATGTTATACTTACCTGCTCTGTGCAATGGTTTTGCACAGAACAGCCCCTAATCCTCTTTTTTTTCCCTCCCTCCTGTCAGGTGCCCCCAACAGCAAGCTACTGCCACTCAAGCAGGCACGCTCCTGTGAATGGACATTGTCCATTCAGAAAGAGCGTGGCTTAGCCTCATCCAACGCTCTGTACTCATTGGCTCACTGTCTGACTGACAGCAGCAGGAGGCCTTCCCACTTAGACTGGTTGGTCTTTCTCACTAGGGCAGGTTTAATATTAGGTTTCCTGTTAAGGTTGATCACTGGGAGATAAACAGAGGGTATAGACCACTGTAACAAATTCCCTCTCAAAAGGGAACAGTTACAACACACCCTTGGACCCAGGGCCCTTCAGGCCACATACAGGAATACCTTGAATGGCAGGTGTAGTGGAAAGTTTTTTTGCAGCTGCAGAGCTCTGAAAGACCCAAGGTTATAAGACAGCAGGCTAAATTGATGACTCTGAAGGGGAAGGCATCGGAGCGCTCTTAGAGCCTTAGTGGTCAGTATCTGCATGGAACGGTGTGAATTTGGTCACAAAGTCTTGTGTGACTGCGGTAGAGACTCCTGATGATTCGGGATCTGGCCTCAACCAACAGAGCTAAAAGGAAACTCTGATGATATAGATCCCATAACCACCAGGATTACAGAAGTTAGTGTCCTTAGAGGGTATAAAGTAAATGCCCCTGGTTCTCCTGTTGCAGTGAACCTATCAGAAGTGTGGTACCAAGACATTTTAAAAATTATTTTTATGGTAATTAAAAAGCACAGGACAAGGGATATTGCCAGCAAATCTTCCTTTTAATCTAAAGATATTTTTTTTTAAGGTGGGTTAAGATATACTTTAACTGTTAAGAAAAATATCCTTTAAGATTCTAATTATTAAAAATGCGCCCACTACCAAAAATAATAGTGATTACATTTCTTTTATATATGCTTATTATGAAATACTTTTTTTTTTTTTTTTTTTTAGTTCCAACAGAAGTAAATTATAGAGATATTGACTCAGAACATTCTATCTAATGTTACAAAGGGAGTGGATAACCTGCAATCTTACCATGTCATTTATCTTGCCATTGTGTCCAGGGAACCGTCTTACAAGTTTCCGTGTTTCAATGTCAAAAACGTTAATGCTGAAGTCATCCAGAGAAACCGCCAACATTCCACTGTGAAAATTCAGAACACACAAAATTATAGAACAAGCTAAAACAATGGTGATTATCATTGCTTTTCCAAATACCCTTAAAACTAGTTCAACTATTTTTGGCACTTGAAGTTTCATTAAGCCAAACAGTCTTAAAAAGCATTATCTTTACCTTTTATGAGCTTTTCATCATTTAACTTTGAATCATTTGTAAATACCTGATTGACCTGGACATTTTCCTGCTATCTGTGGCAATGTTATCATAGCTGATTCTCTGGCTGTTGAGCTGCAATTCTGGTTGTGCATGCTCTACCAATACCCTGAGAGAAAGCCATTCACTTTCTCCTTTACCCTGTGGAAGGTAATCAGTTCGACTATCTTCATCGATTTGAAGATGGCTCCAGCATTTTAAATGACAGCTCCTCCTACTCCACTGCTATCTGTTCCGCACAATTACTCCTGTTGGGCAGCTTCAGCAAGGATAATTTAATGGAGGCTTCTTCCCCTCTTGTCACCCAACGTGAGAGACACTGCAGGGCTTGAGGGGCAGGTCCAAGAGTGTAGGAGCCTTGCTGCCAGTCTATAGTAGCAGTGTGCTAGCTTTATCTTAGTCATACAGTACAGAACATAGGACCTATAATCATAGACCACGAGAAATTCCCCAAGCAATAAATTGAGGGGTTGGCAAAAAAAAAACAGTAAACAGCTACAAACAGGCTAACGAAAAAAGGATCAACAGACCTGTAACTCTTAGATGTACAAGCACCTTGCATCTGAAGATAAAAATCAACAGAGGCCTGGAGATCCACCCGGTAAAAACTGAGAAAGTATGAAGAGAAGACCAGGTGGCTTTGCAAAGCTACAGGAAGGATGCATGCAAAATCTGAGAACACTGATATTGGTTCAGGGATTTTAAGCCCCAAACTAGACAAATTCCTCCATTCAGCTTTGGGATTATGAGCAGGTTTGAGTAATACCCTTTGAACCTTCTTTCTGCAGAAATTGGGATTACCATTCCTTGGGCCTGAAGCTGATTCAGTGCATTTCACACTTTTGCCTGCTTTTGAGGTGAAGCTAGCAAATTGGAGGGCAGGGATCAAATTTCTATTTTATAGCCTCTGGAAATGACAGATTGGACCCAGAGGTCCAGAACTTTTCTGATCCAAACTAGCATGAAAGTCAACAGATGTCTCTCCTCATAAAAAGAGCTTCTGGATGGGCTTGGAGTGTTTTGCGATCCAAGGATTGCAACAAAGGATGGATTTGCCTTACACTTGGAGGAGAAAATCTAAGAAATAAAAAAAGACCCCTTTCGGTGAGTGGAGCTAGTAGCTGTAGTAGTAGTAATAGGCTTAAGCTTTTTGTGGTGTAGAATTCTCCACCCCCTCCCCTCCCAGTAACTTCCTTGATAAACTAACCAAAGCATTTACAGTCAAAAGGACATGTGTAAGATACATCTTTTACAAACAGATGCAGTAGACCAAGCTTTTAACCACAAAATTCTGGCAGATGTGCAAAGAAATCAGTATCATTCTAGGATATCAAACACAAAATAGCGGCGCAGAGGGCATGAGCTGCAATTGTTCTAGGAAAACAAAGTCTCCAAACGTGACGTAGAATCATTGTAATTATAGAATTTGACTAGTAGACTATGGAGAATCTGGCAAATGGATATAACGAAAATGACCATTTAAGGCAGAATCAAATCAGCGAGCACAAAGGATACCATCATAAAAGGACTCAAAGTGCTTGTCGACTGAATCTATAAAGTGGTTGTGAACCCTTTCATATTACCCAGTGAAATGACTGGCCTCAGGTGTTACACAGAGAGGAAAGAAATCCTCCTACATAAGCTGTACCTGTCTGTCTATCTGCAGTCTTCTCTTCTCTACATCCGTTTAAATTTCTGAATTTAGACAGAAAGGTAGGTGCACAAGGCTACTTTGTCTCTGAGGAATTAGGAATGGCTCCTTACAAGAGAGCTGCTAGTTCACAGGCACTTCTGCACCAAAAGGAAGGGCTGCGTTTTATCTTTAACCACCTGCCTACTGGGCACTTTCAATACCAAATTAAAAAAGAAAAAAGCGCCACTTACAAAAAACACCAAAGTGTCAGCAGCATATCCCACCCAAAATAAATTTTGGCAACAATAATCAAAATTAAAAGGTATGCGCTAATAACAAACTTATACAAAAGTGTATGTCATCATCCAAAAAACATTAGTGTTTTAAATAAATTATAGTGTCCAAACATAAATTAGTGTCCAAAAAAAATATATATATCTTCAGTGACTTGAACCAATTGTGAGAAATCCACCACCAAAGGAGATTAAATAAACTCACCAGAGCTAATGGCTGGTCAGATTATAAACCAGCAACAGCGCTTGTGCTCTGGGAGCAATGAACCCGATGTCCAAATAGATATGGTGATGTTTCAGATACTTCCAGATAATAATCACAGCCAAACAACTTTGCAGCCCAAGCGCTTATGATGAACTTCTCCACTCTTTCTCATACCTCCATGAGAGCATGCAGTACACTCAGGGACAAAAAAGAGAACATAATGGTGCAATACGTTTTTTTCATTTATCTCTTTAATAAAAAAGGTATAAGGAAACTCACAAACAAGGTGTCCAACAGACACCAGCTTCAATCGCAAAAAAGGGTTGAGATACAGTTAACGCTCACCGCAGATCTCTCCCATACAGCACAGACCAGCAAGGCTCTCTAACGTCCACATCAAATAGGCTACGCCCAACCGGTTTCGTCACACAGACGTCATCAAGGGGCGGCCCCTTGATGACGTCGGTGTGACGAAACCGGTTGGGCGTAGCCTATTTGATGTGGACGTTAGAGAGCCTTGCTGGTCTGTGCTGTATGGGAGAGATCTGCGGTGAGCGTTAACTGTATCTCAACCCTTTTTTGCGATTGAAGCTGGTGTCTGTTGGACACCTTGTTTGTGAGTTTCCTTATACCTTTTTTATTAAAGAGATAAATGAAAAAAACGTATTGCACCATTATGTTCTCTTTTTTGTCCCTGAGTGTACTGCATGCTCTCATGGAGGTATGAGAAAGAGTGGAGAAGTTCATCATAAGCGCTTGGGCTGCAAAGTTGTTTGGCTGTGATTATTATCTGGAAGTATCTGAAACATCACCATATCTATTTGGACATCGGGTTCATTGCTCCCAGAGCACAAGCGCTGTTGCTGGTTTATAATCTGACCAGCCATTAGCTCTGGTGAGTTTATTTAATCTCCTTTGGTGGTGGATTTCTCACAATTGGTTCAAGTCACTGAAGATATATATTTTTTTTTGGACACCAATTTATGTTTGGACACTATAATTTATTTAAAACACTAATGTTTTTTGGATGATGACATACACTTTTGTATAAGTTTGTTATTAGCGCATACCTTTTAATTTTGATTACTGGGCACTTTCACCCTCTTTTTGCCCAAGCCAATTTTCAGCTTTCAGCACTGTTGAACTTTGAATGACAATTGCACGGTCATGCAACACTGTACCCATATGATATTTTTATAATTTTTTTTTTAGACAGACAGAGCTTTCTTTTGGTGGTATTTAATCACCACTGGGTTTTTTTATTTTTTGATAAACAATCCAAAAACAACTGAAAATTTTGAAGAAAAAAAAAAATTTTTTTCTTTGTCTCTGTTTTAAAATTTTGTAAATTAGTAATTTTTCTCCTTCTCTGATGTACACTAATGAGGCTGCAGTGATGGGCACTGATGAGTAGGCACTGATGGGCATTGGACAGCAATCACTGGTGGGCATTCACAGACATCACTGATGGACATTGAAAGGCAGTACTCATATGGCACTGACTGGAAATGTTAGGCAGAACCGTTAGGCGGCACTGATTGGCAGCACTCATAGGCGGCACTGACTGGCAGCTCAGATGGGCACTGATATGTGGCACTGATGTGCACAGACAGCTGGCATTGATGGGCAATGACAGGTGGCACTGCTGGGGCTACACTGATCATTAGGGCCTTGATGATCAGTGTAGATGTCCCCTCTGAGGAATGCCAGTTACATGCTCTCCTCTCCTCACGAGCGGTCAGCGTGACAGCTTGTGAAGAGAGAAATGCCAATACCCGGCATTTCCTTATTTACATGCGATCAGCTGTGATTGGACACAGCCGATCACACGACAGAGCCGAAGTCATCGGCTCTTTCCGTTGATCGGTGATCCGCTGTGTCCCAGGGCCACAGTGCACCAACGATCAGCGTGCATGCGTGGTTAGAGTGGGAGCACGTCATATGACGTCCTCCCAGAAGGAGAAAACCGCCTTGCGCCCGTCATTTCCTTATATGGCGGGCGGGAGGCGGTTAAAGATAAAGCCTGAGAAGAGCAATGCTTATTTTTGAGGAGGCAGAAACCCCCAGGAATGGTATTTAGGAACCTTTTGTTGTGGAAGAAACATGTTCCCTCTTGTAACATCTTTAAAGAATTAGTCAAGTGCTTCAACAAACAGATGTCTTCCTTCTAAGGGCATGTGAGGTGAGGACACAAGCAGAATCAGCTGGCTAGACTTTAGCCATAGGATTCTATGCATATACAGTACATCTAGAAAGTATTCACAGCGCTTAACTTTTGCCACATTTTATGTTATGTTACAGCATTAATTAATTAAATTCACTTTTTTCCTCAACATTCTACAAACAATACCCCATGATGACAATGTGAAAGAAGTTTGTTTTGAAATCTTTGCAATTTATTAAAAAAAAAAACAACAAAAAAACAAAAACAAAAAACATGTACATAAGTATTCACAGCCTTTGCTAAATACTTTGTTAAAGCACCTTTAGAACCAATTACAGCCTCAAGTCATTTTGAGTATGATGCTACAAGCTTGGCACACCTATTTTTGGGCAATTTCTCCCATTCTTCTTTGAAGTACCTCTCAAGCTAAGGTTGGATGGGGAATGTTGGTGCACAGCTATTTTCAGATCTCTCCAGAGATGTTCAGTCGGGTTCAAGTCTGGGCTCTGGCTGAACTACCACAACGCTGTGGAGTGCTGTTGTAGTTCATTGAGTCTCCCTGTCAGTAAGTATCTGCTTGCCTGTAGAACACCTGCATGGCACCAGAAATCTGCTGATCGCTGGTGCAATGCTTTAGAGGCTCTAGAAACAAAAAATAATAAATGCATTTTTTTTTTTTACCTGCAAAAAAATGGACATTATTTTTTGTTAAAAGGTGAACTTATATTTTAAAATACAGTGTTCAGCATAAATGAGTACACCCCAACAGATCTGTCAGAAAACCTTTACTTTCCTATAAACATTCTCTGTGGGACACTATACTACAAAATACTCCCACAAATGCGGGCCATTGATTGCAAACAAGATTTGTTCATTTGCACACACAAAAAAGTATTTTTCCTAACAAATTCATTCAAGACCATGTTGCAAAAATCAATACATCTGAATTAAAGTCTTAGGAGCAAAGCTAAATTTTAGACAACAAAATCCTAATGAACAAGGATTCAATTACAGGTGAGTCTAATTATTCATTAAACAGGTGTCCAGCAGACAGCTGATTATAAAAGGGTGTTACTTAAAGAAAACCCCTTGCCATTTCATTCTGTCAGCAATGGCACCACATGAAAGAGAAATGTCACAAGGCCTGAGAAAGAAAATTTCTTTACACAAGAAAGGTGAAGGCTACCAGAAGATCAGTAAAGTTTTACTTGTCAGAATAGTGTAGCAAAAGTGATAGAAAAATTTTACAAAGATGGAACTGCAACCATCTCACAGAGACGTCCAGGCTGTCCATGGAAGTTAACACCTCGACAGGAGCATCTTCTGATGAGAAATGTTGAAGAAAATTGCCATGCAGGTTCACTGTAGTCAAACTGGGGTGATTGCTTCCTGACACAATATTGCGTAAAGTGCAGAGAAATGTCATGCATGGGTGTAGTCCATACAGGAAGAATCTCTCCTAAAGCCCATGCACAAAAAAGCCTGGGTATAATTTGCCAGGGCCCATGCTGAAGAAGAAGACTACTACTACTACTGGGACTGTGTACTCTGAAGTGATGACCAAGATAAAATGTTTTGGAACTGATGGCTTCAAAATTGTATATCGTTGCAAAGGTGAGTACAAAAAAAAATAATAATGGTGCCTACAGTGAAACATGGTGGTGGCAGTGTACGTCTGTGGGGCTGCATGATATGCGCTGCTCTATTTTGAAAGAGATGATGCTACCATCACTCCGTGCCCTTGGACGTCATTCATTTTTCCAAAATGACAATGATCCAAAACACTCATCTAAGGCCACTGTTGCATTTCTGAAGAAGAACAGAGTGAAAGTTATTTACTGGCTGAGTATGTCTCCTGATCTGAACCCAATCGAACCCCTATGGGGAATTCTGAGGAGCCAAGCTAAGCATCATACTGCATCCTGCATCCAGGCTCTAAAAGAGGTCATTCTTGAAGAATGGAAAAAGATCAATGTTGCCAACTTGTCCATTACATGCCTAGAAGACTTGGTGCTGCCCTAACAAATCACGGAAGTCATACAAAATTACTAGATGTAGTAGTTTTTGTTGTATTAATTTTTGCAACAAATAATTTGAGTAAAACTGAAGCTTTTGTAATCTATATTATTAACCTTACTTTCATGTAATGGGCTAAACAAATGTTCTATAAAAACGGAGTATTGTCAGAATTTTGGAAATTGTTCTTGTGTTCATTGAGATATTGATTAAAATCTTACTTTTAAAAAGGGGTGTACTCATTTATGCTGAGCAATGCAGGGTACTGCACCAGTGCATGGGAAGAGTAATTACTCTGAGCAGTCTGAGTGCATTGCAGACCTTCTGCAGAGCAAATGTTTGCCGGAGCTTATGTCACGGTTCCCGCCATTGCTATTAGTGAGGGCATTTCCCTATGGGCTACTCATGGAGTAGGGTTTAAAAAAAAAAAGTATATGCCCATGAAGGAGTATGCAGCAACCTGGGTGCAGACGATCCTGTAGCTGTTCTTGTGGCAAAAGGGCAGTAGAAAATGTCTGAGTACCTTATAGAGGGCTGAAGGAGGAAGTGGTGGTAATAATAGTTGTGACCTGTGGCATGATATAACGCCTTAGTCATCCACTGGTAACTATGCTCTGAATGGTGGAAATTTACCAGCAAATTTATAGTTTAATGCTGCATGTGAATAAATTTTATACACGATTTCCAGTTTGCTTTTATTTTTAATTCAGAATACATACCAATTTTGAAAACCTGTAATAATTGAGGCTATAGTATTGGTCCAGTACAGGTTCAGCAATACATGTTGCTGTTCCCTAATCAGGGTGCAGGCTTTGCCGGTCGACAGTGGGCATGACCACAGAGGGGTCATCAGAGTCTGGATTCTACGGCAACAGGGATGGATCACAGGTCCAGGCAAGGCGCTGGATCTGTAAAGGGAATAGGTCCCCCACCTTTGGACACTAGCAAAACACTGAGGTCTTGCAGAGATGGGTAGGGTTATCGGAGTACGGCTGGGAGGTGGGGTGGTATGGGGGTAGTGGGAGAGTGGGTGGTATCGTGTCCAGCAAAGCTTTGCCACTCGTCTAATCTACTGAAGATACCACCCATAAAACCAGGGCCTATGAATACCCAGTGTGTCCTTTATTATACAATTAAAATATCTTCATTGACTTAGTCTTGTGATGTGCTAGCCAGCACAATTATGCTTTAGGCTTAATTCACACGAGCATATGCATATTTTCTACATAAATGTAGGCACTTGGTGGCAGAGCTAGGAGAAGATCCTGTGTAAAATTAGCACCTAAAGTGCATGCACTTAGATGTGTACAATTCTTCTAATGATTACATGTGTAAATGTGTAAAACTTGCAGATATTTATGGCTAGCCACACACAGCCATGTTCTACGTTTTGTATGACGTTAAACGCGCTGCACATTTTCATTTGTAGACACAGCTGTGTGTGTATAGCCCAACTCCCATCAATTCCTATAGTGCGCGTTTAGATATGTACACATGTAAAAGCAGCATTTTAGATGCCTGTGTGAATGAGCCCTTACAGAGCTTTTATGGGTTTTATAAAACCGCATAATAATTTGCAGAAAACTGAAAAGCATACACTAATGTTTCATTTACCTCTCTCTATGGAGCAACATGGCTGTTGGAGAAATATTGAGGTCTGTGGTCCAAATTAACTCTTTTGTCTTGAACTTCCAAAACTTGATTAATTGGTCGCTGCCAGCTGTGATCGTCATTTGGTTTAAGCCATCTACAGCCACCCCTCTGACTGAGCCATCATGGGCTAAAGGCAAGAGACACAAATTTATGACGTGAACTGATCTACACACAAAAAAACAGACAGCCTGGTATCACCCACGCTTACACCAAATCCAACACAAACATTCACAAAATATTTGCATAATACATGACAAGTGTATTTTTATTTTGCTTTATTTCTGCTCTTTTGAGCAGACTAAAAACCAAGAATTACTCTTACCATGTCATGTTTCCATGACAGTCAACCCAGAAACTGCTCTTCCCACTCAATCAGGGCACAGAGAAGAATTCAAAGTCCCTCCTCACCTTCTCAGTGCCTGAATAGTCATGGTATTGGGAGGGAATACTGGCTGCCATGGAGAAACCTTAGGAACAAGACTACCAGTAAAAGTAATCCTGGATTTCCTCCTCCTCCTCGATAGCCAAATGGGATGTAATGATCAATCCATCAAGGTGGGTCCACAGCCAATGTCATCTTGAACCCACAGGACAAGTCCAGGTTCACCAACTAATCTAAATGTTACTGCTTCATGAAAGTATTTTTTGAAGCCTTTGTTTCCCTGGGGAAACGCAACAAATAGGTAGAATTTAACCTTCTAATCTACTGAACTAAAAAACAACCTATTAAAATGTTTACATTATGCTTTGCTAATTCAAATGGGAAGACAGGCTGGAGCTTCAAGTACCAATTTAGGGTGTCAGAGGAAAGTGGGGAACTTTTGACTTAACTGTAAATTCCATATCCTGGAGTACAGTACAAGACACAGGCTAGTTATTCATACACCATTGGTTATCAGCTTGTACCTTCAGGTGATTGGACATTGGCAAGCTTTTGAGGATTATGTTCCCCTGGGGTACCTCCCCTATAACCTGTGTCAACTCCATGAGTCCTCAGTTTTGAAGTAAGCAATGAAGAGTAAAAAGCAGGGTTTAGGAAGGGTGGCCCATGTCCTACTCTGTTCTCCAAGTTATGGAATTTACAAGTAAGCCAAAATTTTTCTTTTCTTAATTGTATAGGTCACAGGTAAGTTATTAATACACCATGGGATGTCCCAAAGCAATGAAAATAAGGGTGGACAACAACTAGGCAACAGAACTGTGCCAACAGATGCAAAAACAAAGGGGTTAAAAATTCAGGTTCAGAGTACTGCTGCAAGAACCTTGCAGACAAAGGCTGTCTCAACTGAACACATAAATGGTAAAACTTTGAAGAAGTGTGAACAGAAGACTAGATGGCCGCCTTACAGAGTTGGGCGATAGAGCCTTGGTGCATAAAGGCTCAGGAAAGTTCTGGTTAAGTGTGTGTGATAGGAGGTGTGTTTTTAGAGCATAAGCTCTAGTAATTAAGAAGTTCCTTATCCACCTAACAATTGTGGATTTTTTTTTGAAGCATGGTGTCCATTGTGAGGTCTAGAGGATAGAACAAATGGACAAAATGGTCTAATTGAAGAAGTAACTTTTAGGCACATACTAATGGCTTTGGCAATGTCCAAGCAATGCAGAAAGAATTCCATTGGATACTTTGGAACAGGGCACAAGGATGGAAGAACAATGGCCTCATTAAGATGGACGAAACCACCTTTGGATGGAAGGTCTAGACGTAATACCTTGCCATTGTGAAGTATGAGTACAATCTCTTTACAGGAAAGAAGTTCTGGGATACATCTAGCAGAAATGATGGCCACCAGAAGAGAGACCTAATTAGTAAGAGACTCCAAGGGAGTATTCCTAAAGGGCTCAAAAGGGAGATTTTTGCAAGGCGAAGGAACCAAGTTATGTTGCAAAGAGGGTCTGATACGAGAAACACCTTGAATAAAAGGATTTTTATTAGGAAATGTGAAACTATAGGCCTTTGGAAAAGGATGGACAAAGTCAGAAGGTGCCAATTTAGGGTGCTGAGAGCCAGATGTTGGTCAAGACTTGTTTCTGGGAAGATCAGAATGCCAGGTACAGATTAATCTCTTTGATTAAACTGCTGCACTCATACAAGGTGAAGTAAAATTTCCAGGTGCAATAATAAATCTTCTGGGACATACTGCAACTTTTCCTGCCTTCAGCAAGGTAGCAATCAGACTGAAAAATCCCTTTATCCTTTAAATGGCATGGCTGTTGAACCCTAGGTCTTAACGTCAGAGACTGCTATGCAGGTTGGAATGGAGGGCCATGAGATACATCAAGATCAGATCTGGTCTGTTGGGCAAGGGGTACCCTGCAAGGAAAATCAGTAAATCTGTGCATCATGGTCTTCTGGGCGATTTTGGTGCCTGAAGAATCACTGTCTTCCTCTCTTGCTCTCTTTTTATGGAGCAGGCAATGTAGAATTCTCACTGGAAAGATGCCTGGACTCAGATGACAGGCCATCGAAAGGCCAGAGCTAGAGGATCCCTGGGTCTGTATACAAAGGTACTTTGAGGTTGTAGATTGCATCTGGAATCCATCCTTTTGACATATCAGACTGAACACATCTAAATGAAGAGACCAATACCCATGGTCCAAGCATGGTAGCTGAGATAATCCATTTACCAATTGTCCACTCCTGGGATGTGGATCACAAAAAAAAAAAAAAAAGAAAAAAAAAAAGCTATTTACGAGAGAATCTGCTTTGCTTCCTTCAAGACAACCAGGCTCCTTGTGTCCCCTTGATGGCTGACATATCCTACTGTGGTGGCATTGCCTGACTTCACCTAAATTGGTATGCATTAGAAGCAGGGGCCTAGTGATTGTGAGACAACCTGACAGCTCTGAGCTCCAAAATGTTGCTGAGTTTCTTCTTCTCCCTTGAAAATGTTCCTTGAACTGTAAAGAAGTGAAAGACTTCTCTGCAGCCTGGCAGACTTGGGTCTATTTTACGAACCTTTCCATTGTAGGGAAGGAAGGGTCTTCCCACTTTTAGAGTTGAAGTGGTGAATGGCCAGGCCAAGACATTTCTTGTTTGAGGGGATAGAAGCATGGGAGGACCCTGGGAAAGAGCCTGCTTTTTCCATGCTCATAGAATGTTTAGCTAGAGAGTTCTTGAATGGAATCGGGCAAAGGGCCCTGCAACCATGAGACCCAGACTCTCATAGTGAATCTCATTGTGGGATTTCTTTTGGATTTCAGTTGTCAAACATGAACTCTTAGAGCAAAAGTTGATCACCCAGCCAAAGACCTGAAGTAGTTGGATTGTTTTTGGACATTTGCTAAGGCGTTTCAAAGGGGATGCATCATTGAGGAGAAGGCAGTCTAGACCGCAAGTTACCTGGATGCCCTGAGTACTTACAATGGCAAGCAAGGGTGCTAAGATCTTTGGGAACACCCTGGGAGGACAGGACAAACTAAAGAGTCCATGGAAGATTTTTTTTTTTTCCACAAGTTTCTGGAAAATGACAAAAAACTTTTTTTTTTTTTTTTTTTTTTTTTTACACAAAGTTGTCATTTAAATGAAATATTTATCGCACAAGCCATGGGTAAATGTGGAATTACACCCCAAAATACATTCTGCTACTTCTACCGAGTATGGGGGTACCACGTGTGAGACTTTTTGGGAGCCTAGCCACATACAGGAGCCTGAGATCCAAATGACCACTTTGAAAGCCTGAAGGTGCGTAACTTCCTCATTTCATTTCCTCACTACATATCACAGTTTCGAAGGCCTTGAAATGCCAGGATAGCACCAAACCTCCCAAAACTACCCCTTTTTGGAAAGAAGACACCCCAAGGAATTTAAAAAGAGGCATGGTGAGTATTTTGCAGATCTCATTTTTTCTCACAAGGTTTTGAAAAATAAAAAAAGAAAAGAAAAAATGTTTTTGTTTTTTTTTTCTTCAATTTTCAAAAACTTGTGGCAACAAATGAGATCTGCAAAATACTTACGATTCTTATCAAATTCCTTGGGGTGTCTACTTTCCAAAAAGTGGTCATGTGGGGGGGTTTGGTGCTATCCTGGCATTTCAGGGCCTCTGAAACTGTGATAGGTAGTCAGGAAGTGTAATGAGGAATAAAGCCCTTTAAAAGCCTGATGGTGCTTATTGGATTTTGGGGTCCTGTACTTGGCTAGACAGCCAAAGCGTCTCTCCCATGTGGTACCCCCATACTCAGGAGAAGTAGCAAAATGTATTTTGGGGAGTAATTCCACATATACCCATGGCATGTGTGAGCAATAAATCATTTAAGTGACAATTCTGTGTACAAAAAAAAAAAAAAATTTTGTTTTGTCATTTTCCAAAAACTTGTGGTAAAAAAAATAAAATTCTTCTATTGATTCAACATGCCTCTCAGCAAATAGTTTGGGGTGTCTACTTTCCAAAAACAAGTCATTTTGGGGGGTGGGGCATTTTATGCCCAGCAATTAGAAGTTTATGCCACACACCATTCACTCTTCTAACCACCTGAAGATCAAGCCTTTCCTGACACTTTTTGTTCACATGAAAAAAAATCAGTATTTTTTGCTAGGAAATTAATTTAAATCCCAAACATAATATATTTTTTTAAGCAAGCACCCTAGTGAATAAAATGGTGGGTGCTGCAATTTTGTATGTCACACAGTACTCGTGCAGCAATTTTTCAAACACAATTTAAAAAAAACAAAACACTTTGTTACTTTTAATGTACAAAAACACAAAATATTTGCCAATTATTTGGTAAAATATAAAAGATGATGGTATGCTGAGTAGACAGATACCAAACATGACATGCTTTAAAACTACGCATACTCCGTTCTATGGTGACAAACTGCATACGTTTTTAATATCCATAGGCAACGTTTTAAAAGCCTTTACAAGCTACCATTTTAGATTTATAGAGGAGATCTAGTGTTAGAATTATTGTCCTTGATCTGACGTTTGTGTCGATACCTCACATGCATGGTGCAACCGCTGTTTCCATACTGGCACAGGGTCAACACTCACGAACGCAGATGCGCGCGTGCGCAGGGGAACGAGGGTACTTTTTTTTTTTTTTTTTTTTTTTTTTTAGATATTTTGAATTTTTAAAATATTTTAACACTGTCCCCTTCATTTTTTTTAATCACTTTTAATGCTATCACAGGGAATGCAAATATCCCCTATAACTTCAATGGGCATTGTCATATATTTTGTTTTGAGAAATCTGGGTTCTATCAGACTCTAGATATCTCCTCTGCCCTTACATTATCTAATCAAACCAAGATCGGTGTGATCAGATGCTTTCCCAATTTACAAATGGTGCTGTTTATAGCCTGTGAAACTGAAGTGATGAAATGCTCGTAGCTTCCGATTTCTTAGACTATAGAAATGATTGGCACCATTCTAGTCTCCAATCAGCTCTATGGTCAGCTGGCAGAAACACCGGCTGTGGAAAGCCGTTGAAGGCAACGGGGGAGGGGGGGCATCGTCTCCCACTACTTGGAAAAGCAGTCCTGCAGCTAATTAGCCACTGGGACTGCTTTTACATGAAAGCTGATCGCCGGCTGAAAAAAAACGATACCAGGATGATGCCTGCAGCTGTAGGCATCATCCTGGTATAACCAAAGTCCAGTGATGTATCAGTACGTTGCTGGTCCTTGTTGGGTATACAGTAATACCTCGGATTACGAATTTAATTTGTTCTGCGGGACATTTCGTATAGTGAAGAATTCGTAAACCGAAACACTGTTTCCCATAGGAATGCATTGAAAACCAATTAATCCGTCCAAAGGTAAAAAAAAAACAGTAAACACTACTAAAATACCGCATGAGTTATTTTATTAACTCAAGCGGTATTTTAGTACCGACAACCCTGTGTTTAAGTTTCAGCTGTCAGCGGGGTTCCCCACCATTAGAATATACTGCCCTGCATCCATCCACTTCTAATGGTGGGCAGACAGTGCCACATGCGCCAGTTCCAAGATTATACAAATGTCTAAATAGTGGCACACTTGAATAAAAATTGTCCACGTATAAGTGGTACCCCATATGGAAAAAGGATGATACCAAGTCCCAAACTATCTTTCCACTACTCCCCATGTAGTCTGGGTATCTGGGGGGCTCCAAAACTTATAAGTAAAGCCTGCTGCCCTCCCACAGGTCTTCTACATCTTGACCCCATATCTGGCACACTTGCCGGGGAGAAATTGTTTGAATGCAAGGTGGCCAGAAAAATTAATGAGGGACTCATCAACGCAGATGTTTTGCTGGGGAGTATAGACATCTGCAAATTTTAAGTTAAGGTGATTTACGAGGGGCTGAATTTTGTGTAGCCGGTCAAATTCAGGGTTACCCCCCGAGGACGACAGAGTGTATTGTTGTTGAAATGCATAAAACACATTATACGCTCACATCTATGCCTGGCCATGGCAGTGGAGAACACGGCATATAATGAATCGGGTCTGTGGACCATGACCAATACAACTGCAATTCATTTTTTTTTAGTAATGCCCATGTTGAGGATTAGGTTCAAAAAAAAGTTTAAATTCGGAAACCGTAATGAGTTTCCATGCGAATAGTCTGGCAAAGTTTGAATCTGGGTTGGCAGCGATAAACGGTTGTGCATATAAATTGCTTTGATCCACAATCAAAGCATACAGATCTTCCGTGAAAAACCACTCCAAAAAATAAAGGGGAGTAGTTAAATTTGCTATTTCCACCTGGATTCCGGGTTGGGCAGTGAATGGGGGAAGTACGTGGACTGCAGAAATTGTGGGCTGCCAAATCGGGATTCGGAATCGGGATTCGGAAGGATAATAGGGGCTCTACATGCCTGTGTGTGAATTCTTGGTGGTTGCGGGACAATACTTGTGCTCATCACCGCACCAGCTTGTACTGCACTTATGGGACTGGCCACGTCACAAGTGATACTGCAGTGCTGGTATTATTATTACACAGGATTTCTATAGCGTCAACAGTTTGCTCAGCGCTGTACAATATAATGGGAGACAATACAGCAACAATGCAGTTCAATACAAGAGGGTTAGGAGGGCCCTACCCCTTGGAGCTTACAATCTAAGAGGAATGTGAAAGACCAGGAAGTACTAGGCCACTAGTACTCGACAGTTAACCAAAAGGTAGCGCAGCACTAGTACTGGCACTCTGCTGCGTATGAGTCATCAAAATTTAGCAGCAAGTGCAAACAGAGATCAGGCCTGATTCTGCAAACACTGCGGTTTTGTGTGCAATGTATCAAGGTATCAAGTGACAGTGACCTACTGACACTGCACTTGCTGGGGGAGAAGGGGGGGGCTAAGCATAGGGGCTAAACGCAGGTGCTGGCAGGTGCCGGGGCTGATCACGCTAACGCTGCATTTTGGGGGACGCTATACTAATGTGAATGCTGGCATAGTGCTGATCTGATTAAACATATTGATCTGTTCAGACACTATACTAGCAATGGAGGTTTATTGTGTATGAGCGTCTTCCTGGCAATTGAGGGGTTAAATGTGATGACTGGCGTACTGAAGGGCAATCTGACGCTATTGGAGAGGGGCGTGAAAACCACGGGAGTGCAAATTACACACAAACACACACACACATATATAAATATTTCTGTTATAGGGCGGTCAGGAAGCAGTTACATAAGCGGTTTGTGTTATGGAGCTGTGCCATTTTAACTGACAACTGTGCGATCATGCAAAGCTGCACAAACATGAAATTTACATCCTTTTTTCCCCATGAATTGGGCTTTTGGTGGTATTTGATCGCCTGGGCGGTTTTTATTTTTTGCGCTATTAAAAAAAAACAGACAAGTTTGAGAAAAAAAGCCTCTGGAACAGTGAGCGGGGAACTTACAGGGAGCAGAGCCGCACTGAAAACAATGCAGCTGTGCTCTGTGTCACTGTTTGCTGGCAATCGCCGGGACCCGGTGAATGACACCCACAGACGCGATCGGTGCCGCGGGCAGGGCGACTGCCCCCTAGCATGTAAACAAGGATCACGTGTATATACGTGATCCTGCCTATAGGGGCCGCAGTATATGTACTGCGGGCGGTCCCTTAGTGGTTAACTGACAATTGCATAGTCATGCAACACTGCACCCAAATTAAATTTCCATCCTTTTTTTCCCACAAATAGAGTTTCTTTCAGTGGTATTTGATCGCCTGCACATTTTTTATTTTTTGCACTATAAGCAAAAAAAAAAAAAAGACGACAATTTTGAGAACACACAATATTTTGGACTTTTTGCTATCAAACATATCCAGTAAAAAAATTTAACAGAAATCACATTTCATCATAAATTTAGGCCAAATGTATTCTGCAACGTCTTTGCTAAAAAAAAAATCTCAATACGTGTAAATTAATTGGTTTACGTGAAAGTTCTAGTGTTTACAAATGACGGTATAGATAATGGGATTTTTTTTATTTTTTCTACTAGTAATGGCGGCAATCAGCGACTTTTAGCGGGACTGCGGCGGACATTCTGACACTGGGGGGACAACCCCAGTGACACCAATACAATGATCAGTGCTAAAAAAAAAAAAAAAAAAAAAAAAAAAAAAAAAAAGCACTGACACTGTACTAATGGCACTGGGCAGGAAGGGGTTAATGTGAGAAGCGATCAAAGGGTTAACTATGTGTTGGGAGTGTTTTACTAGGGGGTGGGGTGCATGCTAAACTGTAAGCACACTGCTCGGGATGGCTGTGCTATGAACAGCCATCCCGAGCAGTGTGCTCCAGCTGACAGGGAGGAAGACTTTGTAAACAAAACAGTCTTCCTCCCCATCGGTGATTGTCGGTAATCACCAGGCGCCCGCGGGGTAATTTCCACCTGGGACCTGGTGATTGACATCCGCGGCTGCAAATTGTGGCGTGGGTAGGGAGCGTGCGTACCCCCTACCCGGAGATGCAAAATCACGTACATATATGTGATTTTGCACACAGGTGCCATCCTGTAGCAGTATATCTGCTATAGGGTGGTCCTTAAGCGGTTAACCCCTTCCTGCCCAGTGTCATTAGTACAGTGTCAATGCTTTTTATTATCACTGTATTAAGTGTCACTGGGGATGTCAGTGACAGTCAGTTCCCCCTCAGCGTCAGAATGCCTGCCACAGCCCCGCTATAAATCACAGATCGCCACCATTACTAGTGTAAAAAAAAATAAAAATTCCAGTATATATACTGCCATTTGTAGACGCTATCACTTTCACGTAAGCAAATTTACACGCTTTTTTTTTTTTTTTTTTTTTTTTAAAGCAAAGACATGTAGCAGAATACATTTTGTCTTAAATTTGTGACAAAATTTGAATTTTTTTACTGGATGTGTTTTATAGCAAAAAGTAAAAAAAAAATATTTTTTTTTTCAAAATTGTCAGCCTTTTTTGTTTTGTATAAAAAACCGCTGAGGCGATCAAATGCCACCGAAAGAAAGCTCTATTTGTGGGGGAAAAAAAAGAACATAAATATCATTTGGGTGTGTCGTTGAATGACCGCACAATTGTCAGTTAAAGTAACAGCACAGTATTGCAAAAAAATGGCCTGGTCAGGAAGGGGGGTAAATCCTCTAGTGGGCAAGTGGTTTACTGCAGCAAAAAGTGTCTAAGTAGTGTTTACTATCACTTTAATGCCCTACAAGTTTTATCGCAAGTAGTGTAAATTCGCAGTCATGACTAAAACCACTTCGTACAAAAAAAAAACAAAACAAAAAAAAAAAAAAAACAGCAGAAATACAGCCTGCTTGTTTGTATCTGGACACTGGAGGGAGGAACAGACACCAGTAGGTTCACCCCTGGCAGATGCACAATCTGTAAAACTGCCTGGACAGTAACATCTTACTGTATGTTTACTCATTTTTCAATTCCTTGGCTATGGAATGGTATTTTTAAATAACCTTGAATTTTAATAAATATATATTTACTATATATATTCTATTTTTTTTTTTTTTTTAATAAAATTTAACATCTACATTTTGGATCAAAATACTTTTCACTTTCACTTAAAGCATAACACAAAACATTCAAGTACTTGCCTGTGCGTTTTCCATAGTTGCCTCTGTGATATCCAGACTGAATATTATACACATCTACCTTGCCATTCGACAGGCCAATCACCACAAAATTGCCACAACTTGTTAGCTCTACAGCCTGAAAGACAAACAGCCACATATTTGATAATTACAACACAACCTGGTACACGACCAATTTGAACTCCAAATGCGGCCTGTAGATTACTTCCCTTATATCTACTAGTATTCTGCCTTTACAGCCCTGGGCTATGTAACCCATTCATATGCCCCAACAAGCACGCCAACATTTTACAGTGTTAACCCCTACCTAACAGGGCACATTTTAAAATTGCTTTGGGAAACTTATTTTTCAAAAGACTGTTTTAAACCTGTTTGTAAGGATGTAATTGTAGCAATCAATCACCAAAGATTAGCTCATTGCCATTAATTTTGTCAGTTCTCGTTAGCATTACCCTGTGGACTTGCTTTGGGGCTAAATTTAGGGCTGGTGTTGCGACATGAAGCTAAACAAATTGGGGTCAAAATTTGTACAGCCACCAGCAGAAGATAAGCAAACCAGAATCTCAGCCCCCATCATTCTCAGAGTGATCTCTGCCTATATCTCTCTCACGTTACAGACCACCACTAGTACTGATTGAGAACCAAGATGCTGTTTAAAAATACTATCTCTTGTGCCTTCAAGATAGAAGCCTTTTGACAGAAAAAAAAAAAAAAAAAAAAAAAAAAACACCTGTTAACGCTAGGCACTTTTAGTTCTTAAGCATTTTTTAATTTCAATGGCCAGAACAAATTAATATTCTGACCGATGAAATGAAATACGCAAGCACTTGACAGGCCTTACCCCGTTGGAAGAAACAAACAAACAAAAAAAAAAACCGCAGGTTATGACCATTTTTACAGCCGTGAAGGTGCAACTGTAGATCTTCCAGGTGCAAAGCAAACTGGCAGGGAGACTGGAGAAGTGTGGTCTTCATGGAAGATTTGTGGCCAGAAAGCCATACCTCAGTTGTGGACTGAAGAGTTTAAATCCGCTATATCTGGCTGTAACAAAAGGCAGTTTGTTCATTAACCACATCCCGTTCGGCCCATGTATATAAACGGCTGGATGGGAGCAGTGCAGGAGCGGGTGGCCGTTTATAAACGGCCTCCCCGTTCCCTGCTTGTGTGCGCTCCCTGGGACACAGTGGTACACCGATCGTTGTACAGGACCTCTGTGTGAGGTCCGGATCATGTGATCACTGATTGGCCAATCAGTGATCACATGAAAAGTAGTAAGCAAGATGTCACTTTTGACATTATTGCTTACTACGTGTGAAATCTGTGAATGATCACAGAGGTCACATGGTACAAGGCTGTTGTGAATAGCCTTGTACCATGTGACAAGCTGTGACCAATCACAGCTTTCACAGTATTTCTCAATGGCGCCTTCATCACCCCCCCCCACACACAAGTAGTACAGTGTCACTATAGTGACACATTGTACTGCTAGGGTGACCGTATGTAAAAGGAAAAAAAAAAAAAAAAAAAAAACTGTAAAAAAAAAAAAAATTTAGAAAAATTATGATTTTTGGTTATAAAACTAATTTGGGGGTTTTTTTGTACTAAAAAGATAACTGAATAAATTTTGGCCAAGATTTATGAAGAAAGATTATTTGCAAAATTTTATAAGAAAAACACTTTAAAATTTTTGGACTTTTTCATTTATATAGCAAAAAAAGCAAAATAATAAAAATCCCAGTGGTGCATAAATACCACCAAAATAAAGTTTTATCTGTCTCAAAAAAATGCTAAAAAATTCCTATGGGTACAGTGTTGCATGACCGCGCAATTGTCAAAGTGTGATAGCGCTGAAAGCTGAAAATTGTCCTGGACATGAAGGGGGTAAAAGTGTCCGGACTTGAAGTGGTTAGGCCTGGGGAGTGGTACAAGGATGAGTGCCTGCAGGCAACAGTGAAGCATGGTGAAGGTCCCTTGCAGGTTTAGTGCTGCATTTCTGCACAAGGTGTTGGGAATTTGTTCAAAATGAATGGTCTCAATGATGAAAAGGACAGATACTTATCCATCAATAGTATGTAAAGCTTTTTGAGGGAATGGTAAGGGACTCTATAAAGAAATTTGTCTCTGATAAAAGGTATCATAAGCGACAACCAGAATGGATTTATAGAAGTGCCCCCATCCCCCTCCTGAACCATACCAGGCCACATGCCCTCAACATGGAGGGGGTGCTTTGGGGTAGTGCGGCTCCCTTCTCCCAAAGCACCTTGTCCCCATGTTGATGGGGACAAGGGCCTCTTCCACTCAACCCTGGGCTGTGGTTGTGGTGGTCTGCGGGTGGGGGGCTTATCTGAATCTGGATGCCCCCCTTTAGCAACGGGGCCCCCAGATCCCGGCTCCCCTCTCCATGTGAATGAGTATGGGCTACATGGTACCACTACCCATTCACAAAAAGAACACTGTAGTGTGAAAAAAGATAGGAGACAGTCTTTGTCAAGTCATTTATTAAAAGAAGGAAAATCAAAGAATGTCCGCCGAAGTAGATCCAACGTCAATCATGATGCCCGCCGCCACCCAAAAAAAAAAAAAAAGAAAAAAGAAAAGAAAAAAGGTTATGCTTCCGACGCTGGCTCCCAGCTCTCTGACTGCTTTGCTGGCTTGACAGTTCTTAACTATGTAAAGGGTGGGGCCATCACGTATGACCCCCACCCCTATGTGACATCATTGACCCAGCATGCCCCAGTCGATGTCACACGTGGGTAATGTCACTGGGTGGCCCCGCCCCTTACATAGTTAAGAGTTGTCAAGCCAGGTTCACAGTCAGACAGTGGGAGCCAGAGTCGGGAGTGGAGCCTTTATTTTTTTCCCCCCAGGTAGCCGGCGGGCATTGTGATCAACACTGGATCTACTTCTGGGAACATTTTTTTTTTTTTTTCCTTCTTTTAATAAAGGACTTGTCAAAGACCGTTTCCCCCCCTTTCCTGACCTGCCGGGCTGCATGCTTGGATAAGGGTCTGGTATGGATTTTGGGCGGGACCCCACTCCATTTTTATTTTTGTTGTGGAGGTTCCCCCCTCCATCCATACCAGACCTGAAGGGCTTGGTATGGATGGAGGGAAGGGGGGGGGGACCACACACCTTTTTATTATTTTTTAATTGACGGCAATGCTTTATTTTACATTCAGGTTTCAGTGGGGAACCCTGCTGACAGCTGAAACATTAACGCATGGTTTTCACAACTAAAGCACTGCATGACTTGATAAAATAACTGATGCAATATTTTAGTTGGTTTTTTTTAGTGAATTCAAACTTTTTTTTTTAAAAAATGCTATGTGGTATCCTACCGCATACCAGGATGCGGTAAGATACCGCTTAGTGAATTGTGCCCAATTTTATCTATTGCATCATTTGTTGCTAGGTTTAGGGAATAAAAAAAACTTGCCAAATATGTGCAAATCTGCCCAATTTGAGCTACAAAAGTAGCTCCAAAACTTTGAGCTTCAGGTGTTCTGCTTCAGGCCCGACTTGGAGTGGAGATGTGAACCATCTCCATAGAGTAATTTTGATTTTTTTTTTTTTCCCCCTGAGCATTTTGGAGCGTCGAGCTACAAAACGCTCAGGTGTGAATGCAGCCTTAGTTACACAAAGCCACAGGTTTTCTTTGTGCACCATTACAACTTTGTAGCCGCCGGCAACATAAAAAAAAAACAATCATGTCATCAGTTGATAAGGACATTGGGCACCTGCACAGCATCCTCTCTTCTCCCTCTCCATCAGCACAGGGGTCACATTAGCTGAGTGAGCAAGAGAAACTGAGGGAGAAGAGAAACAATGAAATACTAGTCAGTACCAGTGTGCAAAGATGTATTTGCTTTGGAAGAATAAATCACGTCTGACATTGGGTGTCCTACATGTGCAGATGTTGATGCGTTCTGTAAAACTTTTAGTTTACTTTTTTACATTTTGTAATGGGTGTGGCAAGCTTTTGCAGGATTTTAAAGGGCGCCACAAGATTGTGCAGAATTTTTAAGGGTGCCTTGACTGTAAAAAGGTTGATAAACACTGGTCTAGAGAAAGGAACCATGGGGAGATTTTGTGCATGTACTATGATTTACTGTTATGTCTTTATATGATACTTCTTTTCATAAATATATGAAAAAAACGTAAAAAGTTAGCTATTTGAATTGTTGTGTTATTTACAATATACCTTTTTCAATATGACAAATCTGCATTTTTTTTTATTTAGATAGTGAAAATTATAACCCCATTTCAATTTTATGCGTCATTTGTCTAAGAATATTACCTTTTTCTGTAGGCACAATCAAATTTATTTAAAGTGTCAAGAATTTCCATGGGGTATACTTTTTCATATGACTGAGCATACGGCTTTTGTTGCACACCCCTAAAGAAATTGTCCTGCAGTTCAGCCACAAATACTGTTAGCATTTTGTGGTGCCAGTTTACTCCCTATAGTAGTACCTAAACACTGCCATTATCAAAAGTGAAACAATTGTATTAAACTAAATCCAATGAGCTATGAAACATCCTCAGCAGTGTATCTGTTGTTGCTAAGACATACAGCAATCCCACTCCTGTGAGGAAAGTTGCTACTCAAAGTTCTATCATCCATAATCACTAGAAGTGTATTTGGTCGTAATTGCTGAGCTTGTTTAACGGCCTCCCGCCCGCCATATAGTACAATGACGAGCGCAAGGCGGTTCTCTTGTTCTGGGAGGACGTCATATGACGTCCTCCCATTCTAACCGCTCATGCGTGGCTCTGGGAGCGTGCAGCGATCGGCGGTGCGCTGTGTCCGTCAGACACAGCAGATCACCGATCAACGGAAAGAGCCGAAGATGTCGGCTTAGTCATGTGATCAGCTGTGTCCAATCACAGCTGATCGCATGTAAATAAGGAAATGCCGGTTATCGGCATTTCTCTCCTCACGAGCTGTCACGCTGACAGCTCGAGAGGAGAGGAGAGTCGGTAATCGGCATCCCTCAGAGTGCCCTGATGATCAGTGTGCCCTGATGATCTGTGTAGCCCCAGCAGTGCAACCTGTCGTGTCCATCAGTGCCAGCTGTCAGTGCTCATCCATGCCACCTGCCAGTGCCCACCAGTGCCACATCAATGCCACATTTCAGTGCCTACCAGTGCACATCAATGCCACATATCAGTATCCATCTGAGCTGCCTTTCAGTGCCACCCATCAGTGCTGTCAATCAGTGCCACCTATCAGTGTCCGTCAGTGCTGCCTATCAGTGCCAGCTATCAGTGCCATATATGAGTGCTTCCTTTCAGTGCCCATCAGTTATGCCTGTCAATGCCCATCAGTGCTACCTACCAGTGCCACCTATCAGTGCCCATCACTGCAGCCTCATTAGCGCACATCAGTGAAGGAGAAAAATCACTTATTTACAAAACTTTATAACAAAAACTAAGAAAAAACTTTTTTTTCAAAATTTTCAGTGGTTTTTGGTTTGTTGAAGAAAAAAAAAAAAAAACCCAGAGGTGATTAAATACCACCAAAATAAAGCTCTATCTGTCACAAAACAATGCTAAAAGTGTCATATGGGTACAATGTTGCATGACCACGCAATTGTCAAAGTGCAACAGCGCTGAAAGCTGGAAATTGGCCTGGGCAGGAAGGGGGTATAAGTGCCCTGTAGGCAAGTGGTTAAGAAATTATTTGAATTTTGCAGAAATCTAGCAGTATTTTTGCCTAATGGATTAGCACATTTTCTACAATATCTGAGATTTGAGTGAGTTTATTTGCACTTGTAATGATGGGTCTGCCTGTATTTCTTGGCTTATGGATCTTTGGCAGCCTACAGAAGTTCCTAATTTCTAAATTATCTGGAATTGCACAGACAAGCTCTGAATGTAGGTGACTTTATAGTGTTTTAATAAGACATTTAATTGTTTAATAAAATCATTAGTGGGATCATAATCCATTTTATGGCAAGTATCAACTACAAGCTGCCTCTTTGTTCCTCTTGTATAGATTTGTTTGTGTCCATGATAACTACTACACCCCTATTTTATCTGCTTGTTTAATGTTGATGGCCTTATTGTTGTGAATTCCCATATAGCGTTTTGTACCTCTTGCTGAATGTATGACGTTGTTGCTCCCTATTCATACCCTACTTCTCAACTTCTTATCTAACTTTCTGGCTTATTAACCTACAGTACCTGTGTGTTTTTCCTAATACTTTGCTAAACGTTTTTTCTCAGTAGTGCATGAAACGAGAAGGAGGGAATATGCTAAGAGCTTGGTCCTGAAAATGAAGCGGTTAGGGCAAATGACATGATTTTTGACTTGCCTGTTTTTTTTGTCTTGAAGATCATCATAGTACACAGAAGAGTTAATTGTAATGTCCCACATCCAGGTGATTGGACACTGGCAAATAGAGCTCAACACCCAACACTGCCTCAGTTTTCAGCAAGCAATGGAATGAAACCAGATGTACTTCAAGAAAGGGACCTTACAGGCAAGTAAAAAAAAATCCTGTTTGTTTAGTCATATATCACAGGACACATGCGAGTTAAAGCTGAGCTTCACCCAGAAGGGGAAGTTTCACTTTAAGGCTTCGTCCCCCGCTAGCCGTTAAGGATTGGCACCTTGGGGGAGCTGGTACTCTATTTTGACAGGTACTCGCTACCACTGCGAACACCTAGGCGATTGGAAGCAGAAGTTCTATCCCTCCTCCCCCTCACAATCCTCTGGGACCATTCACAATCTGCAGCGCTGCTCGAGAATGCACAGCAGGGTGCCCTCACTTAAGATGCCGATGCAGGGGACACAGTGAATCTAGTTTTTATAGCTGTAGACTTTTTTTTCAACAGAGATTGGAGCTCTGCTTTGATTGTTAGACTGTTGGGACATCCCAAAGGAATCCTATGTGGGCCAGGCAACAGAAAAAACAGTAGCTAACAGGCCCAAAAAGATCAATCCTCCCAAGAGAACAAGAACAGGAATAGCTGGAAAGGCCTCCACAGGGCTACCTGTAAGACTTTCTGTCCAAGACCTGAACATGTACCAGGTAAAAAACTTAGGAAATGTATTAGCAGAAGATCAGGTAGCTGCCTTACAGACCTGGGAAACTGAGGCCTGATGTTGAATAGCCCATAAAGCACTGACACTTCTCATGGAGTAGGCTTTCCAAGAAAATGGAAGGACCCTACCTTTCAGGTCAAATGCCTGAGTGATCTGTCACATCCACCCAACATCCCCCTCCCAATCTGACCTCTCAGTTTAAATCTTCTCCCCCAAATCCGCCTTCTAGCACAAATCCCCCCTCATCCCCCAAAATCACCCTCCATTAAATCCTCTCCCCCTCAAATTTGCCCTCCAAGCGCAAATCCTCACTGCCAAGCACAATTTTCACCCCCCCTTCCCAAACTGAGTTGCTCATTGGAATAGAAATGCTAGGGTATGTTCTCGACACTCTCGACACTCAAAACGATATATAACAAAATTTAAGAAGATAGACTATCAATATGTGCAGCATTTTATCTATATCTCAAAAAGAGAAAAAAAAAAAAAATTCTGACAAGTCACTGTGTACAAAACAAAAAAAACACTTTGCTTAAGAGGCTATGGTTGTACTATATCCTCCCAACCAACTTTGCTCTCTGATAATATCCTATTTCAGTGGTGCAACAATTTCATGATGACACTATACATTACATTGTTTACAGTTGCACAGGAATATACTTTATTTGGGTAATTCTTAGCTTGTTCTAATTTGAAGGATCATAGCGATGAGTTGAAGATACTTGTGTACATACAGTGTATGTTGGTTAGATTTTTTTGGACAGAAGATTCATGTATTTATCTCAAGATACTGACATTTAAAGTGGTTGTAAAGGCTGAAAAAATTCGATCCATCTTTGTGCCTGAGAGCAGCAGCGCTGAGCCATGTTGTGTGTCTCTACAGATGCACACACCGAGCTTAGGATAGAACCCGCACGAGTGCCTCTACAGTAAACAGCTTGCTATAGGGGCACGCGGTAGGGAGGAGTAGCCAACAGCTCCAGTGGGGGACCCCAGAACAGGAGGTTTGGGGCCACTCTGTACAATATCATTGCACAGAGCAGGTAAGTATAACATATTTATTATTTTAATAAAGAGAATGTATAACTTTACAATCACTCTAACCCTTGCAGTGCACGCACAGTACCAGTGTAAGGGATCATTTACAGGTTTCCTGGGCTTTAAAAATCAAAGTTGTGCACACTACTATTCACACTTTATACAGTGCACAACATACCACAAAGCATTAAATTTTGCACAACTAAGGTTAATGAGTTCTATAACTCAGACTAGAGGTGTCCATACTCACTGTTGCATAAACACCATGTTGTTTGATATGCTTGAGACTAGGAGGTGTTAGCTTGTGTGCTCCCATAGTAGACCTTACATAATTCCAAGTGGTACACTTTAGTGAATTCTGATGACATGCAATGATACCATCCCAATCATTCTGTCGTGCCGTCTCTAAAATATAAAACAGCAGTCCGTCATATTTCCTGTTAAATGACAATCATAACCGTTCCAAATTAGAGTATGTAATAGGACTCACAAATTCCTTTCTTCTTAGAACTTGAGATTTCAACCACAAGTTGAAAATGATCATATATTTCCAATTATTAAAAAAAATAAAAGGCAACGTATTTAATATATGCTAAACTACAAATTTTGTCAGTCACAACCAATGTCTTAGCTCTTACTAATGTGCAACAAAAGTCACAACATAATAAAAAAATATAGTAAACCTCAAAAATAGTAAACCTTATTGAGCTGAATTGCAGCAAGTGCGAAAGTTGAGTTTTAAGACAGTGATAATGTTACAGATTTTTTAAAACAGAAATGTAATATAAACTGGAAAAGCTTTCAAAATAAATTGTTCAGCATATAAAAGGAGTGACCTGAGTGCTGACTGTGGCTTAAAAGATTTTATTAGAAAAATAAAGGGGGAAATCAACCATATACTACATCTCAGGCCCCTGCTTTACTTTAGCTATCTATGCAAACTAAATAATTAAGTACCAGATTTAGATAAACTAATAAAGCCAAGTTCTGATACATAAGGTACAACTACCTATGACTAATCAAAGCAGTCAGTATGTATAATTTGCTCTGACATTTCTCCAAAGTAAGCAATTTTTTGTATATTTGCATATACTGGTATACTATTGTAACTCACGGTGGGACTTTTAGAGCTTTTGAAACCGTGACCATGCAGTTTTACTGCCCAAATCCATGCTGCCAGGGACCAGCTCTTCAAAAACTAGCCGCTTAGTGTCTGAAATCTGTCACAAATGTATAACTTTCAACACTCCAGAAATTCAGCTGTGTTTGCTAAATCTGTCCTAAATCATGTTCCTCTAAGGCACTGTAATTCAACCCCATGTTCAAGTGAACAAAAAGGCCAGTTTTACTGGCAAAATGTTGGGTGTGTAATACACCAGGAGACTGGACCCAGGAAAGCAGTTTACTAGCTATAAACCATCTTTAACATACCTGCTGGTATGCACCACAGATGGTCATTTTTCTACAAATTCTATCACTTATATGGTCCATTGCATGTAGCAATGTGAAAACCACTGAAGAAACATCAGAGTGCATTATACTGACTATATGCTTTGCAATAAAACTTTATAATTTTGTATTCATATCTAAAGTCCTTCTGACTAATCAAAGGATCATGCAGTATTCCTGGATGTGGTAGTGATTTTAAAAGGAATAATATTTAGGTAGAATGCATACCAGAGGCAAATGATATGACAGGAGGAAGTCTTAAAGATGCTCCACGCGAACCCATCTTTTTAGCTTTGGCTCTATTTACGGAACCTGGTAACATAAAAGAAGAGCTGTATGTTTATAAGGCAGGTTCAAGAGTAAATTCACATTGTTAAATTAGACCATAATACCGTATTGCAGAATTTATCACGTGCAAGTAATATCTTATTTTTTTTGCAGTGCTCTGTATGTGAAGTAGATTTCAAAAAAACATTTAATGGGGTTTCCTTCCAACAATAACTACTACCTCCTGGCTGGTGTTTACTATGAGTTGCAGGAAGCAAAAAAAAAAAAAAAAAAAAAAAAAAAAAATTTAAGGTGGAGATTTAAAAAAAAAAAAAAAAAACTTAAAAAAAGAAACTTAAAAAAAAAAAAATTTACTAAAAATGGTAAAATACCATTCATGAGAAACAGTCTTCCAATGGTTACATATTCATCTAATGCAAAAAAAATGACCAATGAAATATTTATTTTCATGAATTTAACATTAAAATGGTGATTTTGTGAACTGACACTAATGTACATTTACCTGACAAACACAAACAGCTAGTAGACCGAATTTGTCTTTTAATGTTGGACATTTTGTAGCTTATCTAAACCATTTTTTCATGAAGAAAACATGTCAAGGCAGGTGTTAACTGACCAAGAACAAGAGGAGTGGTGTGAAAGTTGTGGAACCACCCTGTTATTATGATTATTATTATACAGTATTTATATAGTGCCAAAAGTTTGCTCAGCGCTGTACATTACAATGGGAGACAAAACATGAGACAGTACAATAACAATACAATACACGAGGGCCCTGCTCCTTGGAACGTACAATCTAGGAGGGAGGGGATAGTGGTAAAGGAGGAAATGGCTGTGGGGGATTGAGTGGTAGGAGGAGTGGAGGAGATCGGCAGTTAGGTGAGCGCGGGGTAGGCTTCCCTGAAGAGATGGGTTTTCAGGGTGCGCCTAAAGGTGAGGAGGGTAGGTGACAGTCTGATGGATTGGGGTAGTAAGTTCCAGAGGATGTAGGAAGCCCTGGAGAAGTCCTGGAGCTGGGCATAGGAGGAGGAGACCAGGGAGCTAGAGAGTAGGAGGTCTTGTGGGGAGCGAAGAGTACGTGTTGGGTGGTATTTGGATATCAGGTCGGTGATGTAGTTTGGGGCAGTATTATGGATAGCTTTGTACGTCAATGTTAGCAATTTGAATTTTATGCGTTGGGCAATCGGAAGCCAGTGGAGGGAATGGCAGAGGGGGGTGGCGGATATGGAGCGGTTGGTAAGGTGGATGAGTCTGGCCGCAGAGTTCAGGATAGACTGAAGTGGGGATAGCCTGTGATGAGGTAAGCCGGTGAGGAGGGAGTTACAGTAGTCAAGTCGTGAGATAATAAGGGAGTGAATGAGTTGCTTAGTAGTTTCTGGGGTAAGGAACTAACGTAGTTTGGAGATTTTGCGGAGGTGGAGCCTGCATGAATTTGCCAGCGATTGGACATGGGGCTGGAAGTACAGATTGGAGTCTAGAGTGACACCTAGAACTTTGGCTTGCGGGCTGGGACTGATGGTGGTGGCGTTGGTCGTGATGGAGAGGTTGGGAAGGTTGGGGGGGGGGGGGGGGGGGATGGGCTGGGGGGAAAACTAGGAGCTCGGTTTTGGAAAGGTTCAATTTGAGGAAGTGGAGTGACATCCAATCTGATATGTCATTCTAGTAACACAATCCGATTCCTTGTAGTCAGGAACTCTGCATACACTGTATCCGAATTCTTCGAGCCACATGGCTGCAGAGGGGGAATTGTTGAAAAATTGCTGAGGCGCAGATGTTAAAACTGTATTGTACATAGAAAACAGATGGTATCAAAAAGGTCCTCACTCATGATCAGGGATGGTTATTTTTAGTATGGAAGATACATGAAGGTCATCAACATCAAAACAGTTAGTCTCTCTGCCCAAATTGTGCACTTTCCTCAAAAGAATGGCACTTTTCCTAAAAGAATTATCACTAGGAGAAAAGAAAGCTGGTTACAGCCCCCGTTCCCCAGCTGAACCTATGTGCATAGCACTCATCTCAGTGTCTAGCAGTGCACAGATTGCTCAGCTGTGGTATGGCATAGCTAGCCCCGCCCAATTGCCTAGCCTAGCAATCCAACAACTGATCAATAGAGAGAGATATCTGGGTGACGGCAGAGGAGGAGGATGAGTGCAACAGGCAGTGCACACAGAGCTTGCTGGCAGACAGAACATCACTCTACTGTGCAGTCTCATCTCTCCTCTTTAGCTTACACACAGTCCAGAATTGCAGCCTGCTATCCAAAGGAATGGAGAGAGTGGAAATGGTCTGCTTGTGTTGTGAATGATTGTAACTTAAGAAAAGTGGTTTCATTCACAAAAACACAAGCTGACAACAGCACATTCTGACTCCTACATTTGTCCAAAAGAGCCTAGAATAGTACCTGGCTTCCGCTGCTGTCAGCTTGTGTTTTTGTGAATGAAACCCCTTCTCTTCCGTTGCAATCATTCACAACACAAGTTGACAATTTCCACTCTCTCCATTCCCATAAATAACAGGCTGCAGGTCCAGACTCTGTGTAAACTAAAGAGGAGACAGGGTGCTTCAGAATGGAAAGTTTGGGGTTCTATAGGAGATTAGGCCTGAGGGGAAAGTGAGAGAAAGAAATTACAAAAAAAGTAAGATTTAACACTCACTGCTCTGATTTTTTAATGTGGTGCTATGTGCACAGATGCAACTGGGAGAAGGGGATTTAGGCAGCAAACAAGCTTTGACAATTTTTCTTTAAGGTGTAGTAAGGATTCCATACAGCCATGGTGTAGCTTCCCCAGTATAGAGATTGTGGTATAAGGTGTGATCAATGGCTTCTACTTTTTCTAGCTATTGTAAACTATCACCTTTTTCTTGTAACAGCTTGTGGGGTCCCCTCTGTAGTGACCCATACGTTTCCGAATTACTGAGCGTAGCCAAGACTTCCTTCTCCAGCTAAGTAAACTCTAAGTGTAAAAGATTCTTTACCCATTAGTCTTTATTGCTTTGAGGTGCTCGGTTAATTTTTCTCTTCCAGGTTAACTCTTCTCTTTTATTCCTGGCCCATAGTTGCAAATTGGTTAACTTGTTGCTCTGTCTTTCCATGCCCTTAACTTTTGGGCTAGCTGAGCTTGTACTGTAAATTCAACCACTCTTTCTAGGATCTCAGCAGGCAGCTTTCATCTCTCTTCCACATATAAAGGCTAACACTTCTGCCCTGGTGATCTGACAATTCACAATTTCAGCCATGTGAAAAGCAGGATTAACAGCTATGCAGATGTTTTGACACCAAGAATAGGATTATGCAACTAGAAAAGGGTGCTTCCACAACTACCATCCTGTTCTTGGACAATCCACATCTACCTTGACACATTCCATTAGATTAAAGGTATCTGTGCTACAAGTGTGGAAATACATTCTGGGAAACATTCTCATTTAGAACTGAACAAGTGGCATGAAAAAGCTGAACTTTAACAGGTGTACGTGGCCACCTATTACTAGCTATACCATGACTTGGATAAAACGATAACCATCAAAGACAATTATATGAATAGTTTTTTTTTTAATAATGTGTTACATAATTAGAAATTACCTACATAATATAGTTATAAAAAGGCATACATATATGGTCAAAATATCCATATATGGCCATGAGGACAGTTAAAAGAAACCTAAAATGCAGGGTCCTAAATCTGGATCTTAATATTATGGAATCACTCCTACTCCAGTCACAAGCGGCGCAGATCCGTAACCGGAAGGGACGTGACGGCATTCTGTCCGGCAGTTCCAGAGGTGGTGAGAGCACCATGCGGTATCTGTGTGACTAACACGAGTGATTCATTGGGCTTGTTGAAGTTTATATTGTTGTAAGTGCAATACTTGGATTAATAAAGCTGTTTATCTTGGGTAATATACGATTGGAGCAGATACATTTCTTCTCTTTCCATGTCATGGTGGAGTGGAGTGTTTTGTTTTGTTATGATCCTGGCAACCATTCTTAAAAGGGTGATTCTTGGAGGAACCTCCTGGTCCTAGCAGTGGATATCCTCTTGATTAATCTATAAAAAGGCTGTTCTCTGGTGAATGCACACCTGAGTGGGGGTGCATGGTGGGCACAGCACAGATTTTCAACACGTATATATTCTTTTCATCACTTGAATTTATTTCAACACTGGATTCTTATTTTTAAAGTTTTTCCAATACTGGACTTTTAGTTTTATTTATATCACGGGACTTTTTTTTGAATTTTATATATTTTTGGGAGTATATGGAATGTCACAATTAAGATATAGTCACTGTATATTTATATTTTTTTGTATTATTATTTGTTACAGCGGTAATGGTGAAGACAGAGAATGACACAATATATGAATATTAATTGAGGTTTATTGATAACACTATGCAAAGTATGCGCTGCTTGTGGTCACTGGAGTAGGGGTGATACCATATTATTAATGGTTTATGCTTGGAAGGAAAGTGGCAGCAATATAATATTAATATAAGAATTATCTGCACTAGGTGCGATATAGTGACTTTTGAACAACATTTAAAGGTGGTCACTTACAGAATAGCTAAATCTGGATCTGGCTCTAAATGTCAACTTACCACGACCAAGGCTTTTACTATAACTGTCATGAACTGTGGAAAATGAATGCAATGTCCCATCTTGGCCTGCAAAATGAAATGGAAGGTAATATGTTTGATATTAGGATGTTAAACTAGTTTTCTGTTGTATACTAGTATAAAATATGTATTCCATATGCAAGAACAATGTTCTCAAATGCGAATAGTGTTTATATCCACCTGAACTAAGGATCTGCTTGCCATTTAGACCATGATGTCGAATGAAAGTGGGTGGAGCACTGTGACCCATACGGAACCTGAGCAAGCGTCCTTGACCTCCTGGGCCATCAAAGATCCAGACCTGTTTAGAAAAAGACAATGGTGATGTGAGTTCAAAGAGCCTGGTATACTCAAAAGTATAAATAATAAACTAAACTAATCTGTCCTGCTGTGGAGATTTCCCCTTATCCCCGGTCTCGCAGATGCAACAGGGAGTGAGGGAAATTCCTAACAGACAATTATCAGAACATGTGCCCCCACTGGAAGATTTCCACTTATCTCCTAGTATAGATTAACAGTTTTTCATCTTTTTGTAAGAAGTATAACATACCAAGATCAAAGACTTATCTTAGGTATTTGTCGGCAGAATTTGATAAGCCAGCGATGAGGAAAGCACCTGCACACTGCAGTGACTTGATAAGCAGTCATATTCATGACTAATTGAGGATGTTCCAATTTAACATTGATTTTAATATGTTTGTAATAAACTATCATTCTTAATGTTATATACAATTTTGAGATTTATATTTTCCTGGTGGTTATCTGAAAAATCCCTTTTTTAATACTTTGTCTGCTTAAATATTGTAATAACAACCCCAGGAAACTAGCAGGATATATACTATTATAGCAGGTTCCACACCTTTTGTTTAGATGCAGCTGTAAGCTTTTTCTCTACAATCACATTCTTTTGTGGATTTAAAGATACTCCTGAGTGCATAAAGCGTGGAGGGAGAAAAAGCAGCGAAACCAGCTTGTAGCCACTAGACACCACACTGCAGACCGACACTTCTGAGACTCCCCGAGCCCAGGCAGCCGCAAAGGCCAATAGAAGCCCCCCCAATAAGTGGGGGTGCCCCTTTCACTGTGAAGAGGATTTAGCTCATGAACCAGAGGACTGCTTGGAGCCAGAAGCTGGGCGCTTACAAAGTGGTAGTTAAGTCCTGAAATCTAAAATTTGCTAACAGGCAGTGTTTTTATAACAGAAGAGACCCTGGGGGTCTCTTTTGTCATAAATGTCCCCCTTGCCTCTCAGCAAGTAATCAGATCTGATCCGCACATGCTCAACTGAGACATTTACGACCCGCTCTCTGTACTGCAGCAATGCGACTCACGTGCGCATGCACGGGAGTGACGCCACCTATGTCTCGGCCAATCAAGCAGCTAAAGATAGGGAACCCAAAAGGAAAACCAGGAGAAGATGGAAGCTGCAGGGGACCAGAGAGGGATGTAACAGTGCAGCACTGGAGGGCCCCATCTGCAGGCAAGTCTGGCATAATGTACTAGTATGCAGTGCATACTAGTACATTATGATCTAAACCTGCACGGGTGACCATTTTTTAAAGAGAACAAACAAAACTTTACTACCGCTTTAAGGGCAAGAGCATTTCCCCACAATCACCATCCACAGGATGAGCAAAACTCTTACGCAGTGAAAACACTTCCCCTGGGTAAGCCCAATCGGCATACATCACTTCTATATCCCAATTCTCTGTCTGTGAAAAGCCATTACTTGTTGAGGGTTAAACAGGTCCATGAACCTCAGAAGGAAGATGCCACCCAGCTGAGAGGAGTGTAGGCCTAAGACAGAACACCTATGTGGCAGTCACACCTATAAATAAATGCTGATATGCAGGACTGAAGGCATACGCTGAGTAGGTGACTAATTGTGCAGTGTGGTATCTCCACACTGTGTAGCTTAGGTGCAGCAAGAGACATGTACTGCATTCCAGGGACCGAGGGTTGGTGCCCATGCAATGATGTTGCCCCCCTGGAATCTCTTTGATGCACCACCTCTACTGTATGTCGCCTCTATGTAAACTGCCAAGAAAGAATCCACAACTCAGAAAACACTGTCAGAGGGATCTGCCACACTGCTCAACTATAACAGGCAATCACCAGTCCATAGCTGCAGCACCAGCAGGTATAATATTCACCCATCATGGCGGACCAGCCCTGCAGGGCCTTCAGGGTTTATAGGGATCACTTCCTTGGACCCATAGAGTACCCTGTAGGTAACCAATTACTTAGTACACAGTGCAACTATCCACAAGGTCCAGCACCAGCTTGTAGACATTACAGGTAGTCCTTACATTTGTATTTGGAATCTGGGTACAGTCTCCCTTAGCCTGACGGCCATAGCAACTGATGCAGATAGGGCCCACCTCTGCCTTACCAGGGGCATAAGGAACAGGCTCAGATATACAGGAACAAGTTCATGAGAGAGATCTTTAGAAAGACAAAATGGAGGCACATTCATCACCTGGGGTCACTAGCAAAAAAAACAAAAAAGAAAAACCTAAGGCCTAGCTGAGCTAGGAAGGGTTATGCATGGGATTCCTGCCTTTTTTTCACCTGAAGATGGCAGCATAACCCTAGTCATGAATATAATTATAACTTCAAATCTCCTTTTCAGTGTTAGTGAAACATGCATAAGAGGAGGCCTCTGTATTGTCATACCCGTAATGCATTATCCGCAGCATTGGTAATGAGCAGGGGTTCACCATGAACAAACGTTAGCCCAGCAATAGCTGTGGAATGAGCATCCCTCATTTGGCTCATCAGTTTCTTTTCCTCCAAATCCCACAGACCTATGTGACCAATGGGGCTTCCAGCTGCCATTATTGGATGTCCATCTGCAAGGCAAGAAATAGTGTAAAAGGAGTTAAAATATAAATTAATGGCTGTTGAAAGATGGGCATATTGGAACACCTGCAAGGATTTGAAACAAACTTTCTTTCAGAGTAATGTCCCAGTTTCTGATCTGAAAGAATGGCTCTTTGTTAGATCTTGCCTTGTGCAGGACTGATTGTGAATGGGAGTGACTTCTTCATTTTTGATCAGCTTAAGCACCACTTGCAGGGATCATGAGGAGAGTGGCAGGCTCTGCATTCCTTTAGAATTGATTAACCGATTAACCCTCTTTAGGTTGCATTCGCATGGACATCAACATTTCAGAGTTAAGCTGCATTTAGAAGACTTTTCTGAAAGTTGTTGGACTCACAATGCAAAATAATCATGTTATTCATACATAATTGGAAACATTTAACTGGGTTTAGGAAAAGAAGAAAAGTGCTGCAGCCAGGGTCAACTATCTGCAGCTAAATGCACACCGAGTTTACCTGCAGATATTTTTTGCTGCTCAAAGCACTGCTGCTGACACACTCCCCCCCCCCCCCCACTTATTCCTGAAATGTTGGTATCGCTTCTCATGTTCGTATTCATTCTTTGCAGATGTGGTCTAACAATAGCTAGTAAGCGGTCAAAGGTGGACAGTGACATTCTGGTAAAGTTGTAAAATGTATCGGGAGAAGTTCTGATTCTTCAAACATCAGGACAAAAATTAGTTAGATGCCGGGATGTACCCCTCTTCCCTTAATTTGCCTCTCTCTCTCTGCCTCAGGGCCAGTTCACATCAGAATACATTGTGTGAAAGGAGCGTTTCATGCACGTTTCCCGCACTGCCCTTGCAATCTGCATGCAGGTGCCAATTAATTAATGGCATGCCAAACGCAGATCACAACGCAGTGCGTTTGCGGGCACCAAATCACATGGTACTGCAGTAACATGAAGTTTGGTGCAGTTAGTTTGTAAAAGTAGAGCCGTGCGTGTGAACCGGCCCTCAATCTTCTCCTCTCAAGCAAGCACACAAGCACCAGCTTTGCTCTGCACTCCATTTAAATGACACAGCTTTATCTCCTTGCTCAGAAAGCTACAAAGTGGAAGAGGAGGTGTCTGGGGTATAACATCCCACCCAAGAATGGGGTATTGACAAAAAAAAAACACCTGAAAATGCTGATGTAGTTAAACTCATTTACAAACCGCAGCTATCTGCAGGAAATCTCAATCTTTTCAAGTGCAGATTACTGGCGTTTAACTGCTGTTAGATACAAACATCCATGTGAATGTAGCCTTAGAAGCATGTCACCAAAACAGAAATGTTTGTTACAGATGTCTGAAATCTGACTTGTATTTGTATCTTAGTGCAAAATGCACTTGTATCTTCTGGTAAAATCAGTAAGCCAATCAACAAGCTCACTCTTACTGGAGTGTGTGGCTGTAGTGTACACTGGGAATTTTCTGTCTGCTACAACTAGAGTTGCAGTGTGTAGTATCACCTGGTCAGGGAGCATCTAGCCAGGGAGCCACCACCTAAGTGGGTTCAACATCATGGGAGATTGCAGCGCATGGAGACCCACAAAGGATCCTGTCTTACAGGAATGGGATGCATTGTGGAGGCCACAGAGTGGATGTACAGGAAAGTCTTTACGTATGCGTCACTGTCCTGTGTGTGGGGTGGCTGAGCCTTTTGTGTGTATATATAGTGGGTGTAAAAAAGAAATCACCCCCTTTAAAATAATCACATTTTGTTGCTTTGCAGCCTGAAATGAAGACATTTTATGTTTTATCCAGTTGTATTTACCCTATAACATCCAAATTGAAAGATGTAACACCAACATGTCAGAAAAAAATAAAAAAAAAAAATTCAAAAGACAGAATCACTGAGTTGGACTATCTTTTGCTTTACTTACAACCTTTAGTCTGTTGGGATATGTCTCTACTTACTTTTCTTATCTAGACTTTGCAATATTTACCCACTCTTCTTTGCAGAACTGCTCAAGTTCAGGTACATTTGATGATGACCATTTGTGGACTGAAAGTCTTCACGTCATTCCACAGATTTTCAATGGGGTTTAGGTCTGGGCTCTAAGTAGGCCATGCAAGGACATCCACCTTTTTCTCTTTCAGCTACTGTGCGGTCATTGTCATGTTGGAAGGTAGACCACCTTCCCATTGACAACTTTCTGGCAGGGGGCAGCAGATTTTCCTCAACAATTTGATGGTATTTTGCCCCATCCATTCTTCCTTTTATAATAACAAGTGCTCCAGTCCATACTGCAGAGAAACCCCATAACAGGATATTACCACATCCATGCTTTACTGTAGTAATTGTGTTATTTGGATGGTGAGCTGTATTGGTTTTCTACCAGATAGATCGTTTAGTGTTGAAGCCAAATCATCCAATTTTAGGTTTCATCTGACCCCAACACCTTTTCCATGTGGCCTCAGAATAGTCAAGGTGCATTTTGGCAAAGACGCAGTGGTAACTGCATGTGGCCTTTTTTGAGGAGTGGCTTTTTTCTTGCAACCCTCCCACACAATCCACATTTGTGTGAGAACTTGGATATTGTTACATGCACATCATCATGCACTCATCTGTCAAATTCCTGCAACTGCTTCAGAGTTGCTGAACGCCTCTTAGTAGACTCTTTGACCAGTTTCCTCCTGGCTTTTTCATCCAGTTTAGAGGAGCATCCTGATCCAGGGAGGGTCTGTGTTGCACCAAATACCTTTCACTTCTTAATAATGGACTTCACTGTGCCTCTAGACATTGATAAAGCCTTTTACTTTTTTCTGTATCCATCTCCTGACTTCTGCCTGTCCACAACTTTATCCCAGAGATCTTTTGACAGTGCCTTGCCACCCATAGTTGAAGGTTTGCTTCAGTTGCACTGCCAGGGATTGAAATGTTTCATGAAAACTTGGATGTTATCAGTTGCACTGAGTAAACACAGCTGATAAAATAAAAACTGCGCATGTCTTCATTTCAGGTTGCAAAGCAACAAAATGTGAATATTTTAAAGGGGGGTGAGAACTCTAAGCTGAATACGTAAGACACAGAGCCATATGCTTGATGTTCTCTTTATTGGGAGGCTTACATAGGCAACATGTGACAGCTACTTAAATGAATGGGACATTCAGAGTCATAATAGTAAATGCTGCAGTTCACCTTAATTTTGGTGTGACTGGACACTTTACAGTCTTGATCTCTCGCTTGATAGAGCCTGCAAAGTTCAGATAGCCAATATCACCAGGCAACTCGCATTTTAACTGACATCGGCGAAGGCTGAAGTGTTATTTTTAATAATGGGAGAAAATGCACATGAACTGGGAGTGCAAATTTTTATGGCACTGAAAGCACTGTGTTACCGCACAGCTTTGGTTACAGTGTAGTATCCATAAAGATCCTGATCATGTTTGCAATGGAACAAGTAAAAAAAAAATGTTATGGATGAAATGGAGGGCGAAGAGAGGAACCCAGAAATAATGTTCCAAAGCCTAGAAGAACATGAATGTATATATAATGAAAACCAGTTGTAATTAAATAATTTTCCAGGACAAATTACTAACCTGTCATATCAGGTTTCCGGGAACAGGCATTCGAGGAAGCTTTAATTATTCACTGGCATGCAATCACTTGATGGTGCAACAGACTATGCTTAGATAGTTTCAATCTATTACCTCATCTGAAACAGATTGTCCCTCACCTGTTGTGCATAAAGTATTTCAACATTTTTGGGAAACGGCACATTTATGGGCCAGGTTTATTGTCCACATCTGGGGGTTAGACAAAAATTAGAAACACTACATGATGTGCTGGTCTGAATGTGATATCATGTTTTGCATTGAAAGCAAAAGTGATGTACCATACTTTTGCTTCTGCTGTGTGATGAGACACCTAGCTAACAGGTGGGAAGCCTCACTTTCATCATTCACTGCGTGTACTGCTAGTAATACGGAGTCATGTCAGAGCTTACTGAGTTTCAAAGAGAACAAATTTTGGTGCCCACATAGCTGGTGCCTCTGTTTATTTACGGTGTCGCGAGGTACAGTGTCAACGGTTTGACGGCATATACAGTTTCCGGGAAAACATTGGCTGATGAGCATAAGCGCTGTTGACATGGTCAACTGACCGAAAAAGATAAAAAAGGACATTGTGCAGGATTGTGACCCGGAATAACAAAACTGCTGCAAAAGTGACTGCAGAGCTCAATCTCCGTCTGGTGAGGAACAGATGCAAATCATGCAGTGTTTCAATTTTTTGTCTAACCCCTGTATGTCTTTATAAAATAAGGTTTATAAAACTTGTTATAAAATATTTTTGCTACTTGTGAATCTAGAATTTTACACTGCATTTTTCATTACCTAGTCAAGGCTTGTGTTTTCCTGTTTATATTCATGTAGTTTCCTGATTATATTCAATAAACTGATCTGCTTTTTAAATAGTAGTAGGTGAGCAAAGAAGACGCTAGGGGTACTATTTCATTGATGAGAGTCTCAATGTTTCCTGTTGTCTTTCGCAAACACAGACATGAGCTTCTGTGGCTATAGTCCATGCACACCATGCTAGATAGAACCCAGTCAAACAATACTCCCTTATACAAGCTACTGCTTGCATGAGGGAGTACAAAGTTCTTACATATCAGGTAATTTTAAGTTACAAAACTATACATCAAACGAAAATCGGTTTTGTATAGAATGGCTGTATTCCAAGGCCAGCCAACCCTAAATTCCTAAACATGAAGTAATAGGATGCTGAAAAAAAATAACCTGTCTCCGGGACAGGTCAGCTCCTCCCACGTGTCCCTGTGTATTAATGCAAAGGGGGCTTGGTGATGTCAAAACACTCACGGTCAGCTGACCTGTCCCGGAGAGAGCTCACTGAGAGGAGTCCAGTGAGATCCATTAGAGCCTGAGGGTGTACGCTATGGTTTTACGGATTGTTTTAGTCATGTGCAATATTTGGTGCAATGGAGCACCTGTATTATGTGAGTGGTCATTGTATATTATACTTGTCAGTTTTTTTAAATGATAAAACACTATTTGTTTTCCTATAATTTTTCATAGATGTGCACTGAGAGGAGAAGGAAGGAGCCGAATCAGCAGTGAAGGAGAGTATTGACAGAGGTCTTACCACTAATATATGTCCATTTAATGGGTGCAAGCCATTTTTGAGCAAACTTAATTGTGCGGCCAAAAATTTCAGGTGAGAGCACAACTGGTGTCGGTGAAGACACATTATATATGTCAAAAGGAAGATTTGAATGGCACAAATCATTATATATTGAAAGAATCACAATATGGACTTTATTATTTGTTTTTTGCATATATTTATAATTTTTTTTTCACATTGGAATTTTAGATTTAGCATTGATTAACACTAAGAGAAGTGCGGCACAATCATTTTATGTTTACTAAACTATTTCATGGTTTTTCAATTAATCCATAAACACCCACTAATTAATGGTCCAGTAATCTTTTTCATGAAATAGTTTTTTTTTATCCGATTTTTGAGGTTCTGAACCTCTCATTTTCCTCACTTCTATTTGCTTGAAGTGAGAACCTTAGTTTTCTGTGCACTGCTTTATGGACACTACACATCCTATAATCTGTAGTCCCTAGTTCATCTCAAGAGTGAGAAAGAGCTATACGTTTACTTACAGTGGGACCATTGTGAAAAAAAAAAAGCAAATTTGAAGTTTTGGTGGAGGTCGGGAGCAAAAAAAAAAAAAGTAGTTTGAGTTATGAATACATACTTGAATAGAGTATTTATAGAATAGGGGCTTATTTTTGCTTTGGAGACTCTGGTGCTGATAGTTAACACCGTGTCACTGTGATCACAGCAGAAAGCATTTGAGAAAACACAGATTGTAGCATCTAAAATGCAGGGGTTACAAAATCCTATGCAGCTTCCACTACAATTTCTGTCTCCCCCTTAGCCTGCCCCCAATTCATCCACCATCAACTTGGAGGTTCCATTTCTGTTTCAAGAACAAAACCTGGAAACAGGAAAAGTAGTTCACGTTTACAGAGGTTTACAGTGGCAGAGAAAATCTAATTTAGCCAGAATGGCCAAATTAGTGCTCCTGAAAGGGAACTAGAATCAGAGAAAGGGAGCAGTATGGTAACATGACATTGCTCCAGAACAAAGGAACAGCTGTCACCCTGAGGGCTGTTGTAAGTTTTTTGTAGGCTGCCAGCAGAATGAAAGCCATTCAACACTTTAAATCCAGCAACCCCCCCCCCATGATTCACTGTTGTGTAAGTGAGAAAATACCTGGTGGAGTATATACAGAACAGATACAAAAGGAATGTGGATTTGGTCTATTAACAGAAGTCATGTGCCCTGTATCAAAGATTAGAAAGGGTTTGCAAAAATGCTCCTACAGTTTAATCAATGAGATTTTTAAAGTAGTTGTAAAGGCTTAAAGATTTTTTTTACCTTCGTGCATTCTATATATGAAGGTAAAAGCTTCAGTGTATAGCTCTCTCCACAGCCCCCCCACAATACTTACCTGAGCTCCATCTGCATCCAGCGCTGTGCACAGGAGCAGCAGCTCTCTCAGGTCTCTCTCCTCATTGGATAACACAGCAGCAGGAGCCATTAACCCCCGCTGCAGTCAATCACAGCCAGTGAAGATGGAGCGTGGGGGAGGGGGTGTGGGGCCAAGCCATGCGCTGTGTATTATAGACACAGAGGCCGCTTGGGAGTGAGCACGAATGAGTGCCCCCAGAGCAAGCAGCTTGCCCTGGAAGCACTCAGCAGGGAAAAAAAAAGGGCCAGGAATGCCAGGGGAAGGGGGACCCGAGAAGAGGAGGATCTGGGTTGCTCTGTGCAAAACCACTGCACAGAGTAGGTAAGTATGACATGCAATCTTGCATAAAGGCAGTAATATACTTCCAGGATAGAACCAAAGAGGGGATCACACCTAATGGAGCTAAAGAAGATACACCATGATGGCTGGAACTCAAGCAAAGGACAAAATTCTAGGTTGTCAGTGTCAGATCAGATAGTTATTCTGCAGGGGTAGGTCTGAAGTACGCTTACGGCACCTGCAATTAGGTATTACAGAAAATATATAGAAATGTTATAGGTAAATACTGAAGCAAGTCTGCAGGCATCCAGCCTTTACAAAAGGAAAGGTCAGATGGCAGGCACTATGCTTTTCAAAACAGATTTCCTTTAAGCTTACTGGGACTGACATAACATATTAGAGGACTCACCTGTACGGAAGGATATTGCAGTAATCGGTCCCCAATCTTGATGAAAAATCATCAGCGTTTCATCAAATTTGATGTTGTGTACAATAATTTTGCCGCTCCTCAGCCCAACAGCAACCACATCAACTGCTGGAGCCTAGAATTACAATTTCAAAAGTAACAATTTCAAATGCTGCCAGTATAGCATAAAAAATGTCATAGAAAAACATGAAGTTATTTACCAGAAACTTCTCTTTATTTGTATTAAAAATTACACCCCCTAGGTATACAAATAACCAACTGTAACAGTGCTGGTTCACATATATGTGGATTGGATGCGGTTGGAACAGCATCCAATCCTCATATGTGAAAAATTACATTGCTTCCTATATTCAGTGCACTGTCAGTGCAGATTCAGCACGGTTTGAAAAAAAAAAAAAAAAAAAAAGACCTGTATGATTTCTGAGCAGTGCGGTCCGATTCAGGTGCCGATTACAGGCTATTGACTTCTATGGGAACTGTTTCTAAACTGCACATGTGTGAACAGGAAAAAATACTGAGCTAATCCTGTCCTGAACAACTATTAGCTGTGAAACCTGAGATTCAATCTGCACATGTGTGAATCAGCTCCTAGAAGTGAGAATTGATTTTCCTTAACAAAAACAAAACAAAACAATTGGACAATGTCAAAACCAAATAAAAATTATCTAAGGAAAAAAAAAAAATAACATCCCGCTGCTTATCAAAATAAAGTACTTACATATCACTTCCTCATAAAAATGAAGGCATTTTAGCTGTCATTCTACTCTTATCTCTATTAATATGTTTCTGGTCCTAATAAAATTTACTTAACCCTATTTTTACAGACTTTTTTTAGTGTTCTTTAAAGTTTAGATATTTGTATTTCAAAATTAGTACTGTGGCTGGTGGTTCTAGGCTAATGAAACTGTGAAGAAAAAAAGTATTAGACAGTTAGTAGGGCAGAAACTAAGGGTTCTATGCACTTAGTCTTGGCCGAGCATATGTGCAGTTGGCGCTAATGTGACTGCTTGAAAACCTGTCCGTATGAGAATTAAATAAGTTTGTCAGCATCAGAGTGGTTTACACTGGGCGATAGGGAGGGTGGAAATGAATGATCTTCCATGTTAGATGAAGACATTATGTAAACACTGCTACCATCACTATGGTTCCAAATACAGAATAGAAGGCATAATGAATAGTTGCTGAACCAGCGTTCAATTTTTATTTACAATTTTATAAAATGGTTATAATGAATTTACACGTCGTGATTTTAGCTCCATTTTACAATACCAAAATCCTGATGATTGGAGTGACATAGGCTTTGTGTAACATTTCTCCATTTACTGGAGTCACGTGCAAGAAAGACCTTACTGTCATACTGGGGTTAGACTAAAATAAATGGAAATACACTACATGCTTTGCAGACAAGAAAGTGACGCCATGTTTCTCATTGAAAGCTGAAGTGATGTAACACTCTTTTGCTTCTTGTGTGTGATTAGACACCTAGCTAACAGGTGGGAAGCCTTGTTTTCATCATTCACAGCATGCACTGCTAGTAATACAGTCATGTCAGAGCTTACTGAGCTTCAAAAACAGCAAATTGTTGGTGACTGCTTAGCTGGTGCCTCTGTGACTTAGGTTGGCAATTTATTTGCTCTATCACAAGGTACATTATCAAATGTTACGATGGCATATACATTTTCCAGGAAAACATCATCTGATAAGCATGGTTAGCATGGTCAACTGACCAAAAGAGAAAAAAAAAAAAAAACAAACATTACGCATGATTGTGCCCCGGAATAAGAAAACAACTGCTGCAAAAGTGACTGCAGAGCTCAATCTCGGACTTCATGGGACTGAAGAAACCTAACAGCTACTTATGAATGGTTTTTGGAGCAATTTGTCAGCAGAAAAAAAACAAAAACAAAACAAAAAAAACGATGAATGGTCCTAAATTCTCCTAAATGCCAATTCCTGCGTTTTTTTTACCCATTGAATAACTGATTAAGGAGTGGGCCGGCAAGTTCCCTGCTAACAGCTGAATGTCAACAAAAGAATTGGAGCATGCAACCTGGCAAGCACACCCTCCTGAACCATACCAGGCCACATCCCCCCCACAGCACCTTGTCCCCTTGTTGATAAACCCCCCCTCCCCCTTGTGACATCATCGACCCAGCATCACCGGGTGGGCTTATTTTCAACAGCATTCATCAAATCGATGCTCGATTTACTTCAGGAAAAATTGTTTTGCTTTTTTAATTAAGGACCCCATACTCATTCCTATAGGAAGGGGGGGGGGGGACTGGAGCCCACCTCAGATAAAGGGGGCTTCCAGATCTCTGAAAAGCCCCCTGCCTGCTGACCCCCATTACCATTGCCCAGGGTCATGGGGAGGAAGCCATTGTCCCTGTGGCCTGGGATGGTTCAGGAAGCCCTTTTGTGGCCAGGGTCTGGTATGGATTTTGGGGAGGGGGGTCAATTTTGGCATTGGGATCCTCTCAAAATCCATACCAGACCTAAGGGTATGATAAGATTTGGGAGGGGGGACCCCACACCAATTTTAATTTTTAAATTCTGGCATGGGGTTTTACTCAAAATCCATTCCAGACCCAAAGGGCCTGGTATGGATGGGGGGGGGGGGGGGGGGAAGAGAACATCACACAAACTTTTTTTTTCCCTTTAATTTCAGTTGCTGGAAATTCTGTTGTTGACATTCAGCTGTCCATGTCCTTAACAGCCAATGACTCATCAGCTGTGTTCCCTGTGCTGTGGTTTTTTTTTCTTGAGATGCAACAGGAAGAGAAAGAAAGGCAGAAGTCTCGGAGTGAAGGGAATTCCCCTCTTTTACAGGTGTCCCCATTAAACAGCTAACTTAAATCTCTCGTTCAGGTTAACTCTCACTTTCTGCTTTCAGAGAAAATGGTCACTAGGACAAGTAATACAAAATTATCAGTAAAAGACTGTTGATAGAGCAGTGTTGATAACGAAACGATTTTAGGGTTGTAAGCACCCCAGGCATGGGGAACAACATCGTCATTTATACAAAGGCAAAACATTTTTTCCTGAACAGCCAACAAAATATGTGCAAATTCTCGAGGTGATATTAAACCCAAAGTGTTTTTTTCTTCATATTCATCTGATGATTGAACTTTTTTGAGGGTTTAAAAACAGATACTGCTAGGGTATTTCTGATGAAACCACAAATTATTTACATACCTGCTGAAGAACAGTCACACCAGTTTCCCAGCCTTTGAATGCATACAGCAGTTTGCTAAGAAGAAAAAAAAAGGGGGGGGAATGTCAGATCTTTGCAGAGAGAGACCAATGCTTCCATGCAGAGAGCAAGATTCCAACTCTGCAGCAGAGGAAAGCCTTTTCTACCCAATCAGTGGCTTGCTTTCTAAATAAGAACTGTAACACCTTTTGGTTTTGATGCTATGGGAATGTATTTAGCGGATTTAAAGACTGAAAGTTTAGTTGAGATTTTACTACCATGGTCAAAATAGACCTTAACAGCGAAAACTAAATTTTTCAACATTGACATGTGTTATTAAAGTTGTATAAATCATTGCAACAACTCCCTGTGTCCAGGTGAAATATACCTTTTTTCCAGGACAGATTGGGCTTTTATATGGTGATAAAAGGTTAATGAATATTTTCTAGTTTTGTTTTATGATGAAGAAAATTGGTCCAAAAGAGAAATACATTGGTCCAAAAAAAAAAAAAAAAAATACATAATTGTTTAAAATTTAAGTAAATGTTTATGTCACTAACATGACCCATTCATAGTGGGACAAAAATAATTTTGTTGCTTTTTTTCTTCTAGATAAAACACACTGGCGCTAGCACATGCGCTTTTTTTTTCTCTCTAAAACACCCTGACCCAAACACTGCCACTAACTGGCACTTATATTGTCCCTGACACTGCCACTATCTACCACTTTAACACTCACCTAACTAGATCAAGCCCTAAACTAGTTATTTTTTTCCCAACTGACTAATTTTTTTTTGTACACATACACTTTATATTTTCCTCTTTCTAGAGAAGTCTGTTTCTCTTCACACAGGAACAACATTTGGGCAGACTTTGCACAGTCAATCGTAGTGATCATTGTAAAATGGCTAATCACCATGATCACATGACTAAGATCTGGTTTTACCAACTCTTGAATATCAGTATGGGACCGGAAGCTGTCACCAATGGCTCAGGCTCAGTGCTGGCAGCCACCCTCCGGGTACGAACTCAGAGCAGGGGTTATGCAGACACATACAGGGCAGCTCCACACTAGATTTATTTTGGCTTGGACGCAGGCAGCACAGAAGACCACAGCAGTCAGTGTGCATCAAGTACAGACCATTGGGGGTAATTTACTTATAAAGGAAACAAAATGTAACTGCCATTAGTGTGCTCTTGTTAAGAAGCCTAGTTTCCTGACTGCCATGCTGATTGCTTTGGTACTTCGACATTCTAATCTTCCTGCTTTGCCAGGTCAGGAACTCAAAGTACTGAAGCCAGGGACAGCAAGACAACTACCACTTTCAGGAGGATAACTATTGCAGGTCCATTCACCAGGTGGATTATATCTATTTCTTGCTTTAAAGTGATTTAGGTTGCAGACGTGTCAAGTTGCTATATTAGCAGTTTTCTTCTGTTCTTCCATGACCAATGCTTCCAAGACCATAAACACATGCTTGATCTCTCTTTATAAGAAAGAACGGTTAGGCTGCTGTACAATGGTATGTAACCTTCCCTGCAGCCTTGTACTTCCCTAAAGCAGGTAGGAAATTGGACTTTATAAGCAAAACATTTAAAGGACTTGTCTACTAGATACAACCTGTTGGCTTTGTTAATGCCAAATAATTGCAGCAGCTCTGCAACCAATTAATTTGAGGATTTTTGTTGAAATTTGATAATCAATCAAGCTTATTTGTTTAGACAAAAAATATTGCAAATGTACTAATCAATTGCAGCCATTCAGAATTTTTCTTTCACTTGTTTGATCTTGGTAACCTCAAACATAATTGTGCACTTTGCATATCAAACCTCTGGTTTCACTATAAAATATAAGCCCAAAATAATGTCCCTAACAGCATACTGCAGGATGCCTCAATTTCATAAACTCAAAGGTTTTCTGGTACAATGGTTTTATAAACAAGTATCAAAGGACACCTGTTGGGGCCTAGTTTGCCAACTGCAGAAAAATATATACTTGACAAAAAAATAAAATAAGACCCCTGCATGCAAACAAAGTTTTCACTAAAGGATATACTATGACGTATTATTAATATTATTATTATACAGGATTTATATAGTGCCAACAGTTTGCTCAGCGCCTTACAATATAATGGGAAACAATACAGCAACAATACAGTTCAATACAAGAGGGTTAGGAGGGCCCTGCTCCTTGGAGATTACAATCTAAGCGGGAGGGGCTAGTGGTACAAAAGGTAGTAACTGTGGGGGATGGACTGGTAGGAGGAGTAATCAAACAATTTGATTTTTTTTTTTTATATGTACAACTCCAATTCCAAAAAGTTGGGATGCCATGTAAAATCTACATTACAACAGAATTTAATGATTTGCAAATATTATAAACCCATATTTTAGTCACAATAGAATGTATAAAACATATCAAAAAGGTTTAAAAACTGAGAAAATGCACCATTTATGGAAAAAAAATAAGGTAATTTCAAAATTGTTAGTCTCAAAAAAAAAAGTAGGGACAAGGCAACAAAAAGCAGGCAAAATACAACCCCAAGTCCAAAAAAAGCTGGGACAGGGCTATGTTTACCACAGTGTAGCATCTCCTCAATGCTCTGTAAACACCTGGGAACGGAGGAGCCTAGTTGCTGGAATTTTGTGGGAGGACCGTTGTCTCATTCTTGGTTGAGAATATGCTGCTCTAACACCTGGATATATTTTTCGGCACTGATGATGCCATTCCAGATGTGCGAGCTGCCCATTCCATATGCCCTAATGCATTTGTGTCAAACTGGCAGCCCTCCAGCTGTTGCAAAACTACAAGTCCCATGAGACATTGCAAGACTGACAGTTACAAGCAGGACTCCCAAAGGCAGAGGCATGATGGGATTTGTAGTTTCGCAACAGCTGGAGGGCCGCCAGTTTGACACCCCTGCCCTAATGCATCCCCATACCATCAGAGATGCAAGTTTGAACTGAAAGCGGATAACAAGCCAGAAGATCCCTCTCCTCTTTAGTCAGGAGCATGCAGCACCCATGGTTGACAAAAAGAATGGCAAATTTTGATTCATCTGATCACAGAACAGTTTTCCACTTTGCAACTGACCATTTTAAATGACCTTTGGCCCAGAAAAGACAGTGGCATTTCTGGATCATGTTCACATATGGCTTCTTCTTTGCATGACAGAGCGTTACCTTTCATTTCTGGATGGTACAGGTGAACTGTGTTCACAGACAGTGATCTTTGGAAGTATTTTTAATGAAATGCCACATGAAGGCCCAAAGAGCACAGGCGTCCAATATTGCATTTTTGCCTTGTCCCTTAAGCACAGAGATTTCGACATTCGCACAGAGATTTCGCCAGATTGATATTATGGACTGTAGATGATGATACATTTAAAGTCTTTGCAATTTTACTTTGAAGAACATTATTCTGAAAATGTATTCCCAATTTTTGGGCACAGCTTTTAACATATTGGTGAACCTCTGCCCATCTTTTTTTCTGAGACACTCTGACTCTGTAAGATGCTCTTTTTAAACCAGTTTACTTACCTGGTGCCAATTAACCTAATTCGTTTCAAGGTGTTTTTCCTGCTCTTCCTTGTTAGTACCACATCTTTTTGTTGCCCTGTCCCAACTTTGAGAGATGTTGCTGACATCAATTTCAAAATTATCTTATTTTTCCTCTTTAAATGGTAGTTTAAACATTTGATGTTTTCTATTGTGAATAAAATATGACTGAGATTTGCACATCATTGCATTCTGCTTTTATGTAGTATGTTACACAGCATCCCAAAATTTTGGAATTGAGGTTGTATATAAAATGTGGATTGTATTATACTAAAGTACTACTTCAACAGTAGCACAAACATCTCCACACATTAACAAAATCCTAAAAACAATGCAACACAAAACTACCAAATACAATTGTTGGACGTTTATCTTCATTAACCTTTACTTACTTGGATTTGACATTCCAGAGCTGAAGAGTTCCCTGCTGGCTTCCCAACAGAATTTTATTCAAGTAGGTGCTTGGGTGCATTATAGCAGAGATGGCAAAATTGCTTCTGTCAAAATTCAGCCGTAAGTATTCCTCTGAAGGTTATAAAAAAAAAAATTAAATGAAAAAAATAAATGAAATGACAATAGTCTTAACAATATGCAGATCACTGGCTAAGATACTACACTGGTGCATTTAATATAAAAACATACATATTTAGCAATAATCTACAATCTTACCTTCTGACTCAACATCCCAAATTATCATGTTATTATCAGAGTCCACAGATATTACATTATCACCAAATGGGAGCACTAGATGAATTTCTGCCTCATGTCCAATGTATGTGTGAACTACCTGGAAAAGAAAAAAAAAAATATTGGAATAAGAACATCTACTATACTTCAACATAACACGTCAACATAATTCAAATACCATATTGAAGAAAGTACATCAGTTAGCATTGTCAGGATACATTTAGCCAAGGTCCCAAACAATCTGATCAAATGCGTAAAAAAAACGGCTAGTAATATAAAAAAAAAAAAAAAACATTAATGCCTGAATAAAGGGGAAATTGTGATGTTCATATGTCCCCCTTGTCCAATCACAGAACACCTTGAAATCTTTGAAAAGAATGCAAAACATTTTCTGAATGGAGGAGCTGCAGAGCAAGCAAACCGCTGTGATCCAGCCCTAACCATTAGTTTCACAGCCAACACTTCAGTGTTGACGTCGCTGTTAGAGGCTGCATGTAAATCCTATTTTTCAAGAAATAAGTAGTAGACACCAGTGGACTACCCATCATTAGATAAATCGTATTAGTACCTTGCTCATGACCCAATAAAGTTTTTGCCTAGACTTCATTAAGGCAAAAAAAATCTGGTTTACATTAAGACTCAAGCATTACATGATTTAATTCTTACAGATCCCTGACTGACCAAGAGCTAAGGCCTCTGGCAAAATCTTTACAACAGACACACTTCTGACACAGTACTGATGTAGGGAGGGTAGAAAATTAAATCACAGCTCCGCAAGGGGCCAGGCATCAAAACACAGCTAGAAATTTGTTGGATGTGAAGCCTGAACAGGGTGAAGATTTAATGAAGAAGCAGTGGGACAAGTGGATGATTATCCTATTCTTTTGTTTGTTTATTCGTTTTTACTTTTAAATTCTTTGATAGGGTCATTTACATTTACATCAAAGTTTAAAACCGTCAAGGGCTCTAGTGTGGAGTTGTCATAATTTCTAAATCTTAAATAAAGAACACTGTTAAACACATACCTCTTTGTTCTTTGCAAATGCTTTAAGAAGGTTCCCATGAGACACAAATACCAGCATGCGATCTGCAGCCAGACAATTAATATCTTCTGGAAGAGCATTGCCTAAAATAGCCATAAAAGGTCAATTAAAATCCAAATCATGCAGAAAAAGAACACAACCAGGCCAAGCCAGAATTAGTTTTTTTACATATAGAGCTGTTACATCACTGAGTTTAACAGTAGTTTATTACCCTTAATAATGAAAAAAAAAAAACCTGCAGGATAGGACATATCAAGTACTATTAATATGGCTGACTCACAAATCATAAAACACCAGTGTAAATAGCACATCCACTAAAGTGTGATTGCTACACTATATTGCCAAATGTATTGGGGCACCCCTCCAAATCATTGGATTCAGGTGTTCCAATCACCTCAATGTATAATTTGAGAAAGAATGGGTCGCTGGCAGGAGCTCAGTGAATTCAAGTGTGGTACCGTGACAGGTTGCCACCTGTGCAATAAGTCCATCTGTGAAATTTCCTTGCTAATAAATATTCCACATTCAACTGTTAGTAGTATTATAACAAAGTGGAAGCAACTGGGAACAGCAGCAACTCAGCAACAAACTGGTAGGCTGCGTAAAATGACAGAGCGGGCTCAGCGTATGCTGAAGTACCCAACTGTCTGCAGAGTCAATAGCTAAAGACCTCCAAACTTTGTGTGGCCTTCAGATTAGCACAGCAATAGCCTTACACTAAGTGCAATGAAAAGCATCAGATGCAGTGGTGTAAAGCATGCCACCACTGGACTCTAGGGCAGTGGAGATGTGTTCTCTGGAATGACAAATCGTGCTTCTCTGTCTGACAACCCATTGGACGTGTCTGGGTTTGGTGGTTGCCAGAACAGTACTTGCCTGACTGCTTTGTGCCAAGTGTAGAGTTTGGTGGAGGGGGGATTATAATGTTGGGTTGTTTTCCAGGGGTTGGGCTTGGCCCCTTAGTTCCACTGAAGAGAACTCTTAAGGCATCAGCATACCAAGACATTTTGCATGACTGTGCACCAGTGCACAAAGCAAGGTCCATAAAGATATGGATGAGCGAGTTTTAGGTGGAGGAACTTTACTGGCTTGCTCAGAGTCCGGACCTTAACCCGATAGAACTGACCTCACAAATGCGCTTCTGGAAGAATGGTCAAACATTCCCACAGACACACTCCTAAACCTTGTGGACAGCCTTTCCAGGAGAGTTGAAGCGGTGATACCTGCAAAGGGTTGGCCAACTCAATATTGAACCCTACGGACTAAGCCTGGGATGCCATTAACGTTCATGTACGTGTAAAGGCAGGCATCCCAATACTTTTGGCAATATAGTGTATATGAAGTGGACAAAGATGAACATTTTAATTTGAATGACTTTGCTAAATCAGACTGAATCTTTAGTTCAGTATCTTCAGTTCAGTAAAGTATGTAGGAGAAATGATCAGACACAAGCCATTGTCATCATAAGTGTGATAATGATTTTGTGTTTTAACCCTTACACTGGGTGAGCAGTTTTTTGGATTTTTACCTGCATCTGTTTAAAGAAAATATTTTAGACCTTAAGATAACTCCAAAAAATATACTTTCTGCAAGCAAAGACCCTGGAGATTAAATTAGTGATAGTTCCAATTTTGTAGGTCACACAATCAAGCACAAATTTCCAGTAAAAACACAACATATTACACAATTTTTGATGACCTGTAATGGATTTTACTCGAAACATAATAGTTTATACAGGGCCTAGAATTATTTCTTTCACTCCAATGTGCTGGGAAGTGCAGATCAACTTTGATAAGCTTCTTCTCTGGCTGCAGACAGCAGAAGTAACAGCAGAAACTGGATGAGACCTTACACATGTCGCTTTCAGGTTCTTACTATGTAGGGAAGATGTTTGCTGGCCTCCCCTTCCCTTTACCCACAGGTGGCACAGCAGAGCCCAGGATGCATGGCGGGAGATATAAGGGTATGGAGTTTGGGATGTACTTTTGGGGGTCTGTGAAACAGTCAGGCATCTGTAGAGCTGCCCAATCACTTTCACCTGACAGCTAACAATTGGCTTGTAAGACAGACACACATCAAACTCCCGATGCCGTGACCAAGACAGAGAAATTGAACGTAAACAGATGGAATAATTTCAAAATGTTATACTTACTGACAGCAACTTGACCAAGTCTGTTCACCTAAGAAAACAATAACAAGCACCATAAAGAATGGTTGTTTTTTTTTCTCAAAATATTTACAAATGTAATAATTCAGTGTAGAAAAGCTATTAAACAGAGAAAGAAAAAAAAAAAAAAGTCTAAGAAGACAGTTTCTAGAGCAAAACTTAAGTCTAAGGATATTTAAAAAAAAAAAAAAAAAAACTTTCGACTGCAGATCTATTAACATACAATATACAGTGAAAGTTATGCCAATACCTCTTCATACTATTTTAGGGTAGGGTAAGGGTATTGATAATGCTACATCATTTAAAGACAATTTAAACAACAAGTTAGCACTTACAAACTCATGGCAAATGTTTGGGGAAGGCAATTTTCTGTTCCAGCATGACTGTGTCCCTGGGAACAAAGTAAAGTCCATAAAGCTATGGTTTGAAGAGGATGGTGCGAGAGACGGTGAGAAGCCTCCACAGGGCTCTGACCTCAACCCTACACCAATGAACTGGAATGCTGATTACAACCCAGGTCAGTATAGAGAATCTTCAAAATCTTGTGGCAAGCCTTTCCAGAAGGGAGGAGGGTTTCATAACTTCAAATGTCAATTATGTGTTTGGGGGAGGTGGTAATAGCCAAAGGTTTGGAATGGGATGTCCAAGAAGCTCATGTAGATGTGATGGTGTGATTTAAAATGTGTCTGTAGTGCAGATTTAAAGCGGATATCCAGCTTTACTGTCCTTTTAGCTATTTTAACTGGGTTAGGTTGGCACAAACAAACCATTTCCTAAACTAACAGGTGTGCCTGCTGTATAAACTGTATGTAGCCTCAGCTACAAACAGTATACAGCATTGTGTTTTGGGTGTGAGAGGAGACCTTCCTGCAGTGCTCAGCTATTCATAGGCAGCTTTTCATTTTATAAATGAATACAAAACAGGCTGAGGGGATGACATCATGATCTCCAAATCTACCAATCCAAGGAAGTTTTGTATTCATTCATAGTGTAGCTCAGCCTGACTATTTTATTCTGGGTGAAAGATGGGAAGATCTTGTCTCACTGCCAGGGCACAAGGCTGCACACTGTATGTAGCTGAGGCTGCATACAGTATATAATAAATGCCCAGCAAATGCACCAGTTAGTGTAGAAATAAAAGTACATTTGGTCCAGCTTAGGCCAAAAAACTAAATGACAGTAAACATGGAAATCAACTTTAAGTAATTTTTAAGCCAAGAATGCAGATTTAAAGGATTATGAAAAATGACATAAAAAATGGTCCTGCAGCAAAAAGATTAAAGAATACTTAAAGACAGCCTATTGCTGTCATATGTCATGCTGTGGTGCTCCTCGTTTTCCTTACATGCTTTGGACAACTTCAATGTGATTGCAAACGTTCTGATTTAAAAAAAAAAAAACATGTCATACTTACCTTAATATTCACCTTGAGGTCATCACAGAGGACAAGGGGGCACTCTTTATGTCTGGAGGAAAAGAAATGTAATCTCCAAACATGGAAAGGTTTCTTCACAGTGAGAGCTGTGAAAATGTGGAATATACTCCCTCAAGAGTTGGTTCTGGCCAGCTCAGTGGATTGCTTTAAAAAAGGCCTGGATTATTTCTTGGATACACAGAATATCACTGGATACTAACATTTATAGGTAAAGTTGATCTAGGGAATATCCGATTGCCTCTCGGGGGATCAGGAAGGAATTTTTTCCCCTGCAGGAGAGCAAATTGGATCATGCTTTGCTGGGGTTTTTTTTGCCTTCCTCTGGATCAACTGTGGGTGTAGGAATAGAACTTTTTTTTTTTTTTTTTTTAAATGGTTGCACTGGATGGACTTTTGTCTTTTTCAGTCAGACTATGTAACCTGCTCAGTGCAGTGGCCGATCCTCTTCTTTTCAGGTACCATGCAGGTGCTCCTGGCTCCTCTCCCCTGCTGAGTGCCCCCAGAGCAAGCCGCTTGTTTTGGGGGCACTCGTGTGTGCTTGCTCCCCCCCTCCTTGTGTCTATAGGAGACACAAAGCGCAGCTCGGCCCTGCCCTGTCCCCTTCTTACTGGCTGTGATTGATTGAGTCAATGTGCAGGGAGAGACCTAGGAGAGCTACTGCTCTTTTGCACAGTGCTGGATCACGATCGGGCAAGTATTAGGGGGGCTGTACACTAAGCCTGGGTTCACACTGCATCCCTGTGCAAATCCCATGTGAATTCTGTGTAAAGCACAAATCACACTGCATCTGCACCAAAAAGGTGCAGGACCCTTTTTTTGGTCCGCACTAGAATCGGATCGCATGGGTATTCACACCTATTCGATCCGATTCTGCACATTGCACCACATTTTGTGGACCGATTTTGGGGTGTTGTTACCTTAACATACACACCCGCAGCAGTTCGCATGAATGGGGTGCAATTGTGATGCGTCGCGGAATTCGAACAGAAACCACTGCGAATTCCGCACTGCATCAGTGTGAACCCAGGCTGAAGGTTTTTTACATTCATGCACAGAATACATGACTGGAAAAAAGCCTTTAGAACCACTTAACACACCTTAGAATGAAAATCTACATCTAAAAAGGCAAAACTTTTTTTAGCTTTAGATAGATTAGGTAGTGTCTGTGTCCCTCTTATGGAGATCCACATCTCTATTTGTCATCGAGAGGCTGGGGGCAGAGAGCCATGGGAAAGGCAGGAGGAGCCCAAGCTGCTGCCACTGATGTCCAGAGGGATTGGGAGCTGGTGGAACCCGTTAAGCAGAGAGATTTCCTGCACTGCTCCTGTGTGACCATTAGGTCTCCATGAAAAGCTTGGGTTCACACCAGAGCCCTGTGAGACACTGCATGCGATTTGGGCAGGAATCACAGGCAATTCTTTGCAGTGAGATTTGAGCCTATTGATTTTGTACGGGCTCAAATTGAACTGCAAAGGTATTGGTTGCGGGAAAATTTGCACAAATACTTGTACAAGTACTCTGTATTGTTGCAACCCTAGTTATAACCCTCCCTTAACCACTGCAGCTGCGGAAGATTTACTTAGCCAAGACTCGCAGATCAGCTTCTGCTGTGACACTTTACAGCAGAAGCGATCCGCCGGCGGTGCACCCCCCCATGGGGCAGAAGTGCAAAATCACATAGGGGTAACATCCAGGGTGCCTAGTTATGTGCTTGGCGTACACTAGGTGGTGCCTTTACTATGGGAAGTGATGAATCGGGTTCTCAGCTCTACAGAGAGCAAACATAGGAAGGAACAACAGAGCTATGGCTGATGATGTGCAGGTGCCAACCAGCAACTGCTTGCCAGGGCTAGCAGATCGTTTTGTGCTGTGACAGTTCACAGCTAAAGATCTCTGGTGTTGTGGAAGTGCAAAATATTGTTTATTTACATGATTGGGCCATGATGAGGGCCACCATGTAGCAGTAAAAGTTCTATAGGGCAGTCTTCAAGTGGTTAATCTATCCAAAATGAAAAAGAACAAAAAAAAAAAAAAGGTTTTGCCTTTGGTTCTATTTTAGGCTAGGTGCAGACCTTTGTGTGTTGCAGTGCATGCAAAATTGCATGCTTTCCTGACACACAGGGAAACCTGCTGCCATTTAGCAGACATGTAACAGTGCCAATAATTAACAGGACCCCCATGCGTATGCAAACATTTTCATGCACAGCAAACGCACAGTGCTGCCGTGCATCACATTTTTGGAAGAATCAAGGGCTTCTTCTCTGCACATAGGGTATGCAATTGAAACGAATGGACTGCCCACCATGTGGGAAACCCACCTGTGCTGACTGCACTGTCCAGATCAATTTCATGCTTTGTGGATTGGATGGTTGGACATGACTATATCATTACCTGATGGCAGATTTCTAAGAGCCAAATATTAGTTGCATTCCTCTAGGGCAGCGGTCTCCAAACTTTTAAACAAAGGGCCAGTTTACGGTTCTTAAGACATTAAGGGGGCCGGACTGGGGCCAGTGGAAGTACAACTTTTCCTGGCATCAGTGGGAGTAAACAGTGTCTCATCTTTAGTATTATGGGGGAGGAATGGTGCCCCATCATTTGTGCCAGTGGAAGGAATAGTGCCTCATCATTGGTGTCAGAGGGAGGAATAGTGCATGTCATTGCTGTCACTGGGAGGAATAGTGCACGTCATTGCTGTCACTGGGAGGAATAGTGCCTCGTCATTGGTGTCAGAAGGAGGAATAGTGCCCAGTCATTGGTGTCAGTGGAAGGAATAGTGCCCCGTCATTGGTGTCAGTGGGACCAACTGTGCCCCGTCATTGGTGTCAGTGGGACCAACTGTGCCCCGTCATTGGTGTCAGTGGGACCAACTGTGCCCCGTCATTGGTGTCAGTGGGACCAACTGTGCCCCGTCATTGGTGTCAGTGGGACCAACTGTGCCCCGTCATTGGTGTCAGTGGGACCAACTGTGCCCCGTCATTGGTGTCAGTGGGACCAACTGTGCCCTGCCCGTCATTGGTGTCAGTGGGACCAACTGTGCCCCGTCATTGGTGTCAGTGGGACCAACTGTGCCCCGTCTTTGGTGTCAGTGGGACCAACTGTGCCCCGTCATTGGTGTCAGTGGGACCAACTGTGCCCCGTCATTGGTGTCAGTGGGACCAACTGTGCCCCGTCATTGGTGTCAGTGGGACCAACTGTGCCCCGTCATTGGTGTCAGTGGGACCAACTGTGCCCCGTCATTGGTGTCAGTGGGACCAACTGTGCCCCGTCATTGGTGTCAGTGGGACCAACTGTGCCCCGTCATTGGTGTCAGTGGGACCAACTGTGCCCCGTCATTGGTGTCAGTGGGACCAACTGTGCCCCGTCATTGGTGTCAGTGGGACCAACTGTGCCCCGTCATTGGTGTCAGTGGGACCAACTGTGCCCCATTGTTAAAATTGGTGGCAGGAGTTATGCCCTGTTGTTGTGTCAGTGGGCAGAATAGTGTCTTGTATGATTGGGAGGAATAGTGCCCCAAGGGCCAATTAAAGGCAAGCAAAGTGCCACATCAGGCCCCCGGGCCGCAGTTTGGAGACCACTGCTCTAGGGGCTAGTAAGCTCTGTACAGTTCTGCGGTGGTGTAGGATAGGGGAGAGCTGGGTGTGCTGACACAGGACTTCTTGCAGCCTCTGACTGGGGGGGGGGACGTGATAAGCCGTGCACTGCCCTGTGTGTCTCGTACTCACATTGTAAGTGAGGAAGCTTTTCCCCACGGCGCTGACCAGGTAGAACTCCTTGTGCCTCTTGTGGTATCGGACTACATGGGGGATGTGGTTACTGTACAAGCCCACACAGACCGGTACCCGGTGAACAGAACGCTGCCCCGACCTTTTTTCTCCGCTGCCATGTTCAACCGCAGAGGATCCAGGCAGCAAAGCGATACCCACGTGGGTGCAAGCTACTGCTGGCTTCACAACACAGCTTATCGATAGAGCTTCCGGGTGAGCGCGCAACTGTCTAACTCTTCCCCCACACTCTGTCCTTGCAATTTGGTTCCTAGCAAGAGCCCTTTTTTTCTTATTTTATTTTTCAGTTGTCAGTGTTTTCGCTCCCAATGTTCCTATAAGCAGTAGCCTTTATTTTACTAAAGCCAGTTTCCTAATGAAGCTAGTCCTGCCATCTCAGTTACTGTCCATTGTTAATTTTGTCAGAATGTTTTGTCAACAGCATGTTTTTAGTGAAGAAAACTATACGTAAATTGGTTAGAATTTTTGTCAATTGACGAAAACTGATAAAAATTAATTCCAATTTCCTCAGCGAACGAAAATGAGGGCTGATTCACATATATGCAAATGAGATGTTTTGAAAGATATGCAATTCACATGACACTTGAAATAACATTGGTTTCTATTATGCCTGTTCTGTCGCTCCAATCTAAGCATTAAAAGTGTGATCTCTGTAACTTACAGTTGTGATGAGATAGCGATAACTCCAATCTTATCATCAATGTATTCCTTGAGTACCCCCATTTCCCGCTTTGATAGGGGGAATATCTGTCCGAAAGGGATCTCAGATCCGGGTAGGAGGTTGATGGGGCAGTCGTAGGTTCAGTGTGGAGGAAGAATGTCTGCCCCCCCGTTTACTAAAAATGTCTAGATAGTCGTGGTAGGCCGGGGGGATGACTTGGATGAGCTCGGCGTCTCCGTCTATACATAGGAGAGGCTGGGGAGCCAAGGAGGTCGGAGCGTGACAATGTTCCTGGCAATAAGGTGATAGGAACTGGATAGACCCAGTTTTCTAATCAATCTGGGGATTGTGTGCCCACAACCAAGGGAGTCCCAGGATAACTGGGAACAGAGGGGATGCAATGGCATCCAGACAGGGGAACTCCCGATGATGGTTAGCCACCGTCGTACAGATAGGTGGGGTCTCCCGGTCCACTAACCCTGACTTAATGCGTGACCCATCAGCCAAAAAGATGTTGAGCTCACATTCCCTGGTCTGGAGGGGGATCTTCTGTTGGTTGGCAAAATCTAAATCAACAAAGCATCTACATGCCCCAGAATCAATAATTGCTGTTGCTGACACGGTTCTTCCTGGAAGCTGAAAGGAAACGGGTATGGCTAAGTAATTGGAATGGTTAGCCCATTTAGAGGATATGGTGGAAAAAACGGAAGCACACTTACCCAGTTTCGCTGGGCAAGAACGCACCACATGACCTGCTTCCCCGCAGTAGAGACAGAGGTTATTCACCCGTCGCCTCTGGCGTTCCTCGTCTGACAACGATGGTCGTGCCAATCCGAGCTGCATAGGTTCTGACAACTCCTCAGACTCCAAGGTCCGGCTTCCTTCTGGCAGAGATTGGACTGGAGCACAGGGAAGTACCCATGTGGGTCTCTGACCCTGGCTGGACCTCTCTAATCTGCGTTCCTGCAGTCTGAGGTCAATCTGTATGGCCTGGGTGATGAGGTTCTCCAAAGAGTCAGGTAGGCCCACCCTGGCTAACTCATCCTTAAGGGACTTGGACAGACCCATGCGAAACTGGTGGCGTAGTGTGGCATCATTCCACCGGGTGTCCCCCATCCAGCGTCTGAACTCAGATGCATACTCTTCCGCTGCCCGGCGACCCTGCCTGAGGGAGTACAGGGCCATCTCTGCGGATGCTGTCCGCTGCGGATCATCGTATAGGACTGCCATCGCATCGAAGAAGTCTGTTACGGTCTCCAGATGAGGATCATGGGTCTCCATTAGTCGGTGAGCCCAGCCCTGGGGCTTGTCCTGGAGTAAGGAGACGATGAACCCCACTTTTACCAATTCAGAAGAAAATGTCTGTGGCTGAGGCTAAAATACAGCTGGCATGCGTTCCGGAAGGCCTTGAATTTAGCTCGATCCCTGCTAAAACGTTTTGGCAATGGTACGCGGGGGTTCCGGTGGAGGAAACGTGACTACTGCTCGGGCGGGAGGTTCTGAAGGCTCTCCGGCTGCAGAAGGAGAAACCGAGCTCTGCAACGGAGCAGCTGGTGCGGCTAACGCCTGGATCCGATTCTTGAGGTGTGTGTAACCCTCCTGCAGTGTTTTGACGACTTGGGTTAGTGCCACCAGATTTTGACATATGTCCTCCAGTGGGGATGGCTCTCTTCCAGGCTCCGTCATGGCCGTATGGTTCTGTCAAACACCGCATGGCGGTACCTCTAGCAGTCCACAGAACAGGATTCCCCAGAGCGCGGAGTCCAAGTCCCAGTCTGCTTGTTCACCAGGGCCCCTGATGGTGGGGATGGACTTGGAGCAGACAGTGACCAGGTTGCGGCCCCTGGGTACACCCGCCTGTGGTAGAGGGATCCGCCAGAGGTATATACAGGTGGAGAGCCTGATGTGAAGAGGCAGAAGGCCTGAGCAGTGATGACTGGATCTGTGCAGGACGGATGGATGGCAGAGAAGTGTGCGTGGTCAGACGGGCCGGTTCGGTAACAGTGGGGTCAGCGCAGTACAAGGCAGCAGGCAAAAGAGTAGTCAGGTCACTCGTTTGGGTTCAGTAACAGGAGTTCAGATCGATAGGAATATCCAGGAGAGTAATCAAAGGAGCCAGGGGTCAGAGCAGGAGATAGCACAGGATCAGGCAGGGTTGGCAACAAGACAAACAGCAGATACACAGGAACACAGGATAATCAGACCATACGGCAACTAGTGTCTGTGCAGGGCTGGTTTAAATAGGGCGCCCTGCGCCGTCATTGGTGCCAGGCGCGCTTCCGCGAACGCGCATGCGCTGCCGCCGCCCAGGTCCGAGCGCCAGTGGATTAGGGCGCATCGGCGTTCTGCGCATGCGCAGATCCATGCGCCGTCGCGCTGGCTGACAACATCTTTCCCTCCCACTGGCCACAGAAAGCAGACATTTTTCTCCTCACTGACCACAGACAGCCGACATTTTCTTCTCCTCGCTGAAAGCAGATGGTGGGCATTTTTTCTCTGCTACTAAACACTAAGGCTGAATATTTTCATCCCCATGACCATAAACCCAAAGCATTGTCCAACCTGACCAGCAGTATAAGGGCACTACGACACATGACTGCTGCACTCTATAAATTGTGTCTTGTATTAAATTATTCTAACTTCTCCACTCTATATATTGTGTTGTACATTACAATAGCACTGACTGCTGTACATTACACACTGCTGACCAATGTGTTTATTGCCTCAACAGTTGCTGATCACTATGTACTGTAGTTTCTGGCTATTTTTAGTTCTTCTTTAAAGTGATTGTAAAGCTTTGGCTGTTTTTTTATTAAAATAACAAATATGTCATACTTATAGTCAAGGCCAAAATTATTGGCACCCCTGCATTTCTGTCAGACAATGCACCACTTCACCCAGAAGATTATTGCAATTGCAAATGTTTAGGCATTTTCATGTTTATTTCTTTTGTTTGTACTGGTATGACACAAAAAAGTGACTTTATGGAAAAGCCAAATCTGACACATTCCACGCAAAACCCCAAAAATGGACTGGACAAAATAATGGCACCTTCTCAAAATTGTAAGAAATAATTGCATTCCAAGTTTATGATGCTTCTGTAATTTGTAATTAAACTCACCTGTATCAATTAGCAGATCCTAATGTTCCTGTGTCTATTGTGTGCAACATTGTCAAAAAGTGCACAGCCATGGCATTGTAGCTAATCTCCCTGGATGTGGACGAAAGAGAACAATTGATCAAAGATGGCAACGAAAGATTGTTTCAATGGTGGATAATGAACCTCGATCAACTTCCAGACAAATTCAAGCTGACCTTCAGGCACAGGGTATAACCGTTGGTTGTCAGCTTGCACTATACGTCACAGTGTGATTAAAAAGGAATGCTATAGTAGAAGAGACTCAGAAGGATCCCACTGCTGACACAGTAACATAAAAAAAAAGCCAGATTGGAGTTTCAAAACCTACCTGAGAAAATCAAAATCCTTTTGGGAGAATGTACTGTGGACAGACAAAACAAAATTACAGCTTTTTGGTAAAGCCCATTGTAACCGCGTACACACAGATATGGACGTGGTTCAACCATTTTGGCTTCAACCTCCATCTTGGCAAAGGGGTTAACCATCCTGACAAACATATTTCCCCCTCATTCTTCCCCTCCCTTTCTGAGAGTCACAGCGACATTTGGCCAGTATGTATGTGTGTTAAGAGTGTCACAGGAGACCAGGGCCCAGCAGGGGGCTAGGAGCTATAAAGTCCCCAAGGGAGCTGGGGCCTAGCTGTCCGAAGAACCTGTAAAATGTAACACCTCGTATCAGATAAGGCAAGCTTTCCCCAGAGTTCAAGACATTCCAAGGAAGGCGGGACCAGCTAACACTTTTAAAAATCCATTTTTCCCCTATGTCTCATATCTTGGAATATGAGAGACTTACATAAAAACCAGACATATTGTCAGATTGGCTAAGAGAAGACGAACAATTTGATAGGTCACTCGCCTTGTCTCGAATACATAGGAAAGCCGACAAATAGATATTGTGAACCGTTCAGTGTATAATTTCATAATTCATATCTAATCAATCCTCAGACGTGTCTGCATAATAATCTACCCGCGGGTGGAATGTCACTTGTGCATAGGAAAAGATATGAGCCAAAATATGAACTAAACGAGACTTTGGCTCTAGTTTAGGTCCACACCCAGACCTCCACGCCCTAAATGGGGTATTGGTCCTTGACTTCAGAGACACCCCCTGCTGGGGAACTACAACTTAGGCTGTCAGGCCTAAGAAGAGTAAGTTGAGGACGTCTCCCATTTTAACATCAGTACCACCTGGGGAGACCCGTGCTCTTTCGCTCTGAAACTTGGATCTGCTAACCCAGGACTTTGGCAAGTACCTTAACCCTTTCACCTCTCTCTAATATCCCTTTGCTGTGCTGTTGGT